AGCACTTTAGTGGGACAAGGCTGAGGGTCTCCTGCGCTAACTAAGGCGCTGCGACGAAACAACGTACGAGTGCTCCGTACAGGTACGGGTGGCTCAGGCACAAGCACAGCACACGTATTCGTACCCGTTCAGAGGGGTGGGCCGTGGTTGGGCGGACAGGGGCCCAGACAAGGCCAGTAAGCCACCAGCGAGTCGGTACCCCACCACCAGCGAGCCGTTGCCCCTCCATTTGCAGAGGCCCAAAATGCAAACGGCCGTGAGAGCGATATCTTTTCGACTGCCGGACGATGCTAGCGGCACGCATGCCTCGGATTGGGTTGGATACGACGCCGGACACGGAATGCGATCCTGGCCTGGAATTGCGAGGCATTCGCCAAATCACGGGCACGACTACGATTACAGCGTCGTGCACGGCATTGCTGCCATCTACTGCTACTCCGTACTACTCCGTACTGCTAGTAGGTAATGATTGCAACCCTGGGATGACAATGCGAATGCGAATCAGCCAAGGCGGCGTAATCTTGGGAACCAGTCGATGCAAGCAAGGGGCTTCAATTCCTGGGACGCCAACAGATTCCCAGCGTTCGATAGAACATCCGACACCGCATTCGATTGGCAGACTGGAATGAGGTACCGGTACCACCGGGACCAAGCCGGTGTTAGCGGCCAGGCCAGACCGCGACCGGGATTCTATCATTGTGTCTCAAGAGGCTGCTATTCAACAATTCGCAAATTAGACATTGCGCCCCAAAAAACCCAAAAAAATTTCCCCAACTCGTTTGGGTGGCTTGGTTGCCCTGCGGATTGACTTTGATTGTGCCCCTTAAGCTTGAAGGCAAAATTCCGGAAGCAGTTTTACCCGCGGGCAGAAACACAAGAATAAGAGCCAAATTCAGGCTGGCGGTGTACAAAGGAGCCGCCAGTTCTTGCATCTGATCGCATTTCCTCATCCTGCGTCAGCACTGTCGCAATTGGGTGTCATCATCCAGCTACGGTCCAGGTAAGCAAGCACCAGAATGTCTGGTTTCGTGCTGCAAATGATCCCCTTCCCCTGCCCACACTTTGGCACAGGGCTGCATGCCCACGCACATGCTGGCCCCGATCGACGCTTTTGGGTTCCGTTAGGCGGTGCGAGCTTCGCTGGTCGAGTCCGCCCTCCCCCACCAACTCGGCGCCCAGGTACCCACCGGACTAGTGTTCGTACCGGGTACGTGCTGCGACGCGCTCGCACAGGGCGCCCTCGCCGCACATGGTGGGCAGGGTGTAGGTGCCTGGTACAAGTATGGATACGGCGCAATACCTGGCAGCCCATCGCTGAGCTCTAGCCCCGCTGGCAGCTAAAGCAGAGCAGCCCTCTCGCGGTTCCAGGTGTCACTGCACTCCTGAAATCTGGCTCTCCCCCGTTGAAGTTGCTCTTTGCCGTCTCAATCCTTCAATTGCCCTCTCTCTTTCTCTCCTTCTTCCTGCATCCATCTGCCTCATCTCCGACTTGTGTTGTGGTTTTTGCCTTGGTGGGCCAACACAGTATAGCTTCTATTAATTCGCAGCTGTTGACCGGTATTTTTCTGCAGGACTCAGCTCACCCCGCCATTTTCTCTCTTCTCCTCCCTCCCAGCAACTCCTCACCTCTTTTTTGACGAGCTCGCATACACATCACCATGTCCGGCTCCAAGGATCTCCTGTCGGCCAACGACAGAATCCAGCGCTTCGCTGCTCCCAGCCGACCCCTCAGCCCTCTTCCCGAGCACGCTCTCTTCTCCGAGAAGACGCGATGCTTCGTCTACGGTCTGCAGCCCCGCGCCGTCCAGGGCATGCTGGACTTTGACTTCATTTGCAAGCGAAAGACCCCCTCTGTCGCCGGCATCATCTACACCTTCGGTGGCCAGTTCGTCAGCAAGATGTACTGGGGAACCAGTGAGACCCTGCTGCCCGTCTACCAGCAGGTTGAGAAGGCCATTGCCAAGCACCCCGACGTCGATGTCGTGGTCAACTTTGCCTCCTCTCGAAGTGTCTACAGCTCCACCATGGAATTGATGGAGTGTCCTCAGATCAAGACCATTGCAATCATTGCAGAGGGTGTTCCTGAGCGAGTAAGTTCTTTTTCTTCCCCCTTCCCACGCCATTCCATGATTTCTCTCGCTCTTGCCAGAGATTTGGAGATTTTTGAGCGGCGGAAATAGCCCCATTGGAGCCCAATTTGCTGACCACCTGTCATTTAGCGAGCTCGTGAGATTGCTCACGTCGCCAAGAAGAAGGGCGTCACCATCATTGGCCCCGCCACCGTTGGTGGCATCAAGCCCGGCAGCTTCAAGATCGGTAACACTGGTGGTATGATGGACAACATTGTTGCCTCCAAGCTGTACCGCAAGGGTTCCGTTGGCTACGTCTCCAAGTCTGGTGGCATGTCCAATGAGCTCAACAACATCATTTCCCAGAACACCGACGGCGTCTACGAGGGTGTCGCCATTGGTGGTGACAGGTATCCCGGCACCACTTTCATCGACCACTTGCTGCGATACCAGGCCGATCCAGACTGCAAGATCCTAGTGCTGCTTGGTGAGGTCGGTGGTGTCGAGGAGTACAAGGTGATTGATGCCGTCAAGCAGGGCATCATCACCAAGCCCATTGTCGCCTGGGCCATTGGTACCTGCGCCAGCATGTTCAAGACTGAGGTTCAGTTCGGTCACGCTGGTTCTTTTGCCAACTCACAGCTCGAGACTGCCACCGTCAAGAACCAGTCTATGCGCGATGCCGGCTTCCACGTCCCCAACACCTTCGAGGACATGCCCGCCGTGCTCAAGGAGGTCTATGACAAGCTCGTCAAGGAGGGCACCATTGTCCCCCGCCCCGAGCCCGTCGTTCCCAAGATCCCCATCGACTACTCTTGGGCCCAGGAGCTCGGCCTTATCCGAAAGCCCGCTGCCTTCATTTCTACCATTTCCGACGACCGTGGCCAGGAGCTGCTCTACGCCGGCATGCCCATCTCCGACGTCTTCAAGGAGGAGATTGGTGTCGGTGGTGTCATGTCACTGCTGTGGTTCCGCCGCAGACTGCCCGACTACGCCTCCAAGTTCTTGGAGATGGTTCTCATGCTTACTGCTGACCACGGTCCCGCTGTCTCTGGTGCCATGAACACCATCATCACCACCCGTGCCGGCAAGGACCTGATCAGCGCCCTCGTTTCCGGTTTGCTGACCATCGGTTCCCGCTTCGGTGGTGCCCTTGACGGTGCCGCCGAGGAGTTCACCAAGGCCTTCGACAAGAACCTCAGCCCTCGTGACTTCGTCGACAGCATGCGCAAGCAGAACAAGCTCATCCCTGGTATTGGTCACCGTATCAAGTCCCGAAACAACCCCGACTTGCGTGTCGAGCTTGTCAAGGAGTACGTCAAGGCCAAGTTCCCCAGCCACAAGCTGCTCGACTACGCTCTGGCCGTCGAGACCGTCACAACCTCCAAGAAGGACAGCCTGATTCTCAACGTTGACGGCTGCATTGCCGTGTGCTTCGTTGACTTGATGCGCAACTGCGGCGCCTTCTCCGCCGAGGAGGCCGAGGACTACCTTTCCATGGGTGTCCTCAACGGTCTGTTCGTTCTGGGCCGAAGCATTGGTCTGATTGCCCACTTCCTCGACCAGAAGAGACTGCGTACCGGTCTGTACCGTCATCCTTGGGATGATATCACCTACTTGCTGCCCAACCTTAACGAAGGCCAGCCTAGCGGCCAGGGCAGAGTGGAGGTTCAGATGTAAGTTGGGACTGAGGGAAAACAAAAAGAGAAATGAGAATATATTATACAATAGTTGTGGGAATTTGATGAAAGAATCTGGCAATGGAAAGTGGTTTGTCAAGACCTAAGAAAGCAGCACGCATAGCTCGTAGTCGCTGCGGTGGGATCGTTATGAAGTATTAAATCATTTTTTATTGATGACAATAGACCAAAAAAATTAATTCACGATGACATCATTTCTTGTGACTTAATCGCTGTATTTATAGAGCAACCGCTTGGTAGGGAATCAATTCTTTCTCAGTAAATCTTTTGGAATGTTAAGATATCCATACATACCTCCCATCTCATTGTATTCTTGTCGTCTGTCACGTGATCCGCAAGGCTGTCTCGATATCGGGTTGGATGATATCTTATCGCGCAACCACAAGCACTTTAGGATAGGCTCAATGCAATCGAACCAGCTCCAATTCCTGCAACCCAGCCGCTGCCCATAATCACCAATTCTCTCTCTTCCTACGGGGAACGAGACGATAGACCGGGGACACTGCAGTGTGCGGAATCCAAATTTCCCAGCGGAATTGAAGCTCTTTTTCACCTTGTACGAACGGCCTCACGCATCTTTTCTTTCCGCCCTTCTCCCTCGAGACTCTTCGTTTTGCTAACAAAGTGCCAGCCAAAGCTCCCGAATCAACGAAAGACATAAACGAAATCTCGCGAAAAGCAACAAGAGAACAGAGAAACAATGTCCTTCTTCCGCATCACCCTCCACCGATCCGCCATCGGGCTCCCCGAGCGCACGCGCGGCGTGCTCCAGGCGCTCGGCCTGCGGCGGCGCATGCAGACCGTCTTCCACCCGGCGGAGCCGCAGTTCGCCGGTATGATCATGAAGGTCAAGGAGCTGGTGCGCGTGCAGGAGGTGGAGCGGCGGTTGACCAAGCGGGAGGTCAAGGCAGAGCGGACGCCTGATAAAGGGTTTTACATTGAGAGGCCGGTACAGCGGATGTGAAGAGTTTGGTTTTCGGGGATTTCGATGATGAGCGATGTAAAAAATGGGGAGGTTTGGGGAGAACAGGGCTGGTGGTGTTTTTACGAGAGGGGAAGGATATGTCTGTATATATATGTGTGTATGGCTGAGGAGGAACTATAGCGGGACGGACAAGACGAACTTGTACGATATTAACGGCACCAAATGTACGAAAAGATACAAAAGACAAACATCGCCCATTTGGGGCACAAGAGTCGTGTGGAATCACCAAGGCGGTCAAAAGGACATAGACAAAAAGAAATACATTCCGCATTATCTTGAAAGAAAACCCCCGTCTCCCCTCAACTCTAACTAAAAACTGCGTCATCGAAAACCAAAAGAAAGCACCGGGTTCATCGCATTAACACCTTGCTAATCCTATCCAGTGCCGTTCCCAACGAATCCTTCAATAAGACGATAATCCCACAAAGCGATGCCAAGGGCGTAAGACTATCATCGAGCCAGCAGTTGCCGTCGGCACTTTGCTGGTTACAGCGAGTGTGTGTGTGTCGTGATTCAAACTAAATTAACAAACAATAAACAGAGGGGAGCGGGCCAAAAAAAAAAAAAAAAAAAGCCTAGAGAACATCAAACAGACTCCGGCAACAGACGAAAGTGGGCAGTTCTATTCTTCTTTGGATCCAACAGAACTTTTGGGTGGCTGCCAAAAGGTAAGGAAGGACACTTAAAAGCTTCGAGCCTTGTCAATGTACTCCTGTGATGGAGTCTCATACTCATTGACAAAATATGATTGACAGTTGCGGCCCAGCCAAGTAGTGAACTTTCCAATCTCTTCTCTGAGGCGGGACACAGACTGTTGATCCATGTTGGTCTGCGCAAGGAGTTCAGGCAATGAAACTACAAGTTAGGGGTCAGTCCATGTATCCTTAAAATGGAGTGCATCTGTCATGGTGTATACGAACCAATAAGGCGGGCAAGGTGTTCTGCGCCGTAAACATCGCAAACGTTTTTATACTGTGAATTCTCGTCGGCGTTGTCCCAGAGTTTCCGCACATCCATGTACTGATGACGCTCAAATCTTGAACCAGTGTTAGCAGATATCCCGCTGCCACGAGAGGCCAATCCACGTACCTGTAGAGAAGTATTCTGCTCAGGGCTTTCTCGAAATATTCCCGAAATCCGGCGATAACTTCCTCCAAGATATCCATGCTAGATGAACCCTCTTCCCTGCGTGGCCGCTCAACGGCAAGGTAATCCTCAAAGATTTTGGTGACTGGGTTTGGATGAGGCAGAGGTACAAGCTGGTTATTCTTGGTGATATTCTCCCAATCGTCCACGAGCATGGCCTGTATATGATCAGGCACAGAGATGTTGATCATCGGTTTGCTGTGGAAAGCATCCTCCTGTAACTAGTGAGAACATGCTCAGAGCAGGCGGCTTGAAATGCGTAATGCAAAAACAGATGTAGGAAATGACAGACGGTAGATCAAACACCTGGAAAGAAAAGAAACTGAGAGAGAAAGAAAGAAGGGGGGCAAAAGAAGTCAAGTTAGATGATCACAAAACACCCTNGGGTGTGGGGGGGGGGGGGAGGAAGGGGGTTAGAAGCTACTTGGCTCTCATAATTAACAAATTAGCGACCTCCAGAGTAGGATATCAATCCCAGTCTCAGTAAATCCGGCTAAACATGGCCCACGTAGAGGCTGACCTGGGGGTAGAGTGCCACTGTCCGTTTCGCTCTTGATGGCAGTGCTAGGACTCCATTCAGATACGGGGAGAGACACAGGAGTAGGGCTCCTATGACGGAGCCAAGGACAGATCGGCTGGCCGTTACGTGTGAAAATAATTCGGGGACGCCTTCGAACCGGCTCAGGTTCAGAGTCAGAAGGAGGCTCAACGGAATCAGGAACTGATTCAGGAGCAGGTCTCTCAGGACAGATTCGCTTGCCGTTACGCGTGAAAATGACCCGGATACGCTTTCGAACAGGCTCAGGTCCAGGTTCAGGCTCAAGCTCAGATTCGGGCTCAGAGGGGCGCTCAATAGGTTCAGGAACTACTTCGGGAGCAGGTCTCTCAGGACAGATTCGCTTGCCGTTGCGCGTGAAAATGATTCGACGTTTTCGGCGTGGCTCAGGAACAGGCTCAGGAGGTGGCTTCTTCGCACAGATGGGCTTGCCGTTACGCGTGAGAATGAGTCGGCGTTTTCGGGCTGGCTTGGGAATAGTTTCCGGCTCAACTTCAGAGCCCAGCTCAGGTTCAGGTTCCGGAGTAGGTTTCCTGGGGCAGATTGGCTTGCCGTTGCGTGTGAGAATGAATCGGCGTTTTCGGGCAGGCTGAGACTCTGGCTCAAGAGCAGGCCCCGGAGCAGGCTTCTTGGGACATATTGGCTTGCCGTTACGCGTCAAGATGATCCGGCGACGCTTTCGGACTGGCTCAGATGGCTCTTCGGCAGCTGGAGATGAGGCCCTCTCCCCCTTGTTGGCTTGTTCGCGGCGGTGCTCGCAATGAGGACACTGCGAAGATTTGTCGACCTTTTTGGGCCTCTTGCGCTGTGCTCTGGTTGACTTTCTCTTTTTGCAGGGCATGTTGTTTCGCTGAATAGGATCTGTAGCAGGACCCGGAAGGTATGATGTCGTGGGAAAAGAGTAAGGGCACAACAACACAGGAGATAACCATGATTAAAGAGATCAACTAAAACCATAAGAAGTCTATGGCTTGCAAGTATTTCTCACTTGAGTCGTAGAATACTTCCAAAGTAGGCGCAAAAGCAAAGTATAAACAACATAAACATTGTCGAAGGTTAGTTGGTAAACCGATGATACAGGGACTGCAATGCGCCAGTGTTTCTGTGCCCATATTTTTCGCGTATGGGAAGCCACCAAGGGAATAAGACTCTCGTCAAGAAAAGCTAAACATGGTCTGTAGAGTCTGGTTTTCCCAGATATCAAGCACCACCCGTGCCACTTGCACGGCCCGGCACTTGCCGGAGGGGTGTTGAAGGTCTTTCAGGAGACGCGGATCGTGACCTACAGAAACGCCACGAACAAAGAAAAGATGGGAAAGAAAACGCCACGTAATGTAGAAATTCGAAATAAAACACCAGCAAGGGAAAAGAAAACAAGAAAAACCCGAATGTTGATGATAAAGCAAATCTTACCTGCTCTAGTTCCCAGTCCTTGCCTCTCCTACCTCCCCTGCCTCCCTGAGTGACGGCGGACCCTCGCTCCTCGCTACCACGCGCCGACTCGCCGCCACTCTTGACGATTTTCTTGGGCACCTTGGACGTCTTCTGCATGCTGTTCTTGAGCTGCGCGTGAAGCTGGGCTGCCAGCTCCTTGTGCTCGTCGTCAAAGGGCCTGATCCTGTCCACCAGAACCCAGTCGTCCCACGTGTTTTTCCAGCCCTTGTAGTGAACCTTGTACCGATATCCTTCATTGGGCTTCTCCGCAGGCTGGACATCCATGATCTTGGCTTCATAAAGCATGTCCATGTGGAAGCAGAGGACTTTTTCGTCCTTGCCAAACGGCGGAGGCGGCTGTTGTCGCGCAGGAGCCATGATGAAAATATGATGAAAACGAGAATGGGGCCCTTTTAGTTTTGTGAGTCAAAAGATAATGGCTAGTGAATAGAATGAGATGAAAAGGCTTTTTGTGATATCTTCCGGCGAGATATCTGCAATTGGTGATGATAGAGTTGAGAATGGCGTTGAAGAAAAGGATTGTATGTACAGGGAGACACGTGAGTGAGATTGAAGTGAATAAAGTACGAGCGAAGTACCTGTCGATTGAGCCCCTGGCTTCAGGGCCGGTAGCCACTAATGTCCCGTTAGGCAGTCCCGACAGCACCCTGGCAGCCTTAAATAAGGCACTGTGGCTACGAAAAAAAAAAAATCAACCCCAATATGGAGTGCAGGTACCTCCAAGTATTGCAATTGACCCCAATTTGGAGCATTGGCTGCTGGTAATACGGAGCACAAGAGGCGCGCAAAATGCAAGCAGGTCCAACACCGTGTTTACAGAATATGAGATGCAAATTCACGCGACGCGAAGTCCCCCTACCAGCATCACCGATAGCATCCTGCTACTTTTTATTGGTTCTCCATTTTACGTCTCACTTCTCCCCCCATCTTAAACAAATAACCAAGACAGTCACATGCGTCGGTGGCCAGCAGTTGCAGTTAATATTCACCAGGTTTAAATTTCTTCTCATTTTCCCAGGTTGAATCGGGGTATCTATTTACTACCAACCTCATAACAACCTCATAAAACTCATTTCCCTTTCATTTCATCTCACCTCATGAACGCCTTGTTGAAGACTTTTTGGATAACCATCCTTATGAAACTATGATAAACCCCCCCCAATGCTTTTCTCCTAATCAGGAGAATCAACGCACAAATGCATATGTTGAATGCTCGCCCAACCGACCTTTCCGAAATCCCAAGCGATGAAAAGAACCTTTTTTTGGTGGGTGCCGTAATAACCCGTCTTTGTCACCTAAACCATGCCCAAACGCCGATGTTGAAATCGTACCTGGCTACAGGCGCAACATGGTTGAATGTTGCTGCCACTAAAGCCAGGCCATCCTACGTCGCAATCGTAGGAATTATTAAAACAAAGTGATTTGTTTATTTGGCGTACTTGGCACGGAAGTACTTGGTGGCGGCGATCATGTTGGCCAGAGCCTCCTTGGTCTCCTTCCACTGGCGCGTCTTGAGACCGCAGTCGGGGTTGATCCAGAGCTGCTCAGGCTTGAGGTACTGAAGCATCTCCTCGATGCGGTCCTTGATCTCCTGCTCGCTGGGAACACGAGGAGAGTGGATGTCGTAGACACCAGGTCCGATGTGGCGGGGGTAGGCAGAGTCGACGAAGACGCTCAGCAGCTTGGCATCAGACTTGCTGTTCTCAATGGACAGAACGTCGGCATCGAGGGCAGCAATGGCGTGGAAGAAGTCCTGGAACTCAGAGTAGCAGAAGTGAGAGTGGATCTGAGTGGAGTCCTCGACACCGGTGGTGGACAGGCGGAAAGCGTTGACAGCCCACTTGAGGTAGGCATCACGCTCAGTGCCGGAGCGGAGAGGGAGACCCTCACGGAGAGCAGGCTCATCGACCTGGATGACGTCAACGCCAGCCTTCTCGAGGTCGACGACCTCGTCACGGAGAGCCAGAGCAAGCTGCTCGGCCTGGACGGACTGGTGGATATCGTCACGAGGGAAAGACCATCGCAAGCAAGTGACGGGTCCAGTCAGCATACCCTTCATGGGCTTGCTGGAGACGGAGACGGCGTACTTGGACTCCTTGACGGTCATGGGGGCGGGACGGGAGATGTCACCGACAATGATGGGGGGTCGGACGCATCGAGAGCCGTAGCTCTGAACCCAAGCGTGGGTGGTGAAGGCATAGCCGTCCAGGCGCTCACCGAAGTACTGGACCATGTCGTTACGCTCAGGCTCACCGTGGACGAAGACGTCAATGCCAAGCTCCTCCTGGATCTTGACGTTGTCCCGGATCTCCTGCTCAATGAAGGAGTCGTACTCCTGGGCGGTGATCTCGCCCTTGGTCAACTTGTTTCGTGACAGACGGATCTCCTTGGTCTGGGGGAAGGAACCAATGGTGGTGGTGGGGAAGAGGGGGAGGTTGAGCTTCTTCTGCTGAGCATCAATACGAGCAGGGAACTCAGACTTGCGGTTGTAGTCGGCAGGGACAATCTTGGACTGGCGCTCCTTGACCTTGGGGTCGTTGGTGCGGGGAGAGGTGGCACGAGCCTGGATGGACTTGGCATTGGCCTCGAGCTGCTCACGGACAGCGGCAGGGCCCTCAGTCACAGCCTTGGCAATGACGGCAATCTCGACGACCTTCTCAGAGGCGAAGGAGAACCAGTCGGCGATTTCAGCGTCCAGCTTCTTCTCGCTGGCCAGGGTGTGAGGAGTGTGAAGGAGAGAGGAGGAAGTGGCGACAATGACACGGTCCTTGCCGAGCTTCTGGATAGCGCCCTCAACAATCTCGATGGCGCGCTTCAGGTTGGTCTTCCAGATGTTTCGTCCGTCGACAACACCAGCGGACAGGATGGTCTTGGGACCAAGAGCACCGAGAACAGTGTCGAGCTGCTCGGGGTTGCGGACAAGGTCAATGTGGATGGCATAGATGTCCTTGGGGAGGAGGTCAAGGTTGTGGACGATGTCACCGAAGTAGGTGGTGAAGACCAGCTTGGGGATCTTGTCACCGAGGCTGGCGAACTTCTCATAGGCGGGCTTGAAAGCAGCCTTGGTCTTGGCAGGGAGATCGAAGACGAGGACGGGCTCGTCGATCTGGACAGTCTCAGCGCCAGCCTCCTTGAGCTGGACGAGGAGCTGCTCGTAGACAGGCAGAAGGCTGTCGAGCAGGTCGATGGGGTCGACGGTCTGGCCACGGTCGGCCTTTCCGAGGTGCAGGAAGCTCACGGGGCCAACCAGGACGGGGCGGGTGACGACGCCAGCCTCCTTGGCCTCGTTGAACTCAGCAACGGCCTTGGGGGTGGCGGTCAGCTTGAAGACCTGGCCGTCCTGGAGGGTAGGCTTGACGTAGTGGTAGTTGGAGTCGAACCACTTGACCATCTCCAGACTGGGGACATCGATGCCTCCCTTCTGGTGGCCACGGCCCATGGCGAAGTACTGGTCAACAGTGTCAAGGCCATCCTTGGTGTATCGCTCAGGAACAGCCTGTCATTTCCAAGTCAGCATTGGTCGATATTTTTGTTGGGGAAAGATGAAGCACATACACCAAAGTCCTGGATGTGAGAGAGAACCTGGTCGTACAGGGCGAAGTCGTTGCTGGGGATGATGTCAACGCCGGCATCCTTCTGGATCTTCCAGTGGGCCAGACGAAGTCTCTTGGCCTCAGCAAGGAGCTCGGTCTGAGAGAGCTTTCCACTCCAGTCTGCGGATGTCAAAGTTAGAAAATTTTTTCTTTGGACGTTGGATGAGGGGAGTCGAGCAGGCAAGACTAACAAGCTTCGGTGGCCTTCTTCAGGTCACGGTTAACACCCATACGGGGGAAACCGAGAACTGCGGACTGAACCATTTTGACAATTGGTTATGGATACGGACTGGACGAGTGATGAAAAAAAGTTCGCTGCAGAAAGAAGAAACAAGTCAATTGGAGAGTTCGGCGCAATTGGAGTCCATGCAGAGATGGACAATGGAGTGGGCAGGTGCAAGACTTACTGGGTATCAACTAAATAGTCCTGCCTGTATCAGCAGCGGAAGAAGAGGAGTATGAAGAGGAAAAGGACACGCTGTGAAGAGAATGGAGAGGAAGAAGATGGAGAGAAGGGCGAGAGCAGCACCTATTAAGTGTATCGAGGAAAAGCGCCGAGCGGGGGAGGGGTAAGACGAAGGCGGTCGAATTTGCTTGATCGGGTCTTTTCCTCGGTGGAGCATCACCGTTCAACCAATTTCTGATTGCTGTCTGGCCACACGGCTCTCTGCTGTGTCGACTAACTGGGGCTGGGCGTCAGCCGAATTGCGCGATTTGCGCCATCGGAGCTCTCAAGCTGTGAGGCCGAATCTTATTCATAGCCGTGCGTAATGACAGGCCTGCCATCCTTGCCGCTGGCCGTATCTAGGATCTGCTTAGCGGGGGACCTGTGAGAATAGCTCCCCAGCACGCAGTTGATATGGAGCGCTGCTACTGGGGCAAGTACCTGCTTAGTGCTGCTGGGTGGGTTAGCAGCGAGTGATAATCGTTGAGCAGCACATGCAAAATTGGCATTCCTCTGCAGGCGCAACTCGTACTCGTACTCACTCGTACTCACCTTCATGCTACTAGTACGAGTATAGGAACCTAAATGTTGAAAAATGATGGATTGAGGCCAGGGGAGAGTGGGGGAAGAAGAGCATTTTGGGCATCTACGCGGCATGTATGCACGAGTACATGTACGAGTACGTCTATGTCATGGGGAGGTGGATGGCAAATGATTACACTGCAGTTTTTTGCCCTTGCCCCCGTATTAGAGATCATCGCTGCAGTCGAGGTGCTTTGCTACCTAAGGTACCTAGCGAATGAGGTGCAGAATTTTCTGCATATTGTTGAGCTTGATGGAGCACACACATACTGTGCCAGGTAGGTACCCCAAACACAAGTACCTCTCCCACTTACCAACCCCCTTCAATTGATGTTTTGCAACAGAACAATAATGCAGGGACCTTCCTTCAACTCTGCGCAAGAGTCCAGTACAGTATGGAGAGACTCCTTGGTGTTACGGGGAGCTGCAAGTAAGCGGTTATTATCGCCGAAAACTCACCTAGGTACATGAGTACCACTTGGAGATGTACCTGTATGTCAGAAATACTACCTGGTGTTTTAGTAGCAAATCTGATGCCAGGTTAGGTACCTATCTTAGTATCAGGCATCATTTGCAGAGACACCTGACTGAATCAACTCCAGTCACCTCGCAGAAAGCATCAATTCTACCTCTCGAGTGCCCGAATAGGAGGCTGCCCCGTGTTCTCACATCTGCACTCTGGAGCGTGCCAACCTTTCTCGTGCTACGACAACAGGTTGGCAGATCGCGGATGAAACAATGCGGCTAGTACGGGGTACAGGCAGCAAGTGCGAGTAAGAGAGGTAATGGAGGTACTTCCTTGCCAGCACACCAGAGAAAGTACCTCCTCCTCGAGCTGCAGCATTTCTTGGAGCTAAAGATCCACCCCACGGAGTTGGGTGTTTAGATTCAACGACGGACGATTTAAGGGTCTTCCTAGTTGGGTCGGGGAAAAAAAAAAAAAAAAAAAAAAAGAGCTCCATTGATCCGATCTCGCAACACGGCCGTTGGACGGCGATTGAGTCAATGCTGTCAAGCGAGAGAGATGTAAAAACTCCATTGCTGCTGGTGAGGAGAGCATCACGGAAAGTTTCAGTGCAGTAGAACAGACAACCATGCGGCAATGCTAAACCCTCCGGCAATGCGAAACCCTCCTCGATTGTTTGACCCCAGCATGTAGCATTCCCCGTGCTTATCTGCACATAAGCAGCAACAAACCCCTTGTAAGGCCTCGTCCGTCAGTGGGCCCCTGACGGCATGACACAGCTTCTAGAGCCGACAGCTCATCTTGACTGGTGACCCGGACCAATCCAATCGCATCCAAGGCATCGCCCAGAAGCACCCCGACATGAGAGAGTGTGTGGTAGAGTTGGGCATCGTCTGAGGCTCCCAAGGAGAGCTTTACCTATAGGGAGATCTCCGAGGTTTCTAATGGGCCAGTGACGATGTTGTTGCTGTAATCGCATCGCTCTGTCGACGTGGGGGTGTCATGGGCATCCTGGTATGGCCGACCCTTGGTTTCGCAGGATGGAGGGGTACTGATGCTGATGCTGATGTTGTACAACTGCCTAGACATCTAGTGCAACCGTGAGCGTTCCCGATCCCTTGTACCTTCCAACAAGATAGCAGGTTTTATCTCGAGGTCGGGGCATATTCTTGTCGGCGGCCCCTCCTTTGCGTTGGCGAAGTATCAGCTTTAAACATGCGAGGTCTCCAACATCTCGTCGATATGCGATATACGGTACCCTGCGAATGACCTGCGACAGCGCCCGAGCCAAACAGCTGGCCAGACCGAAGATGCGTCGGACGAAGACTTGAAGAGATAGAACAGACGCCGGAGTGGCCTCATCTTCGGTGTCACGGATAACCATATGTATCGCCAACTGTTTCTTCGATATTGATGGACACGAAGAGCGATTGTAGGCGCCAAGAAGGAGCCTGCTTGCTCCAAGTTGAATCGATCAAGCGCCTCACATTTCAATGTAGTCAATTCTGCTCCAGTCAACCACGTTGCCCAAGTCACCGCTGCCAAGTGCGTGAGAATAATACGCCGAATGGAAGCACCAGCTAGAGCAGTACGTCGTGGCCGGTAACCAAGTAGAAGGACCAAGACAAGCGGCTCTCATACCACTCCATTACATCTGTGCCAGCCATTCCTCAACAACACGAGCTCTCGAGCCTTACACCCCAATGCCGTCAAGATGCGCCATTGTGACGTGAAAGACGGGACTGTGTTGATAAGAGGGGCGGCAACGGAATTACCAGGGAGTATATTGGGTGATGCAAATTACGCATTATGATAGATTTGGACTACGTCTAGCTGTTAGGGTGCAAGGCGAGAGGGGAAAAAAAAGAAGAAGCCCGTGATATGCACTTGTTGTGGTGTCGTAGTTTTATGGCTGTGTATCTGCTTGATGTGAGCCTCATGCTGGTGTGGGTTTGTACTGACCCACTCATATGGTGGTGCTATTGCTAAAGCTGTTTATATTACACCTTCACTCACATAAACGCGTCAAAGCATCGCATTTCAGCACAACCAACTTTCAACTGACATTGACCGCCGCCACCAAACCCAAAGCCTCATTCCATCCCATCTACTTCAATCTCTCACAAAAGAAAAGCTTCTCCGCCAGAGCCATCTCAAATCACCGGCCGCAGCCACAATGCCGCCACCATCAGAATCCGACATCCTCACCAACTACCTCCTCCAGCCAGCCCCCCTCCCCTCCATCACCACCTTCAACCAATTCGTGCTCCTCTTCCCACGCCCGCTTCACAACTCGCCTCAGCTACGGTCTCTATACCGCGACTTGCAGGCCCAGCGCAACTCAGTGGTTGACGCCGTGGCTGCGAGCATCCGGGATGAGGTGAAGCGCGGGGCGGTCATGAGAAAGGAAGTTCTGCGGCTGAGGAGAGAGGCGGAGCGGGAGGACATTGACGGCGAGGTGGAGATGGAGAGAGCGGTAAGTTGTTGAAACTGGCTTCTTTTTATGCATATATTTGATTTGGAGATAGAGAGGAAAGTTTATGCTGATGAGAGCGCAGTTGTTTGGCCACGAGTCTGGTTTGAAGAGCGCGACGCATAGCCTCAACTCTGTGATTCCCGAGCTCGAAGGTGCAGTTGGCGCTCTTGAAGCAGAGATTAAGAGGCTTGAAGAAGAAGAGGCAGCTCTTCAGGAATCCATTCAGCAGACGATTGGCGGGCTCAGCGATCTCCGCTACGGCAAACTGGCCAACGGCAAACTCCGAGATGAGATTGTCGATGGCCTGAAATCACTCCAAGAAGCATGCGAGAACAAGTCATGACTGGAAGCATTCACATTTTTTCCTTTTCATAAATAGCTACGTAACTCATGATACCCAAAAGCTTACGAAACCAACAGCCCTCGGGTTGGTATCACTCAAAGAAAACAAACCGCCGGGGTTCTTCCCATCTTAATCATGTACATCATTCCATCCAATGTTTCAGGTTGTGTCATTATCCAAAGTCCCGCCAAAGGCAAACTCATACAGATTCTTTTCCTAGATGGTTGATTATTTGGGGGCGGCAGCCGGGGCGCGAGCAGCGGCGCCTTGTCGAGCACGGTTGCCACTGATTATGACCGTTAGCTAGATGTACAGCCGAGTGGATGGACAGAAAGAGAGGGGAGTTTAGACTTACATCATGCTTCGGCTGGCGAAGGAGACAATCAGCATGAATGCCCACTGGGGAACGAGGTTGAAGGCCCAGAGAAGGTAGCCAAGGGGGATGGACAAGCCGAGCTCGGCAGCCTTGCCATTGAAGGGGTGCCAAAACGACTCGAGGAGGGTGAATTCCTCCTTGGTGCCAGCCTCTTGCAGCTGGACAATCTCGTCGGTAGTGACGGTGGTAAGGTTAAGCCTCTTCTTGTAGATGTCGATGGGGGCGGGCTTGGGGAGCATCTCGATGGCCCAGATGCTGCCCACGCCGGCGGCCCAGGCATTGCAGAGGATGGGCTGGTCGTCGCAGTTGAGGATGCCCATGTGAGGAGTGGTTGGGAGATCCGCAAACTTGGCTGCGGCTCCGGTGAAAGCGGCTTCAACCTGGTCACAACGGCCTGGAACAGAGCAGTTAGTCTGAATAGTCTCTGCCATTGAAGAGATTTAGCGCGGTAAAGCAAATGAAAGAACTCACCGAAGCATGTCTTGTTTCCGCCGGTGATCAAGATCCACCACTCCTCGGGGGTCTTTGCGCCGGCCGTGACAGGCGCATAGAGCGTCTCCTCCCAGTTGTGCTGACCAAGGACAGAGAGCTTCAAGGGTCCCGTCTTGGACTCTTCAGCAGCAGCGGCATCGTATTTGGCGGGGGTTGGGATATAAGAGCTGACCTGGCCCAAGACTTGCTGGAATTGAGCAACGTATTGGTCCAGAGGGTTCTCTTGAGCGGCAGAGAGAGCGGGCAGGGCCGCAACGAGAGCAGCTGCGGAGAAACGCATTGTGACGGTGATGTTTGTGCTGTTGTGGAGAAGATTGCTCCGTAACCCCGGCCGATTGGACTCTGTATACAAAATACTGAGGTGCAAAAACAAGACAGAGAGGAGGAGAAAATAAGAAAGTAGTTAGATCCCAAGACAGAAATTATTATCTACTACAAGTACTCGACGAACACCCGTCCACAAGGGGGAAGAAGAATGGAAGAAGATGGAAGCACAGAAAGCTCCGAGATGGCGGGAATGTCAATCGGCGTAAAGTTTGGAGAAATGTGGCCCTACCTAGCACCTAGCAACGCCGCGGATCAAGTGCTCTGGCCGCTCGGTCTGATTTGTTGAGCATTTATGGGTAGTTCAACAAAGTTGAGGCCAAGCGCTCCAGGTCTTTTTGTTTTTGCCTTAGCGCTGGTGGGTAATTGGCGCGGGAAAGGATTGTGATCACCTCATTTTGCATGTGCTTGCTTGACTACGGACTACCAACCAGGTAGTCTAATAGATAGATAGACAGTATAGCATCAATCTGGAGAGAGAGGATACCGTGTCTGAAATGCTATGTTATGCTACGGCAATGGCAAACAACCCCCAATTCCTTTCTCGAAGATACACCGCCAATTGCTTCCATGTCCGAGCAATAATATGGCCATCCATAACTTGGAGGCATTGAATCCAAAACACCCCGAAGACTCGATGCAGACTAAAAGTACAGAGCATGCACGTGCTGTAAAGATTTCGGACGCGGGGTTGCAAGCCGCCTAAAGCCGCGCCGTTCTAGAAGAAGACAGCGCACGGGCCCCGCTGGAAAATGCGTCACTGGACGAATTAGAGGCTCCTACAGGCCTGAGGCGATTATTGGAAGTTTCACAGGAAGCGTCATGCAGATGTCCGTTTCGATGCATGGCCTTTGCCTTGCGTGTTTGAATTGATTCGCATCAGCGCGATTGGACAATTCTCTTGCGCAAGCATTAATTTACAATGGTATTCGCCTCTATTTGCTTCTCATTCCTCGTCCTTCTGCCGCGTCTACCATCGGAATCATTTTGTCCATCTAACCACTTCGCAGGCGCCAGAGTCTTCAGTCCCGAAGCGCAAACGTGGGCGGCCATCCAACGCGTCCAAGCTCGACATCGACGCGTCGCAAGAGCGCAACGATGCCACCGAAGCATACGACACTGATGCGCCGAATCAGATGCGTCCCAAGAAGCGCGGGAGGCCGAGGAAGAGCGTAGGCTCGCCAGATGATGAAGCCAGCCCGGCACCAGAGAGCTCCAAGGTCGCGAAAAAGAGAGGGCGGCCGTCGCTAGGCGGCAAAGCAAGAGACCTAGGCCAAATGCATGTGCACCAGGATGAAGCGACACCACCTCAGCAGAAGCGGAAGCGAGGACGTCCTTCGTTGAAGAGTCGTGAGCCGGAAGATGAAGAGACACCGAGGCGTGGACGACCACGGTATAGCGAGGATACCGAATCTCAAACTAGCTTGCAAAGCAGTGGCGCTGCGCAAGAGTCTGACGAAGATCAGCTGCAAAACGAGACCCCAAATTTGAAGCAGCTGCCCGCCAAGCGAAAAAGAGGCCGGCCCTCTCTGCAGGCTCGACGGGAGGAAGAGGAGACGCCAGAGCGTGGACCACCAAAGGGGAAGCAAGAGGCGAAACCACGAAAACGAGGACGACCATCGCTACGAGATATAAGCGCCCCAAATGAGATGCGGAGCAGACCTAGCGAAAACGCCAAAGGAAAGACAGCCACCGACAGCCCGTCGAATACGGCACCGGGCCGACGCCGTGGCCGCCCTCCTGGGAGCGCAAGAGTCTCGACTGGAGCGACGATGGAGGATTCACCTGATCCTAGCGCAAGAAGAGCTCTCGCTTCTGAAAACGAGCCAGCGGGAGATGCCCCTGTATCGAAGAAGAAGCAGCGCCGACCTCACCAAGATGCTGACGCCGAAGACGACGACGACGTCCCTCCATCGCCTTCTAAACCATATCCTCATATCTCGCCTCACATCAACCGCGTCCGCCAATCCACAATCGAATCTAAATGGAGCCCCCTACCGGATTCTACCGTCTCAGCCGCTTCCTCAATGCTCGCCCTCGCCCACCGCCCTATCCTCCAGCGCCTCTCAACATCTGAGCAGCATCACACCCATACCTCCGCAGCGCTGCGTCTCGTTTCTCACCGCATCACACGGAAAATCGCCCGAGGCATTCCCTTCCCCCCAGCAAGTATGCCATCTGCCCGGGTACCTCGCGGGAGACAAGCCGGCATCGTACCAGGAGCCGCTGGCGTGAGTGACGGTCGTGCCACAGAGCTGGACTTTGAGAGCGTGCTCGACGCGAAGACGGCCCTGGAGCGGCAGCTAGACCCGGCGCTTCACGCTGTCGAGTTGCTGGCGAGGGAAAAGGAGAAGCTGGAAAGGGAGCTAGAGAGGGATTATGAAGCGCTGCGCAATTTGGAGAATAGTGCCAAGGCCCAGGGGAGGGAGTATCGCGGCTTGTTGAAGAAGGCACATGTCCTGGCACCAACGCCCGAGACAGTCCATTCCCAGCGGAAACAAAAGGCAGAACAGGACATGTCCTTTACTCACTCTACTGGCTCTCTTTCCGGAGGTCTCTTTAGTGTAAGTTATCACGTATTTTTTTTTTTTCAGATATGGAAATTGAAAGGGGGGGTGTAAGAAGGATGTACGAAGTAACTAACGGCGGTATCTTTTCAGGACCTCCAAGACCCAGAGCTCAAGTCTCTGGCTCTTCAGCTCAGCGACCACATGGAAAGCATCAAGAGCAACCTCCAGCAAGCGGACGGAATCGTACCGCAGCTAGCGCGTAGTCGAGCCGCTCTGCAAGACGTATTGTTTCGACAGCTGAGTCAAGAGCAATATGAGCGTGTGGTGCTTGGATAGAAGGAGAACAAAAAGGGAATCTCCGTGCTTGTATCGGAGAGCTGTGTTTTTCACGTATGGGCGTACTAGGCAATTGGGTAAGCGGAGTATACTTTTAGATATCAAAGAGAATGGCTCGTATATATATATATATATATGCCATGCTATGATGGGTTTGTTTTGATGAATGAGCAACGTATATACGAAAGACTACATGTTATGGCATATCGTTAAGAGGGCATAATAAATACATTCATAAAATACGTCCACTTCAGAGTCATTGTCACATCATAAAAAAACATCATCACAAGCAAGACGATTTATAACGTCACGAGTCGTTCAATTCGGATAAAAAAGAGGTTGCCCATAAGCCGTCACCGACAGCCATCTCAAAGAGCGATATCAAATATACACACACGAATGTTAAGGAGTGTTTCAAATACAGTACAACACAGCAAGATTGTCTTTCGACCAAGCCTCGCCAGACAAAAAGAAAAACAGCTCATGAAAGAGAAAAAAAAACACACGTGAATCCAAAATTTTTTGTCGTTTTGCATCGACAAACAGACGTCTATCATGTAACAGCGTAGAGAAACCTATATTCGTTTTCGGTTTTTTTGGACTATGATTTTTTTTTCCATCATGTGTGTCCCTTTTGGCTTCGAGTTTTCCAAAACCAGCATCCTCCTTTCCCCTATTGTTTTTCCCCACCTTTGGGTTTACCGTAATTTTACAAGGGCAGGTCCCGTCAAGGAGGTGAATCCTTTATCGGCGGAGACGACGGGCAAAGCCAGAGGCAGAGGGCTGAGCAACGCCGCTGCTAGGGACAGTGCCGTTGTTGATGGGGTAAGGCTGGACAGTGACAGTAGCACGGACGGTGGTGGTGATGTCAGTGGGGCAAGGAGTGGTGGTAACGGCAGTGGCAGAGTCGCCAGAGCCGTTGTTACCGCTGCCCTCAGAGCCAGAGCCAGAGCTGCCAGAGCCAGAGTTGGAGCCAGTGTCGGTGCCAGAGCTGCCGGAGCCGCTGTTGTCAGTGGACTTGTCAGTGACTGCGGGAGCAGAGCCAGAGTCACAAGAGCTGGGAGCAATGGTGACGTAGACGGTCGAGGCGGGGACAGTGACAGTCTCCTTGGCGACGGTGACGGTGACGGTGGCGCTGGCGCAAGAACCCTCGTTGTTAGCAGGAGGAGCGTTGCCACCAGTGTTGGAACCAGAGCTGCCACCGGCGGTCTGAACCGGCTGGACTGTGATGTAGGTCGTGTCAGTAGTGGTGGCAGTGGTGGTGGTGGTAGGTTCAGGGCCGTTCTCACCGTTGCCGAGAGTGCTGGTGAGGGTGATGGTCTTCTTGGTGGTAGCCTGGATGGTGGTGGTGACGACAGAGGCATCGGTTCCCTTGCCAATGGTGTAAGTCAGGGTCTTGTCGGTGACAACATCGGTGACAGAGACACCAGCATTGGGTGGGGGAGTGACCGCGGGAGGAGTAGCCTTGATGGTTGAGCCGGTGATGATGCCGGAGGAGTGAGCGGCCTGGAGAGAGGACGAGATGCTCGAAGCCTCGGCAATGGGGCAGACGGTGGTGGCCAGAACAATGGTGTCGGTGACAACCACGGTGGTCTTGGCCGACTCGGGCAGGCTGCCGGCGCCGGTGGAGTTGAGGTGAGCCGGGCAGTTGGTGACGGTGGGAGCACAGCTGATGACGGTGTGAACCGAGGTGGCGATGACGGTCAACGTGGTGGCAGCAGCATCGTCAACAGCAGCGGTGGTGGTGTTGGACCTGGGGAAGTGCAGGTGGCGGATGGGAGAGCTGGCAGAGGCCAGGCCGGCGAAAAGGCCAAAAGCAGCAACGGCAGCGGACTTCATCTTGATGATTGGTCGTGTGGTGTTGGTTTTTTTTTTTTTTGATATTGTTCGTGAGATGGGCGAAAGTCGATTCCGCGTTTTATATAAAAAGAGATTCAGAGAGTGTAAGTCGACGTCAAGCCGATTGGGGAAAAAAGACTGGCTTATTTTCCGTTGTAAGGAGTGGAAGTAGCTGTCAAACAGACGAGCTGGAGCAAAGGCAGACAAAGCAAGATTTTTGTTGAAGAGAAGAAGAGAACAAGAAGAGAAAGAAAAGGACGAGTCAGGATGGGGATGGATGTCGAGCCTTTTTGTCCCGCGAGAGCCCGCGAGAGCAAACACCATCACCAGCCAGACAAAACGTAAACGCCCCCTTCATCGCCCCTCCCCACGCCCTCTGTTGCCTGCCAGCACTCCGAATTGCGTCAATTGATTGCTGACTCTGCCCCGAAATCCCATTCCGTCTATCCATGTCCGCCACCCCTGATGGAGTCGCAGACATGTCACCAATCTGGCGGCGCTAAACATCGCCGGCCACTTAGCATTTGACTGAAGGCCTGCTAGTGCCAGGGGCCTATGCAGGTACGCAGCACCAATCCGGAGCCGCATCAGCACCTGAGACGCGCCGAGAGCCAATCACTGCGCCATCACGGAAGAGGCGCCGTTTCTTGTCTTGAGCTGTGAGCTGTGAGCTGTGAGCTGTGATTTTCGCTGTGGCGCTGGGCTGATTTGCGGACAATGGAGTTTGACGAGTACTATCCAGTTCTTTTCTGCCTTGCCGCTAATAATCAGTCGAGGGCGGTGGGTAAGGTGCCTAAGCTGAACTTCACTGCCGGTAGGTACAGTACTTGTGCTGCTGTATCCGTAGGTAGTAGGTACGAAATACAGCGGCGCTCAACTGAGTCGGTCAGTTCCGTCTCGTACGAGTATCTTTTTCCCAACTCCAAACAGGCCTTCTTCTAGATGCTTCCGCATGCAAATATGCGCCGAAACGGATCCCCCAACCTTGCCTGGACAACGCTCTAATGAGCAAAGCAAAGTGCCAAGCCAAACGCTCAAACCCGCGACCGAATCAATATCGACGGCTGCCTCCCATTGGCCCAACCTTGTCCAGGGCGGCGACCAAAACACCAGCAGGGCCCTTAATTTGCACCGCCCAACAAGCAGTTCGCAATGCCTTGAGTCTCTTCATTTCCAGTTTAATCTATTCGCCTGTTAGTGCGCGTACAGATATGTACCCGTACACTTCGCAGACTCGTCCAATTTTGTTTGATTGCTTTCCCCAGTCAGTCCATTTCCTCAACACTGCACTTTGCACGCACATGCACTTACACGATGGCATTTAATTCACTCAATGACGCCGTTGGCTCGGCCTCGCCTGCATCCTGACACGGACTTTCTCAACCGCGTGGGTCATGTTTGCCTTCATGCTCGTTTGATGCCACCACCCCCAGACTGGGAAAAACCCCCGCAAGACACCCCCTGGATCCCCCTACTTCTGTGTCTCGTTGTGAAACGTCCAACTGCTGGCTTGTTTTGGCTCGCACCTAAAGTCCCAGCAAACGAGAGCTTGTTGTCTTGTTTCACAGAGCTAATAGTCGCGAATATATTGAGTTGAGCTGAGTCTCTGGCGATCCATCAGCCACCTCACCAAGTTAGTCCCCAGGATCGCTGTTTGTGTCACTGGTGTTACCCCCGTATCTATTATTGTCAATAGACCTCCCAACCACTCGCTTCGTGTTTTCACAAGGGCCGGGTCAGCCAACCTTATTCTCCAGAATCTGTTTGAGATAAGAGAAACGAGAAACGCATGCGGCCCCTGCGTCACTCCCAGTCAGTGTGCCCTTGCTTTGCTTTGTTGCGAATCCGCATGTGTACGTATACACGTATTCACCCTGAGCCATGCCAGTCGGCTGAAAAAAAAAAAAAAAAAAAAAAAAGGCGTTTTCCTTTTTGCCATTCCCTTCTCTTCGCCCTTCCTCCCGTCCCTTGCCATCGTCGGCATAAAATTTGACAGCTTGTTTTCCTTAGTTGATATGTCACGGACCGCGGGGTGGGCCTCCGAGTCAGCCACGACCACAAGAGTACGAATCACGGTATGATGGTGACTCTAGCACCGAATGCTCGAGAGTGCCTACACGGTGAGCCGTGCCATCTTCGGCTGGCCGGCTTGGCAAGCCGGCACGTTGAGATTGCGTCTTAGTGGAACGTCATCATTTTCACGGGTAAGCGCCGCGTGTAATGTAATGCGGTTTTTGGGCATATCGGCTCTTCGTCCATACGGTGTAGTCCGTATGATTACGATTTGGTTATTTTGTCTTACGGCATCTTTCAAGCTTCCATCATTCCACTTCCTCTATCCTTGGTCGTGGCCGTCCAGAAGCGTCCACCAGGGTACCTTCAGGATTTACGTGCAATCCCGCTAATCTCGTCAAGCCAGGAACGGCGCTCGCCTCCGCCTGACTCGGCAATAGACTTGCCATGCCCCAATTCTCAAGGCTCTCCACAACATCGCGTGCGTGTTGTTGGACCAGTCCATCGTTATCGGTTGCTGCAATGTAGCTGAGAGTTCTCTGTATATCCTCCCGGCTCTGATTTGTCAGCCCAAATCCCAGTTTTTGCCCAGATTCCTTGGCCTTGTCCAAGGCCTTCACAAAACTGAGAATAACGAGGATAGCTGCTCGTCGAAGTATGCCCTTCTCCAGCTCCGGCTCCATGGCGAGGACATTGATACTGAGGTCGACTCCTGCTGAGACCAAAGTCGGCCCCATGCCAATAATGTTCGTCTCAATGGCATTTCCAAAGATGGAAAGAGCTGAAGTCCGCATGCGAATATCCTCGCTCCCTCTTTTGCTTTCCCAGCCTTGAACAATTTGGGCCAGTATCTCATTATTGGCCATTTCCTCTGGTGTTTCTTCTTCACCCGCCATCTCAGTGTCGTGGTCAGCGTCTCCGCTAACTTCCGCTTTTTTCCTCTTCAGCTCATTCAACCTTTCCTCTCGTGCCTGCTTGGCCATTGTCTTTGGTCTATATCCCCTTCTGCCTGCAACCGACAACATGCTCTCGCCCGCATTCCGGGCGGCTTCTCCGGTAAAAGTTTCTCCCAATCTCTCAATAACCTGAAGTATTGCCTCGCCAAACCTGAGGCGTGTGTCTGTAGATGACCTTTCCTGTGCATCCAAGTAATGGTCGAGAAGCTCCTGCATTGTCGCATTGGGGTGCTTATTTGCTAGTAGCGTGAATATCTTGATAACTCGTAAATTGATGTAGTCCTCATTTTCTTTCAACAGATTTGACATCAGTACTGTAACGGCCGATATGTCCAAGATTGGACTTTCCGCCACAATCAGATTCGATAAGAGGTTGAGGCCCTCTGATACCACTGGTGGCGGGTTATCGCCATCTCCGGTAATGTAGTTCATGGCTAGATTGTAAGTCTTACGATCTTCAATCTGACGGGCAGTAGGGGCAGCTGTTTTGTCATTCGGCTTCTCCACATCATCCCGGTACTTGAGCAGCATTGTCAAATTGCTCGCAGTGGTTGACGCTTCACCTCGATCTGCATCCCCAATCCTCACTAGTGCGTCCTCGACAACCTTCAGTTCAGTTGGGTTAATGTCTGACTTTTGAAAGGTCGGCGCTGTGATTACCAAGTTTAGTAAACTGAGCACAACTCCGATGATATCATCTCCAAGGGGTGCCTGGCCGTCAGCCCGCAAAACATGAGATATAAGCTCCAACAGCTGATCAAAATGGCTAATCAGTTTTTCCGGAGACTTGTCCATGAACTTTTGTAGCAAAGTCACATCGACAAGATCGTGGATGGCAGAGTCCGCTTCCTCGTCTCGAGTGACGAGCTTGATGGTCGAACTGCTTTGGTCGCCGGCTGACTGTATCCATCGTCGCAGGAGGTATAAGAAAACCGAGGAAATTTCTTCCGTTGTACATACCGAATTCAGAAATTCAACCAAAGTAGCCGATTTCTTCTCCATCTCTCCCCAGTCTAGATTCGCGTCTTGCTTCTGTTCGGCAAACGGTCGGCAAGTGCTCTCTATGCCCCCGTCAGACCCATGGCGGTATCGCCATCGTAACCCTTCTGCATCATCCAGGGATCCTTTGCATTGAATATTACGGATAAACGGGACGATGTTGTCCACATCGCCGAATAATCTGAGGTGGGTCTGCACAAGAATCTGCGCAGGCCTGCAGAAGCGCTTTTCGGTCTCTTGCGAGGGGTTTATCCAGGAAGCGAGAGCCCAAAGCTGCAGTCGGACGGGTTTAAGGACTCGTTTACAAAGGCCGGGTGATGGGTTTGACATGATTAACAACTCCAGCCGTTTAAGCGATCTCTCAAGGTCTGAAGCAGTAACAACGACTTTTTCTCGGCCCAGCTCCACAACTTCATCAGCCTCTTCTGAATTGAAAGAAGATTTTTCCCTCGAGGATTCTAGCGACGGGTTGATGGTTTCTACCAGAGGCTGTACGAAAGCGTTCCAACCAGGCGCCCCTGTTTGCGGTGGTCAGTATGCGCATATAGAATATCGTGAATGGCTGTATGATTGAAAATTATAATTTTACCTGGTGCTCCGAATTGCTTTTTGCCCAAGATGCCGAAGCCTACAATCTGCGCCGCGGTTTTTGCAACATCAAGTCCAGCTTCGCCATCAAATAGAGCCAGTAACTGATCAGATATGCCATCAAACCACTCCTGGGCATTCATCAACGCCGGGACAGAGGACAGCAGTTTCGTTGCAACAGCTACCGCCTCGTGAGTAATGGCAGCTCCTTGCTTTCCGCGGCTGCCGCTGTCATCCGCGGCTTTCCCGGTGTTGCTTGGGTGAACTGCAAACACGAACTCCATAGTAGCTCGAACGCCGTCGGACCGCAGTGGCAGATGCGTCAGAGTCCTCATCAGCGGTTCCCTTAGCCATGGGGGAAGCACATTCGGCTTTATCAGGGCGTTGAGAGCGTGTATCAAGATCCATGTTTGCGTTCTGACCGCATGTCAGGCTTGTCTTGAAAGTCGGTTCCTTCTCTAGGCAACCTCACCTACCTCTCAACTAGCTCATTGTATTCTTGCAAGCCATCCTGTCGGCTTTCAGCAGCGGCCGATGGATCGAATGCTTTTTTGGCAGCATCCACGATATCCTGTGTGATTTTTGGCTGAGATTGTTGAGTATTCGCCGAGTCTGCCATAGTATTCAGCCACTACGTAGATGCAAAAACCAAAGACTTTAGAAATTGATAGGCTTTGCAGAAGCTCTCTTACAAAATGAGAATGAGCTAGCTATCAAATGAGCTAATGTTTGTGACACAGGCTTGACAGGATAGTGCAAAAGCAGCTGGAGCTCCACGAAAGCCGTGTGGACTGTACTTTTCTACTGTGCGCCTGTGAATCAAGAACATCACGTGAATGCGCGTTCTTGGGCGTGGTCCGTGCGTCAAGCTGTCATCACATCCCTACTCCACGCGTTTCTCTATGTTTACTAACTCGTCAACCACCGTCAGAGCACTTCAGATACGCCAATTCCTCGATTTACTGCTGGAGATGCCGCCGTCGTCCAATCCAATGTCTTATCTGTACGTACTGTCTCTTGGATATCCTCATGTAGCTCAGGACAGAGCCTCCTTCGTTGCCCCAAAAGCAACACTCCATCTGCACGTCGCCTCCCCCACAGTTTCCCGATCCTCGTTTTCCGCAAGGAATGTCTATTGCAGGCCTCTCTTCCAAGGCTTGGTTTACCCGCAATATGCAACTTCCGAGCCTGATCCAGGACCTCGTCGAATGCTGCAGTTGGATCTATTGTGGCCGGTCTCTGTCCGGCACCCGGACAGCCAAGTCTAGCTGAGGGAACGAGTTTCGGAACTTAACCCTAAGCATACATCTGGTTCAGTTTGCGCTCAGTCGTCCAATCTCCCTTCTAAGTCGACTGTGCTCCATATGGAGCCAGTATCGATGGACTGGGGGAGGACATCCAGTCACCTGAGGGTGCGCAAGAGGAAGGATGCCATGGGTCATTATGGTAAGAGCCTCTGGTCTGAGGACGCTCGTCAGCCCTCTCCGCTGGAATTCGCACTTTGGTCGAGAATAGGCTGTCCTTGAGATGCAGCCGGCATTTCAGGCAGAGAGACTGGCCTTGTCTGTTGGGATCTGCGACGGTGGCTTCATCCCCCCGGTGCAAGGTCTATGGCATGGAGCTTGAGCACAGAGAGGGCCTCATACAGTCAAAAACCGCATTTCAGAAACTACACTCTGTCCTTATGGCACCTTGCCGGAAGCCCGCTTCATAGCAGTGTCGCGAGTGCCATTTGGAATCACACAGAAATGCAACGGTTTTGATCAACCCTAACGCCATTCTGCAATGCTCTCGGATGCTCCCTACATGCCCGCCTATTTTCAGGATATGCGTCAACACGAATGTCAACGTCATGACCTCTGTCTGCTAGCTCTTTGCTCCTTGGACCACACCACAGCACCCGCTCTCGGTGTGTGATGCTGTGGGCATCTAGTCTGACCAAGCGCATTAACCTTCGGTCGTTGGCTCTGTCCCTCGATCTTGCAAGGACGCCAGTTCCTGGCTGGGCTACCCAGCAACTTCCTCAGTGATCTCGTAAAGAGACTACTGGGATGATAACGCGGCTTTTACGGATGTGTTTTGTGCGCGTGTTGATGCCCTCCTAACCATGGGAGTTCTGGAGAGGAAACAAAAACAAGTTCACGTTGGCAGTGCGAGACACACAGAAGGAGGCTCCCCTGACTACATCTGGAATATCTAGGCTACGATACGATGCTCGGACTTTGGACTTGGTGAATTTGAAGAAGGCAGCAAATCCATTATGGGATTGGCTCCGGGCATCGGTCCATTTCGGACACCGCGAATGCGACTCGGTGTCGAGTTTGAGATGGAACCAGGACCCATCTTGAGTTGGTGTCAAAGTTTAGCACTTGTCTCGTTCCTTGCTCAACTCGTTCCTTTGGGTCCAATTCGCGGGCTGCCGCCATTTGATTTGCTCATTGACACCACGTACTTTGTACGATTATTGGATTATAAGGACACACCATAGACTTGGAAGGCAGTCCTGGTTGTCCTTCTCCCAGAAATGGCTGGAGGACAATCCCCCGCTGGTGAGGGGATAAGTTACCCCTGTTCCGATGGCTATGAGACTTCTCGCTAACAATGCTCTGCAGGTCAAGCTAGGTCATCTAGGGATGTTCGCATCTCTCCGTTGGCATGCTGTAAACTCACCGCTGATTGCAACTTCCTCTTGTGTGCCGTTGTGAAAAGGTGCGATGGCAAGGCGATGTGAGCCCCAATTTGACGTCGATGAATATTCGTAAACGTTTTCGCCGAGATTCCAAGCCTAGAAATCTGCACCGGTACCATGTTGCGATCAGTAAGCGGCAATGGCCATTGCTGAAGGCGAGGCATCCATGGCCGCTCATCACGTCGGGCAATTTTTTTTATAGATACGCATCCCTGGCCGTGTACACATCAGTTCCCTGAAACAAGTGGGTGGCATCACGGCTAAAGTCGGTGTCCTTTTTTTTTCCATATGACGACGCAAGTCCCCGGCAGACATGGCGCGGGAAACTCGAAGATGTCATGTACAGGGTTTAGATGCAGCGCAAATGAGAAAGATTCTTGAAGCCTACTGCATTGAGCGATGGGGCCACCGGCCCGTTGACCTCTGCCGGTGGAGGTAAAGCGTGATGTTTTAGGAAAACGTGCCTAGCCAGGGGAGTCTTGTTTAATATTAATCAGCCGAGAGCCCTCCAAAGAGGAAGCTGAGGAACAATCTATCGAGCTTCGATTGAAGGGATTCCCATAACGGCGCTAGCTCCAACGGCTTTGGCCGCGTTGATCAGCCCCACAAAGAGCGAGAGAGAAAAAAAACCCTTCATCGCTTCCCAATCAGGACGCAGGGCGATGCAGGGAGGTGGAGTGCAGCCCTGGTTGATGTCGCAAGAGGTGTGAAACAGCATCCAGGGCCTGGCTGCTCGGAGGAGTTCCCTGGGCGGGCAATTAACGACGGAGAGCTGCTCCTCTGAGTGGCTCACCCGGAGAACTGGGCTGGTCACCGAGAGCGTTTTGGGACCCTTGTTTTGTGTGTGTGCCCGGTGGGATTAGCCTGCCTATCGTGGGCTATGGCACCAAGTCGGCCGAAGGGTCAGTGCCTGCTTGAATGTCGTGGCAGTGATGGTGATGCTTCAAATTCCTTGGTATGGACCTGATACATGTTTGGCGGGACTCCGCCAATGACTTTAGCACTGCCAAGGTAGCAGTGCTAAGGGAATAAGGTCCATTCATGTGAAATGCAGCTGCCTAGTGGCAAGCACTAGGTACTAGGTAGTTATCAGTGTAGACAAACCTGGTAAGTCTATGAGCTAGTAGACCGTACATTAGCATCAATACTGGCGTCCATTGAACATCTCAATGCCTTGCCAGGCAATGGAAAGGCACTCACCCAAGTAGGAATGGAATGGAAGCTCGAGGCATCAGGGAAAAGTGATATGCGACGTCAAGTTGCAGCTAGCGTCATCCTGCTTCGTACCTGAGTACCACAGACATGTCTTGCACGACAGTATCGAGGACCAGCGCCCAAAGTACCTCCAAGTATCACAGGCTAGGGCTCGGGTGAGATTATCGGCATGGCGGTACGGGGCTTCCTCTGCACGGAATACTCTGTACGGAGTAGCTTGTACGGAGCATTCTGCCAGGTACGGAGTATCCGTACAACCTCGGCCGAGTGGAAAGTGGACTCCCTGGGAACGGCAGGCATGACTTGCATCTCGGCCAAGACGCAAGAAGCACCCAGCAGCCCATCGCCCCACCATCCTAGAAGGGTGACGGTCTTCTTCCACCTCAGCTAAAAACAACAAACTTGACGCCCAAGCTCGTAAGCAGCCAACGGCAACGGATCCGACTCGCCAGAACGCGGCCTCGAAGCAACTAACGGTAAAAGGATCGCTCAACTCTTGCACGCTCTTAGAAGTTAGAACCGCGCGGCCGAAACTGAGGCATGGCGGCCAGCATGAAGGGCCGATGCCGTTTGAGTCCTGTATCGCCGAGCTTTACGGTTACGAGCACAGTACAAGGTCGCCAGGACTTCACCGAGCCGCTCCTTCGCCCAGGCGCGCGAATCTTGGCCCTAGGGCCCATGAGAGGAAAATATCGCCGTACGATATGCTGTGCTATCCTAGTCAAGTCTGGCCTAAGCCCTGTAACGACAGTCGGGGGTAACCGTGAACAAGCACCAAGGCAGAGCCTCACCGTTCCGCCCCCAAGAAAAAAGACAAAACACCCTTTTCCCGCCCCAAGCTTGAGAGTTTTCCGGCGTTTCCCAGCGGCACACAAATCCCTCCGAGAACAAAAAGTCCCAACTCCCTTGCCAGTTTCCAATCCCTTGTTTGCAGCCCTTTTCAGATGCCAGTTAGTTAAGCCGTGGGCATCAGGCCATCCCGTGCAACAGCCAAGGACTGCTACAACAGGGTAGTGCAAATTTTTTTATCTCTTTTTTTTTTTTTTTTTTGCTCTAATCCGGATCTCCTTCTCTTTTGAACCAACGCCGAACTTTTTCCCTCGCTTCAATCAGTGAAACTATCCCAGCCAATTCCCTTCCCATGTTTTTTCAAAGGAGTGTGTGAGAGCAGCCGCTTCAGAATCCATCAGATCATGACACTCGTCATGACTTTGAAGCTGGAACAGAAAATGCCTGCATCTCCTACCTACATAGTTGCAACATCAAACGGTTGCGCTGCCGAGATCTGATTCAAATGACCCCTACCCACCCCATCGTTAGCCCTTCGAATCAAAGAAAAGCGGGCCTGGTGTCCTCTCTTACCAGAATCAATCGAGCTGGCTGCCATTGAGCAATTACCAGCGAGCAATGGTTCGATACGAAGATGGCATGGTTCTGCTTGCCAATGTCACAGTTCGGGGCTGTTGGTCATCGTCGACAATGCCATTGCCCTTGTTGGGGAGGGTCCAGCTCTCTCCAGAATCACCTGGCGCAGCAGATTCCATGAATGTATCTTGTAGGATGTCGTCTCGGATGCGAGGTGCGATAGATTCACGAGAGGCCGTCGAAATTGGCAATAATTGCTCCTCGGCATCTCTGCCTTCAGCCTTTTTGTCTCATATGTTAGCTTCATGAGATTGGTCATTCCGAGCCTACTGCCACGGAGCTTTCATGGCTGTTTGGATGTTTGGTTCCCTCGCTGATGTGACTTACAATGCAGGTCGCACATGGCGAGTTGTTTACCCACACCCAGTTGGGACAGTTGTGCGAGTAAAAGTTCTTGCAACGATACTTGTAGAAGCCTCCGCTGCTCATTGTGATGATGAGACAAAGTATATGTTGAGAGAGAACAAAGTGAGAAGGAACAGGTCAAGACAGACTTGAGACCAAGGGAATGAGGAGCTGAGATTACAGAAAGATTTGCGGTATAACTTATTGGGCTGTTGAACGAGATGCCAAAAGTGCTGATCGAGATAAAGGCGAAAACGAGGCCCTTTGACGGCCTTATATATCGACTTCTCGGACGGCCGGCTTTTCGAATGAGTTTCAACCCCGGACACCGTATTAAGATACACACATGCTACGGTGCATCACTGCGAAAAGGTTCTCACCCTGGCCTATCCCGCTTCCTCCGTATCTTGAGAAGCACTTGTCGCCATGTACTCGAGGGGGGTGTTTGGCCAACGCTGTATTGCATTAGCTATCCCGACAAGGTCATCCTCCATACTACATGGGAAAAGAGGTGGCGCCCGGGGGATCAAGTCAACTGTCCAGGGGTGTCTGGCGAGATGGGCCTCAACTCCCCAGCCGCCTTGACGCAAAGAAAGTGCACTAGCAAATCCTTGCCCGCATACGAGTACTCCAGAGCAAAGATTGTCAACTCCAACTGACTTGACGCCCAAGATGCAACAAGATATTGTGCCGTGCAGGGAACGTGTGAAAACTCCCCATCTCGCCACTTATGTAAGTGCTCCTGGTGGATGGCGTCGGGCCTCATGATTGAGTTTAGCCAGACACACAAGGCGCTATTTACGATGCTAACAGACGCAAAGCAACAACTCCCCTCAGCTTTGGCGACTAAGGAGGCATCCCCAGAGCACTAATAGTGGCCGCCAAAGATGACTACTCTTATTATTTTTAGCGCCTCGTCAAAATTTGCCAGTTTGTCTATAGGTGGCTCTCTGGCACTAGCCAGAGAAGCAGCTAGGAACAGCCCTGCGCATCTGGTCCACACACTCTAATGTCCAGCTGCATGTACTCGTACGTACGTAGTACATCCTCGTACTCTTACGAATGGGGCCGTTCATGTCCATCTTACACACACCCCTTGCGTCCTGGAAATCAAGTTAGTCTGAGTGTCTCTGTTATACGCCGCTTGTCGAGAGACTACAGCGTGGCCCACTACGGAGAAGCCACGAGCTCGAGGTCCAAGTCGAGACCAAAGGGAATACGCTGAATACTGTACTTGCACTAAAAGGAAGAATCAAAGGAATAACCATACGGAGACACGGGACTGGCCGGCCCGTGTGCTTAGACAAGTAGTTGAGGATTTAGGCTCGGCCGATTAGTGGGTGGCGTTAGGTCAACGATTCGAAGATCAGCAGCAGCCATCGAACGTCGCACTATCTTGATCTGTACACACATCGGAGGACGGAAAACTGGTGTCTCTCTGGGATGACGAAGAGGAAGTCAGCTGGGAATCATCCAAGCTGCTCTGCGTACTTTGCCACAGAGATGACTCGCGGAACACACACCACCCGGATTCTGCATGCACAACGTTCAAATCGAGGCGCCTCCTTTTCTCATTGAGCTGAAAGGCACCTGGCAACTGCTTCTCCGAGGACCTGTGTGCTTGAATGCCTCATGCGTCGTAGACAGCCACCCATCAGCTGTTGCCTATTGCCTCCACGACCCCAAGATGTTGTCTCAATATCCCAAAAAAATCCCGCCGTCGGAGACTGGAACCCCTACCGCTCAAAGGCTGTATCCTTGCTCTTCTTGAACCCGGGACATAAACGTCATTCCCCGGAAGTTTTGCAATGGGGTGTAAGTCCCACGCCAGAAGCTTGTCACAGGCCACAGAATCCAAGGTTGGGGCGGTATTTGATGCGATTCGACGGGGATGCAATGCCATTGCATCCACAAGCGCTGTTGTCTCTATCCTGCATGTACTTCGGAGGGGTGCGAGCAAGATTCACAGCCAAGTACACTGGCCATATCGCATACAGCGCAGCCGCTCATTGGCTGTTGCAGACACCAAATCCAAGACAGTGTGTGAGACTGGCTGTTGCTGCTGCGGAATTGTCTCGGTTTTGGGGTTAGCCCAAACGAGCAGATGGAAGGTTGTTTTCTCGTCATTTCTTTTCAACGCTGCATCCTAGAAGCAGTGAGTCGAGACAGAGACAGAATCACACAGATACTCACGGAACGCCGGAATTGCGCCCTTGACAATCGGAAGAGTTTTGACGCAACAAAAACTCCGCTGCAGTGCAACAAGGCTCTATTGGAAACTTGCGACCAAGGCACGTCGCTGTTGGACTCGGCTCTTCTACCCTGCTCCGCTCCGATTCTGGCTCGGTCCGCCCCGTATACTGGCGGCTATCGACCCGACATGCCATTGCTGCTAAATCTGGAACTCGAGGCCGCCCAGTGGCGCCGTCGCAGTTGGCAGGCTGTCACTTTTGGACGCGAGTAATGGGGCTTCATGGTGCCATGTTGGAGCCTCCGGAACACGGTCTAGGTGCAGTGGAGAAGAGGCTGGTCCTGCGTCATCCCAGGCTGTTTCAACATCGCCCACAATCCAACTTTCATAAACTTGGCACGCCGTCGTCACCTCGAAGTCAGCGGGGAAATTGAGCGTCGTCGCGTAAAACTTCCAATTGCGAATTGCTGCAACATGCAGGGAAGCCTGGCGCCGGCTCTGAGGACGAATCATGGTTTTCAGCCTTTCAAAGCTTCACGCACCACTCTACAACCTGTCATCCCCAGCATCAAGCCTCTAATAATCTATCTACATGCTACTTGTTAGACTCGATTGGCTCATATAGCCTTTGTTCGAGTCATTCTGGAAACATGTCATGTTTTGGTCGGCACAATGCCTCCGCAAAGTCGTGTAATCAATGCCTTTGGCTTCAGAAGTGGAACCCGAGATCTGCTGGTGCATTCGCCCACCGAGCTGCCTGTGATGTGCTATAAGCACGAGAAAACAACCTCGATGCAAGTTTTCTCCCTCGCCAATGCCGACGGCGTTTCAGCCGCATGCTAGAGCATCAGACGCACTCCTAAAGGCGTGAATAATTTCGCCTTTTCTAGTGTAGCGTCTGCACCAAACAGAAGACCAAGACATTATCCCGAGAGAACAAAACAGCATAAATCGGAGTGTATTCTGGGACCGTCGGATCATCAAAAACGCTTCATACTGAGACCCTTTTGGAATCAATGCCACGATGCTAAGTCTCGATCATGTTTCGTCGCTTCTGGCCTGACGCTACTGTTGCCTGGGTAGAATCTCAAGTGCTGATGATTGATTTATGCACGTCTGGTCCAAGAGTGGTTTCACGCTCTTCTTCTGAGCCGCCGCCATGCTGTCTTTTCATAACTCAGCCGTTCGAGAACAAGCGTCTGGAAAGGGTACACGAGCGCTCCGTAGCGTTAGATCCAATACTCCGCGCGGATCGGTCCATGTTCTTATTTTGTGAACGGCAGCGCTAACAGCTTGCCGCGCATACACGCCCCCTCCTCTCGAATGACAGCCGCACCTTGTCCAACTCGCACGAATAGTTGTCGCCAGGCATATCTGGTACTTACAGCCGCCTCACTTTTTCTAAAACTTGCATATGCATACTAACCTACTCTAAGCTTCGGGTCAGGGGGCCATCATTCCCCGGGCCACTATTTGTCTTATATGCAATGTACAGCGCGCAGGAGGGGGACCAATTCTATCCAATGTGCCGAACCAGCTCATTAACCCCCAGCCTCCTGCTCAAAGTGGCTGCACAGCTGCATTAGTACGAGGAGGCGTGGAGTTGCTAGGACCTTGGGTGCTCTAGCTGCAACCCGGTACTAGGTGCGGATGATGGGAACACAGGGCCAATGGTGCTCTGCATGTGCGACAGCCAAGGCACACTTGACAACTCAGCAACGAACAGGTTGTGGCGGTCCACACCCGGATGCTGCCGTCACTAGGAAGATGTGTGCAAGGCCGGCATTGAATACGTGACACTTCGCCCGTACCAGCCTCCGGGATTCCGGGCCCAGTGCCGCATGGTAAGGGAGGATGGAGCTTTCTTTACCCATCCACTTAAAAAGATGGATGGGCCAGTGCGTGATGGTCGTGTCTGCGAAGTACACGTGTGTGGGATCATAAGGCCCCGGGGGAAACACGCTCTTGGAAGGCCATCGCCAGTGTGGTCGCCCGACCAGCTGACATGCCGTTCATGCCTGAGCAATCAACCACTGGCCCGCAGTAACTTACCAGATTCGTCTACAGGTGCGGAGGAGAAGCATGTCTAAGGAGCCGTTTGCTACCGTATCCACCCCAAAAACAGAGCTTCCACCGACACGCTTGTTTTCAGCCGCGACACGGAGAAATACGAACAGACAAAAGGGGGCAACGGAGTGACGAGTTCAGGCCCATCTCCCGAACGATTCTATATTGCAACTGCTATGAATCCTGCTCACATGCTGAAACCAAGCAAGCCCGTGTCTACATCTAACTGGTCCAAAAGCAAACGCCCCCAAAAGCAAGGTAGTTACTAGTGTGATGCCTCCCTTACATAACAAAGGTTCCTTCTCCATTACTAGGCAGCACACGTCCAAAATCCTGGTTTCCATCAGGCTGCAGGCGATGACCGAAACTTGATGGCTGCCAACAGCTCATCCTCCACATTGTCCTTCATATCCGACTCCAACGAGCGGGGTCTTTGGTTTTTGGACCCCACGGCCTGAAAAGGGGGGGCTGTATGGTTGTTCTAATTTAGTCAACGTGAAGGCAAGGCAAGAAAAAAAGAAACAAGAGCAAGAGAGGGACAAAAAAAAAAAAAAAGGCAACCAAGTTGCCCGCTCTCGATGACGGCACAACAAGGCGGGCAGCCAATCTTATGACAGACTCGGCTCTAAGCGAGCAGCTGCGTCATGTCTCAGTAATGTCATCTTTGCAGCTCTCACCGACCAGCCTTTTTCATTGCCTCCTTTCTTCGTTTCTTTTCCGCGGCTCGGGCCAATGACCGCTTGATGTCTCCATCCTCCAAGGTGTCCATATCAAAGTAGACGGGTGCGATTTCCTGGTTGCTGGAGTCAGCCTATACGCCTCATTTTACGCAAGATGCAAGATAGCGGGGTATTAATATGCAGCCGACTTACCAATAACCACTCCGGCCTGATGCCTGTGCATGTTCGGATGTACTGTTTAGACGTAAGGACGAATTCATTATACAGGACCCAGTCGTACTCGGTACGAAGCACGGTCGAAGGATGAATCAAGACGGCCTGTTCATCCTTCACAGTGCGATAAACCTTGCCCGAGCTCTCCTTCATGGCCACCTGCATGAAAAATCCGGCCAGCATAGCCCGTCGGATGTTGGTGTAGTAGTTTTTGTCCTCAAAGGGTGTGGAAACCAGGTCGAGGCCGTGCGTCTCCATGATGCGCTTGAGTTGGGCACGAACGCTGTCGGCGCTGGAGAGGTGGCGGTAGGACAAAAAGTGTTCGTGGCACCACTGCTTGGCAGAGCTTGGGTCCGCAGTTTCTTGGCCCTTGTAGGCGTGATAGGCGTTGAGCAAGGTCAAGTGGTCGCCGTCAGGGTGGGCAAAGAGGGCTTTCATCTCATCCGCTCGCTTACGACTGCTCGCGGGCCGCACAAAGATCTGAGGGACTGATAAGAGGGAGGTGATGGAGAGAATCTCATTGGAGCAATAGAATTCCGGCGAAGAGATGAGCATGACGGCCAGGGCGGGATCCAGGGGAAACTCCGATGCCAGGCCGCCAAGGGTGGTCAGCTCACCATCATCATCGAGACAAGCAAGGTAGTTTAGCTCTTCTAGCGCCCGCATCATGGTCTCGGGGGCAGGAGGGTCCATCAGGTCAAAGTGCACGAGATCCTCAACTCCGAGCTTCTTCAGTTCCAGGACGGTGTTGGCGAGATTAGACCGCAAGATTTCAGGATAAGTCTGCTCAATAAGCTCCTTCTTGAATGCCTTTTCGGTGTAGAGTCTAAAGCACTTGCCAGGCTTTGTACGACCGGCACGACCGGCACGTTGCTGCGCAGATGCCTTTGAGATGGGCGAAACCAGTAGCGACTCGACTCTGATTCGAGGGTTGTAAATCTTTTGCTTGCTGAAACCGGGGTCAACGACATAGACGATACCGTCGATGGTCAAACTGGTTTCAGCAATGTTGGTCGACACAATGCATTTTCGGCCAGGCTGTCCACCCTTCCTGAGCGGGCCAGGTGCTTTATCGAAAATGCGCTGCTGCTGGTGAGGCGGCAGCGTACCGTACAGAGGATAAATCGCCAGTGGGCCGGCGTCCATCTCCCGCGTCAGCTCCTCGGCCTCGAGGCTAATCTTTCGACAGGCGTCCTCGATTTCGTCTTCACCTGTGAGGAAGAGCAGAATATCTCCCTCAGGCTCTGAGGCGTGGATCTGGAGGACTGTTCGGATGGCAGCCTCGACGTAGTCCCTCTCTGGCTCGGGGGTGTAGAAGATCTCGACGGGGTGAGTACGTCCGGGAACGGCCAGCAAGGGTGCATCGTTAAAGTACTTTTGGAACTTTTGGGCATCGAGCGTGGCAGACATGATGATAATCTTGAGGTCAGGTCGTCTCTCTGCAATCTGCTTCAGCAGAGCCATGAGAATATCGGTCGCCAATGTTCTCTCGTGCGCTTCGTCGAGAATGATGCAGCTATATCTAGACATCTCGTGGTCGTGCATGGCCTCGCGCAGAAGCATACCATCCGTCATGTACTTCAACATGGTCTTGGGCGTCGTCTTGTCTTCGAAACGAATGCTGTAACCGACTTCCTCTCCGAGCGTGACGTCCATCTCATCGGCCACACGTTGGGCAACTGACATGGCAGCGACTCGACGTGGCTGCGTGCAGGCAATAAGCTTGCCATTGAGGTGCGGTAGCTCATCGTACACGACGTACTGAGGAATTTGTGTGGTTTTTCCGGAACCAGTCTCACCGACGAAGACGAGGATCTGGGTTGAGTGGTACTTGTCGAGAAATTCTTGCCTAAGATGGAGGTCAGCGATTCTGCCGGATAGCGAAAGGCGGTGCGTCACGAGGGTAGCACAAACCTTTGCTTGTGCACAGGGAGATCTCGCCGCGTCTGCAGAATTTGAAAGTACTTCTGCGAGTGCGGGCGACCCGTGAATGGGTTAGAGTCAGAATCCTCCGCCTTGGATGCCTCTCGCGCCGAAGTCTGGCGACGCTTCATTCCTGCCAGAGGCGAGTTGGGCGACGGCTCGCTTGATCCCCAGCCATTCTCCTCCTCGTACATGTGAGCCAGGTATGGGTTGGCTTTTCCATCCATCTTGGTCTTCTTGTTCGATGTCTCGTCTGAGTCTGCGCTCGCTCGCTTTGCCCCTCTGTCCGCCATTTTGAAAGATTGTGAAGGCGTCGCGCAACGGGATTGGAGAGGCTGCCTGTCGCTAGAGATTTCTGGCTCGCGGTTGGCCTAGAAAAAATTTGGCGGGACTGGCAAAATGCTCTTATCGATAAGACTAGCCTTTACGGTGCCGCCTGCAGATTAGCACTGGCTGGTTTTTGATTCTTTGCCTATAAACGGAGTTGAGTGTGGGCAACCCAGCTTGTGAGCAAGGATGCATATAAAAGTAGCAGTGTGCGTAGTTGGGTGGAGAGGCGAGTATTTTACTTAATTTCATCCATAGGTATGTCTTGTCTCCTGTTTGAAGATCCTTCAGGCATTGTAGCCAGTGGCCTCAGGCAGCTTACTATCGTTGCAACTGAAGCATCCCCCATCAAACTGGTGAAAATGCGCACTGTGGTTACACTGCCCTGTTCTCTCCCACTGAGAAAAGCATCTGCATTAAATCAATCTGCTTTGACATTCAAGTGAGAGGGGACTGACCATCACGGCCCGCCCACGAGCTGAAAAAGAGTCAGGATTACCTGGCATCTTCATTTTTATTCGCCGCCACTCTGTCGCATAGCAGGGATTGCCTTCGCACAGAAAGGAGCGACTCCAAAAAGCTCATGCTCATCACCCCCACCAAGACAGAAACTTCCGGGTAGGGCAACCAGACTGCTCTTATAACTTGCACCCAAAATGGCCTCAGAATCAGAGGCTGGCGGCTTTTCTTTCCGAGGGGACTATCGGGAGAACCGACCCATGTTTACTCTTGGGTATCATGACTCGAAGAGAGAGGAACCGCTCTCGGAGCTGCAATATGGATACCTGCTGAACCAAGATGCGAGTGAGCTGATGGCCCTGCAGAGCTGCACAGGATACTGACCATGTGTACAGTTTTCTGTGGCCACCACGCCAATCACCAACAGCCGTTTCAAGTCTAGAGTCTTCAAGGTTGTGTCCGATCATCTGGCAACGTTGAAGGCCAATGGCGAAAAGGGAACGAGTGAGGCCACGGCCAATCGAGCAGACCCTATTCTTCTGCCTCTCACCCCGGAAGATACTGGCATGTTCCCCTCTCAAGCCGTCAACACCTATGTCGCCTACACGAGCCCCTGGATTGATCTTTGCTCGAATGATCCGGTCATTGCCAACATCTCTCGCCAGGTACTCAATCTCGAGATTAACTATGCAAGCTGGTGTGGTGTGAAGAGTATCATCATTACTGGACCTGGCCGAGACGCTTCCAAGGACGGGGGAAGCCAAGGGATCGCACAGTATTCTCGGGCTATTCAAGAAGCCTTGACTATTGCCCCCGCCATAACCATCTTGATTCATATCCCCATGTACCGTGAACCACCTGTTGGGACCCAGACTGAGACGTTGTCCTCATTGGATGCAGAGAAGGCTTCCAAGACTACTGGAGGTGATATTGATATATTCACCACTTGGGATTCTTGGCATCAGATCAGATCAGTTTGCAAATACAACCCTAGGCTTCTTGTTGGTAAGAGATTAAAACAACACCCCCGTTTCTTGCCTCTTCTTACCTCTCCTTTGAACCCGCTGACTTTACTTCACCGCAGCACTCAAGATGCCGAGAGTCGCGCCAGAGAAGGATCTGCAAAACCGATGGTTCTGCGAACCTCTTCACTACCTGACCTTCAGCCCCGAAGTTTTCCAGAAGAACAAGGCAGGCTATCCTAGTCTTACTAAGAACCACCAGGAGATTATTTTCGCCTACATGCGCCTGAAGAATGCCCCCTGGCTCTTGCTCTGCGATGTTGGTCCTGATGTACGACATATTACCGACGATGGCAAAGACGAGAAGGCACCTTTAACAGAGGCCGATTTCCCCAGCCTGGAAGAAGCTCATAAGCCCGCCTTTCGCGTGTCTACAGACTCTAGCGTCTACTGCGAGTACTTGCGATGGCTAGAAGGGCAGCAACCTCCATTTTCAGTCTTAGAGACACCCATCCTCACTAATTTCCAGGATTGGCTACAGTCGCCGCTGCAGCCTCTTTCAGATAACCTGGAATCTGCAACATATGAGGTCTTTGAAAATGATGCCATCAAGTATGATCAGTATGAATTGGCCATCGCTGAGGCTTTGAAAGAGTGGAGCGAACTAAAGCTCCCGACCTCAAAGCCTGGTGTTGTCGTCATGGCAGTCGCAGGCTCTGGCCGTGGTCCTATAGTGACCAAGGCTCTTCAAGCAGCAGAATCTACTGGCGTCAAGGTGGAGATGTGGGCTGTCGAGAAGAATCCCAATGCATATGTATACCTTCTTCGCCAGAACGCCCAGAAGTGGGGCGGCAAGGTGAATGTTATCAAGACGGACATGCGAGCTTGGAAGGGCCCATTGATCTCGGATTCTCCCGAGACTGGACCGGTATATGGCAAGGTTGATATCCTAATTTCCGAACTGCTCGGCTCTTTTGGCGACAACGAGCTCTCCCCCGAGTGTCTGGATGGCATTCAGCATGTTCTGGCAAAGCCTCACGGCATCTCAATCCCGCAGTCTTACACGGCACACTTGAGCCCAATTGCCACACCGAAGCTTTATACAGACATTAGCGCAAGAGCTCAGACTGACCCCAGCGCGTATGATACTCCCTGGGTGGTGAGCCTGTTTTCGCTCGACTTTGTGGCTCAGAGGGTACCAGGTCACCCTAGGTTCCAACAAGCATGGGAGTTTTCACACCCCATTCCCGACTCGACGCTCGAGGCCATCGCAGCGCGGCGGTCTGGAGGAGTTGTCGGCGGTACAGGAGGATCCATGGCAGGTGCTGCAGGAGCGAACGACCACAACTCCAGATTTTGCCATCTGACATTTGTTGCTCGTACTCGCGGAGTTACCCATGGACTGGCAGGATATTTCGAGTCCACCTTGTACGAGCAAAAGGCAGGTCCCAACAAAGGCAGGAAAACAGAGATCAGCATTCACCCGGAACGAATTGATGCGAAGAGCAAAGACATGGTGTCTTGGTTCCCCATTTTCTTCCCACTCAAGGTGAGTTTGGAAGCCTGGTGCTCAATGCCATGTCTGAAAGAATTATCTATTAACGCTGACACCAGCAACCCCTTTACTTCCCCGCGGATACTGAGCTCGAGGTTAGCATGTGGAGGCAGACTGACGACACCAAGGTCTGGTATGAGTGGCTTGTGGAGGCGTGGACCTGGGTTGGGCCGTCAACACGTGTCAAGGTAGCATCTTCAGAGCTTTGTAGCAGCCGGAAGATGGCATGTCTGATGTAGCTGTGCGGCATCTTGTTGAGACGCATAGCTGCGGCATTCTGTCTCGGGATCTTGATTTTACTTCTGTAGAGCGGTTAAAAATATAGCCGAGCGTTATGCTGAAAGAATCCGAAGTCGGTCGAGATCTGAAAAGTTTGGGAGAATATGAACCCTGATTTTCTCTCTCTATCGAAGGTGATATCAACATCAAGCTCAACTATGATGTTCATGTTCTGCTTTGCGGCCTGATACAGGCATCGAATGACAAACATGCGAGCCTTTCTGGGACGGCGGCAAATGCCGAAGCACCTCCGGGGCTCGCCGGCGGGGAAGCTGGTTGACCCGGCACCGGTACCGGCAATCGGGCAATTGCTGAAGCGCAAGCGCCGGTTGCATGTGGCTCGACCGATATACTTGTACTAGGATTTGTCCCCTGGAATTCCCATTGGTGTCTCTTTTCTGCTTTTCTCTCAGCCCTCGGCTGTGGGGATACAATTCCGGAGACCATGGCCTCTGTGCGATCGGCTTTGGGCGGACTGCCCCGCAAAACGGCAGCAGGATACCTGACCAGCTATTACCCCTCCATCCCCATCCCCAGATCTCTGTCTTCACTTTCATCTTCTTCGTATTTATCTCTGCGTCCTTCGAGCCCCCGGTCCTTTTCTCTGAGTCACGCACAGAGACACCAGCTAGCCACAATGTCTACGCAAGCAGCGCACCCGGCCCTGCTCATTCCAGGACCCATTGAGTTTGACGATGCTGTTCTCCAGTCAATGAGCCACTTCAGGTACGGCTGTCACTTCACTAGCCAACTCATTGATCGAGCTGCTAATTGTGTCCGGCAGCGAGTCCCACGTCGGCCCCGGCTTCGTGGCCACCTTTGGCGAGACCTTGACCATGCTCCGCCAGCTCTTCCAGACCACCGATCCTGCCTCTCAGCCCTTTATCCTCAGCGGATCCGGCACTTTGGGCTGGGACTTGGTGTCTGCTAACTTGATTGAGCCCGGCGAGGAGGCTTTGGTTCTGAGCACCGGCTACTTTGGCGACAGCTTCGCCGACTGCCTGACCACGTATGGAGCCAAGCCCACCAAGCTTGAGGGACCAGTTGGCGGACGACCCCAGTTCCCGGAGATTGAGAAGGCCTTGTCAGAGAAGAAGTACAAGATTGTCACCGTCACCCACGTCGACACCTCTACTGGCGTTGTGAGCGACCTCAAGGGCCTTGTCCAGTCAGTCAAGAAGGTTTCTCCTGAAACATTGGTCATTGCCGACGGTGTCTGCAGTGTGGCCTGCGAGGAGATTGCATTCGACGACTGGGGCCTGGACGGCGTTATTACTGCCAGCCAAAAGGCCATTGGCTGCCCAGCAGGACTGTCCATCTCGATGTTCAGTGGACGAGCGATGGAGACTTTTAAGAACAGAAAGTCTCCTCCGGCATCTTATTTTGCCTCGATGAAGAACTGGACACCCAGTATGTTCATATTTGTGTCCACTGCGCGTGCTTTGATATAGTCAACGGAGCTGATACTGACATGAAATCGTATTTAGTCATGCAAAACTACGAGGCCAAGAAGCCTTCGTACTTTGCCACCCCATCACCCCAGCTTGTCCATGCCCTGAACACCGCCTTGACGCAGATTCTGGCACGACCGCTGTCTGAGCGCTTCCAGAAGCACAAGGAGGTGTCCGACAAGGTTAAGAAGGCGATTTCCGACCTTGGACTGCAGATTGTCGCAACCAAGCCCGAGGATCAATCACACGCCATGACAGCCATTTACTTGCCCGACGGTGTTCAGATTCCCGATGTTCTTCCCAAGTTGGCCAGCAAGGGTGTTATCTTCGCTGGAGGCTTGCACAAGGCGATTGCGTCCAAGTACATTCGATTTGGACACATGGGTGTCTCGATTGTAAGTGCCCCAACTCACCCACCGGATAATGTAATATAATGCTGACACTTGCTCTTATAGACGGACCCCAACAGAACGGATGTCGACAAGGCCCTTGACGCCTTGAAGACAAGCTTGGCTGAGTGCGGTTACACCAAGGCATAGGAATCAGGCGGGCGGAGGCGCTGGCATTTATAAAGGGAAATGGGGTTGTTAGAAATCAAGTGATTTTGTCCTAAAGGATGAGTGGCGTTTGCGATGATAAAAGACATAAAGCACTATATCGAAGCTACAAGCTTACCTAGTACTTATTTCCAACCTTGAACCATCCGTTGAGCAACCGCATGAGTCTGTATTAATAATACATCCATGTCATGCGTGTTTAGAGTTGCATTAACTAACTCACGGAGTACAACCAAGTGACTTAATGCTACAACGAATGAGGGAAGCCTGGCTTAGTGAATGCAGCAAGCATGGGTAGCTTTTGAGTCTCCGTCATACCTAGGCTTGGGCTTGCGCCTCGCTGGGACAAAGAACCAGGCGGGGGAGCATTTTGAAAGCAAGGCTGGCATACCTACTCCGTACTGATAGCAGGAAAGTACATGTAGAGATACTTGGGACGGCAACGTCATGATAACGCTAACTCCGGCCTAGCGATAGGAACGACGCTGAGGTCGATGCAATATCTCCGGGCGGCTGAGGAGGTCCATACCTGCTAATAGAGCTGAAGCAGTGCTGAGCTGAACTGAGCTGAGCTGTCGTGGAAGTAGCAGTACAATTCTGTCGTCATTAATACCACCTTAGTAGTACGTAGGTAGGTAGGCAAGTAGGTAATTAATCGATCGTAGGCGGGCGGAAACAACAACATTGAAGCTCGGCCCCGCCATCCAATATTACCAGGCTAGTAGCTGTCTCCAGCCGATGCATTCGATCGGCCTCGAGCGTGGCGTGGTCTACAGGCACCCACAGGCCATCGCACTGCTATCAACAGCTGCTGTAGCGGACGGTTGGTAGGCATCCAACCGCCTGGAAGCCTCCGCACTCCCCACTGCAGCAACGGGGGGCCAGCGTTAGCTCATTTCGTTGTCCAGCACCACCAGCAGAAAAAAACAGGATCCGCTGCAACTCTTGCTTAACCTCGTCTCCCCACCGCGCCGCCCGCCTTTTCACTCTCCCTCACTTTCTCGCATTTTTCCTTTCCACGACCCGCGATCGTCTTTCTTCTTCTTTTCCTGTTGCCGAGCCTCTTCCTACGCGCCGAGAGAAGGCATAGAATCCCCCAGCAACCGCCGCCGACGCACCGCACAGCCGCCATTTTGTGCGCTGCGTCGTCCTGGGCCCTGGCCATCGAAATCGATTCGTGATCTCAACTGTCCCCCCGCCTTCGACCCCCCCTCGCTCGCGGTTTGCCCACCATGCCTACCATTGAGGAGCTCGACAGCACAGTCCGGGCCTTTTACGAAGGTCGCGGCGAGCAGGTAGGCATAATTCGCCAGTCGGATTTCTCTGGCGGGAACTGTATTGAAGCTGACCTTTGTCTTTTTTCTCCATCTGTAGCAAAAAGCAGCTCAGGCAGCCTTGAACCAGGTAAATGCTCCTCGACCTTATTCTCCTCAGAGCCGCCGACCTATTATACCTCGGAACCGGACGGTGGCGCTTAAGAAACGCTCGCTAACGTTTGTGTCAACTGCAGTTTAAGGAGGATCCTGATGCTTGGCTTATGGTCGACAAGATTCTATCTGACGCGCAGTATCCCCAAACGAAGTGTACGTGATTCCTCTCACCCCTCATCGCGTGTGTGGCAACCCACCAACAGGCTGGATGCGATCGCTTGAAACTTGTCTTTTTATTTGGCTGACAACTTTGAAAAGATTTGGGCTTACAAGTTCTCGACAATGTCATCATGACAAGATGGAAGGTTTTGCCTCGAGAGCAGTGCCAAGGTAGGCGCCCTTGCCCGTACTGTTTCTTTACCTCTTGGCAATGCTAATAGCTTGATTCTGCTGGTTCTAGGTATCCGAAACTTCATCGTCCAGTTCATTATCCAGTGCTCCAACAGCGAAGACACTCTACGGGCCCAAAAGACGCTCCTCAACAAGCTTAACCTCGTGCTTGTCTCCATCCTCAAGCAAGAATGGCCACACAACTGGCCCACGTTTATCAACGAAATCATTTCTTCTTGCCACTCCAGCCTTTCGATCTGCGAGAACAACATGATCATCCTTCGCTTGCTGTCCGAAGAGGTGTTCGACTACTCAGCAGAGCAGATGACATCCACCAAGACGAGGAACCTCAAGCAGACCATGTGTGCTGAGTTCTCGCAAATTTTCACGCTCTGCCAGGAAGTTCTCAACTCAGCCAACCAGCCGAGTCTTATCAAGGCCACACTCGAGACGCTGCTCCGTTTCTGCAACTGGATTCCGCTCGGCTACATCTTCGAGACCCCACTTATCGAGACTTTGCGAACCCGGTTCCTGTCAGTGCCAGAATTCCGAAACGTCACGCTTCAGTGCCTGACGGAGATTGGTGGTCTTCAGACGGGCGGCCCTGGACAGCCCAACTCGTACGATGAGCAGCTGGTCAAAATGTTCACCGAGGTTCTCACTACGATTGCTGATATTATCCCTGTCTCGCTCGACCTCAAGGCGACATACCCGAGTAGCAACTCCAAGGATCAAGAATTTGTTCAGAATCTTGCCTTATTTCTGTGCAACTTTTTTGGCATGCATCTTAATGTGAGTTTATATGCTCCCTTCTCTTTACAATTTCCCTGGGTGCCTCTGTTGGCTAATCACGCTTCGCAGCTCATTGAAAACCTACCCAATAGAGATTATCTCATCCACGGCCACTATTACCTCGTTAGAATATCGCAAATCGACGACCGAGAAGTCTTCAAGATCTGTCTCGACTATTGGCTAAAACTTGTCCAAGAACTCTACGAGGAGATGCAGCAGCTCCCCATTACTGACCTCAACCCTCTGCTTGCTGTTGGAGGCGGCATGTCCGGAAGCGGTGCTCCTAATCCGACCCTCTTGATGAACTACCCTCTCCGAAAGCACAAGTACAACGAAGTTCTTTCCAACCTGCGAGTCGTCATGATCGAGAAGATGGTTCGTCCAGAGGAAGTCTTGATTGTGGAGAACGACGAGGGAGAAATTGTCCGCGAGTTCGTCAAGGAGGGTGATACTGTCCAGCTCTACAAGACTATTCGAGAATGCTTGGTCTACCTTACACACTTGGATGTGGTCGATACTGAGAACATCATGACGGAGAAGCTGGCTCGGCAAGTGGATGGCTCTGAGTGGTCGTGGCACAACTGCAACGTCCTTTGCTGGGCCATCGGCTCCATCTCCCTCGCCATGAACGAGGAAACCGAGAAGCGATTCCTTGTCACAGTCATTAAAGACCTTTTGGGACTTACCGAAATGAAGCGAGGCAAGGATAATAAGGCCGTTGTCGCCAGTAACATCATGTACATTGTTGGACAGTATCCTCGCTTCCTCAAAGCTCACTGGAAGTTCCTTAAGACGGTTGTTAACAAGCTGTTCGAGTTCATGCACGAGTCACACGAAGGTACGTATCCCCACCCTCTTTCTACATTTCGTTTCTGATGTTGCCTCACATGCTTACCAATTAAACAGGTGTTCAGGACATGGCTTGTGATACATTCATTAAGATTGCGAGACAATGCCGACGTCACTTTGTCGCCCTCCAGCCCAGTGAGACAGAGCCTTTCATCGAAGAGATTGTGCGAAACATGGGCAAGATTACTTGTGATCTCACTCCCCAGCAAGTTCACACCTTCTACGAGGCCTGCGGCTACATGGTCGCTGCCCAGGGCAACAAAAACCAACAAGAAAGGCTGCTCGCCGAGCTGATGAACATCCCTAACGCCGCTTGGGACGAGATTATCAAGCAGGCGAACATGAACTCCTCAATCTTGCAAGATGCGGAGACGATCAAGGTTATTGGAAACATTATGAAGACCAACGTTTCTGCTTGCTCTTCCACTGGTTCCTACTTTTACCCGCAAATTGGCCGGATTTATCACGACATGCTGCAGATGTATCGAGCCACGAGTTCGCTCATCTCCGAGGCCGTGGCACGAGATGGTATGTGAAGATGCTTTTGTTGCTTTCCCCATTTAATGAACTGGGTGCTGATGTGTACTATAGGTGATCTGGCTACCAAGATGCCCAAGGTTCGCGGCTTGCGCACCATCAAGAAGGAGATTCTCAAGTTGATTGAGACCTATGTTGACAAGGCCGAAGACTTGCAGGCCGTCAGAGCTCAGATGGTCCCGCCATTGTTGGATTCGGTTCTTGTTGACTACAACCGAAATGTTCCAGGAGCCCGTGATGCCGAAGTCCTCAAGGCCATGTCAACTATTATCACAAAGCTTGCTGTACGTCATCTTTGAAGGTTTACGTTTCTGGAGGAGAGCTAACTCGATCAATAGGCATTGATGGAAGATCAAGTTCCAACGATCATGGAAAATGTCTTTGAGTGCACTCTGGAGATGATCAACAAGGACTTTTCAGAATTCCCCGAGCACCGAGTCGAATTCTTTAACCTGTTGCGAGCCATCAACCTGCACTGTTTCCCAGGTAAGTCGATGAGATGCTGTGCAAACTGTGTCCCCCCTGGATATACACTGACCTGTAATAGCTCTGCTCAAACTCGACAACAACCAGTTCAAGTTTGTTATCGACTCGTGCTCCTGGGCATTCAAGCATGACAACAGAGATGTTGAAGCTGCAGGCCTTAACATGTGCCTGGAGCTGATTAACAACATCGCCGAGAAGACAGATATTGGCACCGCCAACGCCTTCTTCCAGCGTTTCTTTGTCACTATTCTGCAGGATGTGCTCTTTGTCGTGACAGACAGCGACCACAAGGCAGGATTCAAGACTCAATCCATGCTGTTGATGAAGCTATTTTATTTCATCCACCCAGCCGATGGCACGCAGCCCAAGATCCAGGGACCCATCTATACACCTGATCAGGCTCAGGCTGGAACCAGCAACCGAGAGTATCTTGCCGCCTCTGTGGCCACTCTATTGCAGAATGCTTTCCCCAATCTTCAAACGTAAGTCGTCGTCAGTGCTTCCTATCTCAGTCGCGTACTAACAACCCACATAGAGCTCAAGTGGCCAGCTTCGTCGAGGGACTCTTCACACTGAACACGCAGTATGACAAGTTCCGCCTCAACCTGCGAGACTTTTTGATTTCCTTGAAGGAATTTGCCGGTGACAACGCTGAGCTGTTCATCGTCGAAAAGGAACAGCAGGAGCGCGATGCCCGAGCTGCAGACATGGAGAGGCGACAAAAGGTTGGCGGTCTTCTCAAGCCATCCGATCTGGACGACGAAGAGCTCTGACTTCCGCAAGAACTCCGAGCGGAAGTTGCGCCGAAGCGGGATGCTGAAGACTTGCCGGGCATGAAGAAGGCCGAGGCACAGTACGGAGCTCTAGACGGCTGGGAGCTCTACGGACTGTGATTCTGGCTCCCTGTCTGGGTGCTCCGGGTTTCGGCCAAGACTTCATTTGGCAGTGTGGACGTTTGGCTCCCATTTTCTTTTTGTAGTGATACCAAACCATAGAGCCACGTGGTCTCGATTTATGGCTTGACATTTTTTCATCCAGCACCAAGGTAAGATGCCAGACTCTTTTTCGCCATCATCTCTCACCACCATTCGAGGTTTTGTCTGGCAGTTGAAAAAAAAAAAAATTGCGTGTCAAGCATGGAAGGGCTGGTTATGTAGAAAATTGGGGGATTTCTTGGTAGCAAGGTGGTTCAAGGAAAAAAGGTGCTGCGAAGAGAGACAGAGACAGAGACAGAGAGAGGAGAGAGATGTCAATGACAATACGATTACTTTATGAAATGTAGGAATTTTAAATCAGGAGGAGAAATAGATTAGCTGGAGAGGAAGACGTGGATCGCTGCTAGCTCCGTCAGTTGGACGGATTATGAATAAATAATTCTTCTATAATTCTTTTTTCTTCCCTGCCATATACTAGAAGAGTAGGAGAGTCATGAGAGTCATGAGGCTCATGGCGAAGAAGCAATAATGCCATAAAAAGAAAAGGAGGAAGAAAAAAACTACAGCGTGGAAAATGCTCAAACCCAAACTCGGCCCAGTCCATCTGTATCGTGAATGCCCTTATACGTCGCGTCCCCAATGCCGCGATAGATGAAAAAAAGAAAATGTACCACTAATATACAAAGTACATGATGCATGCTCCATATACCCACCCCCCTTTCTGATTCATAAATTTCCCATATATCCGTTAGCCAGTCGTCTGTATCCTTTCTTTTTTTTGCAAACGTTGATTTGTTTGGTGGCGCGTCAAACACGCCTCGCTAACAAGCTCCCCCCTCTTCTATGATGCTCCCTTTAGTCAGTCTCCTCCTCGATCACCTTGAGAGGCCACGCCAGCGGCTCGTGCCAATGATTTCCCAGATACCCCGCGATGGCGCGAATCAGATTTGCGCCTGCGGTGCCAAATATCCAGAAGCGGCGGCAACGATGGATCAGCACACCCAAGTAGGCTAGAATCACCAAGGCTTCAGGCAGCAGTGTGCGTAACACGTCCACGTATTCCGCCTCGAGGGTGACGATAAATGCAGATGGGGCATGGGGGACGTCTTGATCAGGAAGAGCTCGATGCATGTCGAACGCCCACTGAAGTGAATTAATGGCAATGCGGCAGGCATCAGCGCTGGCTTGATCAAGCCGGGGTGGAGAAGCGTCTCCATACCGGGACACTGAGGATGCGGCCGCATCTATCATTTGGCGGAGAGCAGCGCACTCTGTGCCGGATTTCAATGTCACCGCTGCAATATTGGCATCGTGGGTGATGTGAAGTAGAGGGTATAGCTCGGATTGCATAAGGTAGTCCCAGGTTGGGCGAACTTGGGCAAGAACACCACGATGAAGATGGATGCACTCAACCATGCGTTCAATGAACCCGTGGAAGCTGATGGCGCCGCCACTGGGGCCTCCACCTCCAACACTTCCTCCGCCACCTCCGCCGTGGACTCCCATGATATCGTGGTGGTAGGGAAGAGGCTGTGGCTGCTGATGCTGTAGTAGTGTCTCAGCTAGGACTTGGTTACTCAGCAGACTGGCAAAGAGGAACCGAGGGACGCAGGTGGCCGTATCATCGGCCGGGACCATGGCTGCAATACGTGTGAAAGATGACAGAGCGCGTGTCTGAAGCTCGGTGGCCTGGTTCCTAAAGGATACAATTGTGCCGTTCAACGGCATCTCTCCCGGCTTGGAAGTGAAGGCCACGTGCAGCGCCGACAAAGCCAGTAGCTGGTCAATGAGGTAGGGAGCATCTATCAGGTGCCTGATGGCGATGTCGAGGACGACCTTGATCTGGCCGCGGGCCAAGATGCAGTCGCTCATGGCATCGGACACATGATGGAAGAGCATGAGATGCTCGGCCGTGAAGAGAGTCGCCGGGGGGACTGGCGGGTGATATGCGGTGTTGGTGAAGGACTCTGTGAAGGACGGCAGGGTCTGAGGTCCCGCGGGCGGCGCCGGCGCGAACCTGTAGCGGCCAGCACCGATCACAGACTCTGGAGATGTTGACGAGGGATCAGGACCGCATGGCGGCCACGGAACCGGGTGGTCCGGCTCGCACGACGATGGCGAATGTTGAGATTTGCGGCTCAAGTGCGAGTCGGCCGGGCTGTGCGGCAGCTGCGGCTGCGGAAGGGGCTCGAGTTGGCTCTGAGGCTGGCGAGCTGGAGGGAACGAGCATGCGCGCTCAGCAATGGTGCAGTTGGTGCAGGCTGGACGGCGCTCGTCGCATCGTATGTGTCGTCGCTTGCACTCACTGCAGCCGTTCCGGGATTTTCGGTGCGATCGTCGAGTCTTGACGACGCCGTTTGAACCGGAGCTCCCGTTGAGCTGGTGGTGCATGGTCATGGCTGGGTGACGGGCGGAAGACAGACGATGCAGGGTGAGGAAATGGATGGCGACCCAAAAGGCCCCCCCGGATGCTCTGGGTGGTGTTTTGTCCGCGGTCAGCCTGAGCTGAATGTGAATGGTAGACAATCACAAGCTGCCGGTGATAGGCCAAATGCCGTCAATGGCATGTAGAAGTACTTTTGCCAACTTTATGCTTTATGTCAGGCCGTGGCTGCCGTGGCTGCCGTAGCTGCCGCACAGGCAGGTGCTCCGCCACAAAGCCTCGGGAGCGGAGCCGAGAGGAACAAAGTCCGAATACGAGACGGGGTGAGGTGCCATGCTTAAAGCCCGTGTGGCTGGTGAGCTTCTGGCGTCTGGCTGTGCTCCGCAGTCGATGCTGTTGCACCAAGTATACCAAGTATTCTTCTTCTTCCGCGCAAAGAAGTGCATCGTCTTTGTCGAGAATCGTCAATCTGTTGGATATCTTCATCTAGGCGGACGAGGTGGAGCCAGTCAGCAAGTCAATCATTCTGTCTGTCAGTCGGTCAGTGACGGCATCTTGCTAGCTGCAAAGGATAACGTCCGATTTGACAGCGCCAAAAAAAAAAAAAAAAAAAGGTTGCCGAGAGCTGATGTGGCACCAGCAAAGCTCACAAAGAAAGGGCTGACGCTGATAGATGGGCAGTATGGGGTACAAGACAGAGACATACCGGTCATGATTGGCCAAAAGAATCCGAGCCGCATGAGGGTATCGAAGGCAGGGATTCGGTGCGAGACAGAGCGATATCGATGCTGAGAAGAAAGACTTTTAGCAAAGAGGCGCACAGTTGCTGTATTGGAGCAGTGTGCCAGGTAGCAAGAGTCGATCTGCTTCATTGCAAATCAGTGATCAGGCCTCTGTCGTAACATCCTGCAATGGGCCAGAGCTCCATGGTTCGTAGCAACATGCCACTGCTGCATTGATCTCTGCTGCAGGTCAGCGTCACGTCTGCATCTTGACACGTCGTCTTGCGGCTGGTGGGTGTCAAAGCGTCTCTAAATCCCAAAGCTCCGTGCAAGAACAGAAATTCCGCATCGTGGCGAGAGCGAATCGAGGTGTAGTTCGACAGAGCGTGTGTTGCGTATAGGTGATGGAAGCTGGTATTTATACGAACAAGAACTCAGCCACATCACTTGAGAGGGGTTGGAAGTACGAGTATTCGGATGGACGCCTTCTAGACACCGGGCGGGCGTGGGTCGCTGATTAGTGACGAATGACGGTGGATAGCGGACTCTGAGCTGCTGAGTTATTCCCTAGCTGGGCAGCTAGCTCTAAGAAATACGCGTATTGCGGAGTCGACCTGGGTCTGTCGGAAGCAATGGAACATTCAAGGGTTTGGATACGCGGACCTAGATTAAACGGAGAGTTGGGCAATATACCCTCATTGCGTTGGGTATTAGCTTTGTCCAGGCAGTACTACAAGGTTGATTGGGTGATGCTGAGACTGTAAATGAGGGGAAAGGCTAATATTCAGCACCCCAAGTTGGCTGTCTAGTTGTCTAGCATCCCAGCGACTATGACGAGTTCAAATGTCGTAACAAGACGCAGAGAAAGATCGTTTCTAGTACCTCTGGTATCTCTCTACCTATTCATACTCCTTGCCCTCACCTCGCTCTCGCCCTCGCTCTCGCCCTCACTCTCGACCTCACTCTCGACCTCACTCTCGACCTCACTCTCGCCCTCGCACGAGAGTAAATAGTCCACCGCCTCAGGCTCATTCAACAGCTCATCCGCTCCATTGATCGCACCGCTAATGGCCGCAACTCGAGTAAGATCCCACAAGAACTGTAAGAGCTCGAAATTGGGGGCCACGATGGTACCCATGGCCGTTTTTATCTTAAGGATACACTTCTGACCGCTGAGGACTTTACGGCCATCCCCCCGGGAGGTTAACGGCGGGCTCCATTCCTGGTCATTTTCGAGCCCTGCTCGCTTCATGATATCCTCAAAGGTTACGGAGTCGTGCGGTTTGGTCAAAAATTCCTGCGGCTTTAGACTTGATTTCTTAAGCCAAAACACCTGCGCAAGGACCGAGCCGTCTTTCATCTTAGCCAAAGGCTTCAGTGCCAGGCTGGCTTCAGTGAGTAACAGATGAAGGTCGTTGCCGAGATGGATGAGGGTTTCTGCAGAGAAATTGAAGCAATAGGATGGCGATAGTTGGTGCCACAGCCTTTGCGTTTCTTCATTCCAAAACTGCCGAAACATGGTGCCGATATATTCGCCAAATTCCCGATCCATACTTGGGATGATTCGGCTCAACGATGTGTCCTTGGTTCCACGAATAGGACACGGCCCGCAGAGCGAGTGAGTATACGGATGGAGAGCAAATTCGCATCGACCCCATCGCTCTTTTTCATGGCACTGGCGCCCGCCTCTGATGACTACGCGGTACGCAGAAGTTGTTAGAAGGAACTCATGTTAGGGGTTTTGAAAACTCACAGGCCTTAATTCCCAGCACAGACTCGATATGCATTACCCCAAAGATTCCTGCAGCTTTGAAGAGGCACATGGGAGGTTCGTCAGCATCTAACATGCTGATTAAGTGCCGCAGCCGATCAAGGGGGGCAACCATGATGATCGCGAATCCAACTGCATTTAATCCAAGCTGGATGTTATGGTCATCTTGGAACTTTTTGAGCCAAATGAAGACGTCGCGCCTGGCATCAATATCCGTAATATAATTGAATTGTCCAAGTTCAAGTTCTTCAAGTTTCTCAACTAACGCAGAATTTACTTGGGCCGCCAGCAGACGTGCTACTGGAGAGCTTTCAGGGGCATGAACTTGAACATCCATTGAGACTTATGTGTTTGCGTAATTATTTATGATGCTTCAGGCCAGATGATGAATTTATCGAGAGTAAGTGTCATGTCCGAAAAATGAAGGGCGTCGATGACCTTTATATACTCCCTCCTCGACCATAGGGGTTCTATTTTAAGTAATATGATAATTTGAAGCAACGTATACTTTTCTCAATGTTGAAGATATGGCATCTTCTGATTGACCGAACCTTTACTGGCTGAAGTATCATCCATGAGGAACTTTAATCGTGTACATACTAGTTTGAGAATGCCAGGTATTCAGCACTAAAAGGGCATCGACATCCAAAACGGCCTTAATCACGCCCAATTTATAGAGTCTCATGGCGCTTCCCGCGGCTTCTCCGGTCGACAATAGACACGTCAATACCCATAGCCACGGGCAGAGCCGTTGATAGTAGTCCTCTTACTCTTCGAAGGGTAACGATTTCCCAAAAGACATAGGTGCAGAAGACGCCGAACGCCCTGGTCGTAAAGGTTCGTAGAGCTTCTCTAACGTCCGCTTTCGCCCATGAATCACAATTTTTTCTCATGATGTTAAGCGTATTCTTTACTTTATCTGGAGGAATTTCTCGAAATTGCGTGTCTGTGAGCATGGAGTAAAATATCAAGAGGCTTCTTCATTCACAGCCACCAGCAAGATCAAGTAGATATAAGGACAGGTAGACAGAGTAGATCAAGTAGATATAAGGACACGTAGACAGAGTAGATAAAGTAGATGGAGTAGATGGAGTAGATGGAGTAGATGGAGTAGATGGAGTAGATGGAGTAGATAGAGTAGATAGAGTAGATGGAGTAGATGGAATAGATGGAGTAGATGGAGTAAAATAACTAAGGTAGGTACATATATATAATTATTATTAATTCCTCTAGATTGCGGATAGCCTATTGCTTAGAACAAACATTTTATATAGAATATAATCTATCAAGGCATTTAAAGCCGTATCTGGTTTATCTTTTCAGCTAGGAGATCTGATAGATTTTCTACTATGCTGCTGCTGGGGCCTTGGTTTCTCGCTTTAGAAATAAGAGTCAGGATCATCTTGACTCCCACAGCTACCGACTCCGACCTCGTACGATCGCGGATCATATTGATCGTTTGATCCGCGCTAGATGGATCTAGAGCACCTGACTCATTAAGCACAAGACGAAGTTCGTCGAGGTTCGAGACTGCAGGAACGGCTACCGTTGTATCAAAGCGCCGTTCAACGTCCAACATCTTCAGTGTCGAGACCTGCGATGTTGTAACCAAGATAAGGAGCCGGTGCCCCTGTGGATAGTGAGTGATTAGCACATATAAACCAATTTCATAGTTGGCATTCTTCTTACCTTGGGGGGCTTTGCTGCAATCAGCGTAGTCAGAGCCTCCAGTATGACGTTGGAGAATCGCGGGCCGATCGGATTCCAGCCTATCAACTGCTCAAAGTCGTCGAGGATCAGGATGCTAGCGGCTGACTTGTAGGCATCCGCAAAGGCTTTGTGAATGTAGTCCTTCTTGGCATATTCGTCTCGATACCCCACCAGGTCATCCGGAGACACCAGCTTAATAAAGGGGAATTCGGATCGCATAGCAATATGGGCGGCCAGGGCTGTCTTTCCGGATCCACTTGGGCCGTGAAACAGCACAGATGTGCTGAATTGGTCGGGGTCTTGCTTGACCATGCGAACATCACCCATCGACCTCTGGATGATGGTCTCAATGTGGTGGCTGTAGTGTATTATGCCTCGTCTAACGGCCTCTTCGAGATCGGCCTCGGACACTCCGTAGGCAGGATGAACTTCAGTCAGGGCATTCATAAAGTCATCGCGGTTCACCTTCATGTTTACAACATCCTGCTTGACTGCAGCCAGCTGTCCCACTTCGCTATGGCGTGAGAAGGCAAATGAAGTTGCCGCCTTGACAAGACCGCTGATCTCAGCACCTGAAAAATTCTTCGTAAGGCCTGCTAGTTCCTCAAAGTCGACGTTCGGGTCCAAGACACCGTTGGTGCTCATCTTTGCCGTATGGATCTTTAAGATTTCCAGTCGGCCCTGCTCATCCGGAAGAGAGATTTCAACGTGCACCTCCAAACGACCAGGTCGCATTAGGGCTTCGTCAATCATGTCTTTTCGGTTTGTCATTCCGATCAGGAGAATGTTGTTGAGTTGGTCAACACCATCCAGCTTGGCAAGGAGCTGGTTGACAACACTGTCGCCAACACCAGTACCTCCGCCGGCTCCAGATCCACGCTGCTTACAGACAGCATCCAGCTCGTCAAAGATGATAATATGAAGGCCACTCTCATCCCCCTTTTCTTTGTATTCCTTTTCAGCGTCCGCAAAGAGTTTGCGGATGTTCTCTTCAGACTGGCCGACATATTTGTTCAGCACCTCGGGACCGTTGATAACCTTTGGCGGCCTGGCATTGAGCATATGACCAATCTGTCTGGCAATCAATGTCTTTCCCGTTCCTGGGGGGCCGTAAAGAAGCATTCCCTTGACGTGGGGGATGCCTAGCTTAGCGACCAGGCCAGGGGGGAAGACACGAGATGCGAATGCACGGCGGAAAATGGTCGAGAATTCATTTCCCAGTCCACCAATTCCCATATCTTCAAACTTGAAGTCCGGAGCCAGGATTGCGTTGGAGTTTGGCTTCGTGGCTGAAGGTTTGAGGTTGAAGTCTCCCTTGGCATCACGATGGAACATAACACGAGTCTGGTTAGTGAGGATTCCCCTAGCATGAGACTCCCTGTGGATCTGTTTGCTTCCATCATCCGCCATGGACAGGTCAACTAGGCCAACAGTCTTGACAACGATCATAAGCGGTATGTTTCGAACGTCCATGAGAATTCTCTGCCCAGGAGCAAGGACCTGGTTCTGGAAAGTGTTGATAAAGACCTTGGAAAGCTCATCTTCGTCGTACGGGGTCTCTGTCCTCTTTGTCGGTGAAGCGAACCCAATTTCCACATCTAAAGTCCCCAAATATGCCTTGCCGCCAGACGCAAAAGGATCGAAAACCTCTCCGGTGAAGGTATCTCTCATAGCAACACCACACCATGTGCGTTGGGGGTCGGACAGACTAATACAGCCTCGAGGGAATCCTTGAATAGGTGTCGCAGTGACGACGAACTCGCCGGGTGGCTGGCCGGCACGGAGGAGAACATAGTAGTCTGTGCCATCTCGTCGAGGGGGGAAATCTTCGGCAGAAACAGCACAACTGAGACATATTAGAAGGCATATTTAGCCTAGATGGGGAAGAGCACTTGCATGTTTCCGTAAATCAGCCTTGATTGCAAGGTCTTATCTGCAACCTTCTCAACTTGCAGTGATACCACCCGTCCGCCTCCAGACGGGCCCTTCTCGCCACGCTGTGCAGGTGCTGAAGGGTATCCTTGAGGGCCACCGTATCCCGCCTGCGGAGCACCACCATAGGGTTGATATGATGCGCCACCAGGAGGCGGTCTCTGGCCCTGGCTGGGGGCCATTCGAGGATTGCCTCCAGGCAACCCCATGCCGCCGAAGTGGCCTGGATTACCACCAGGAGGGGCTCGAGACATTGCTTAAGGGGCGGGGTCGGTTTGAAAAGTCGGTCTTTTGAATATCTATACTGATATCTCGTGCGCTGTCGATCGGTTCGCGTTGTGGTGGAATGTGGTAGGAGCGGGTATGACAAGAAAAAGAGAAGAGGAAGGACAAGAAGATGTTGAAACAGCAGGATCAGTTATACATGTAGAGTACCCAGTTATAGCGCCATGAAGCTTGCGTGAGGTGGCCAGACATCGTAATGCTGCCTGATAAGGTTTAGCGTGAGTCATCGAAGCCCCGCAAGGCCCCACGTTCCTGCTTCTCGCAAACCTTCGAGTAGTAGGTACTCCGTACCTTTGAGTAGGTAGTACCTTTGAGTAGTACCTTTGAGTAGTACCTTTGAGTAGTACCTTTGAGTAGTACCTTTGAGTAGTACCTTTGAGTAGTACCTTTGAGTAGTACCTTCGGGGGGTTTTTAGTGATAGGTAGGTAGTTACAAGGTGGAAAGCGATGAAGTTTGTGATGACCGAGCCATTACGGAGTGCTGGTAACCATCACGCAAGGTAGAAAATGGTACAGTCATCGCAAACTTCATCGCTTTCTGCCTGCTAGTAGCGATACTAACAGGAGTAGTGATGCTAGAAGAAGTACCGATACTAGAAAAATATCTTAGAGGTAATAGTGATACTAGAAAAGTACCTAGCGATATTATAAAGTACTCGTTGGCTCATCTGGTTGGCGATGGCTCTAGATTGGCTCGGGCAAGTCCTCCTCGTCTGTCAGATTCTTCAAGTCATCGATACACGTATCAATTGGTCTGGTGGATGACCACATGGGAGCACCCGGCTTTTCTTCAGTGGTTGACCTCGAGACCTCTTGTTTGTCTTCCTGAGCAGTAGCCAACCGTCCTGGAAGCAAGGTAGTGATACTAGGTAGAAGAAATAGCAATAATAGCATGATACATATTTATTGAGTAGGTACGCAACAGTTGCCATTATACTGATAGCAAGGATAAAATTATGGCTCCAATAAGATGCTGATAACCTTCAGATGACTTGTTGCCTATTTTGTGGCTTAAGTGATGGTTTCCCATAGGCTTCACCCCTGAGCCTGTATGAGGTGTTGGAAAGCCAATATAATAATATGGCTTCCCTTGAGCTCTTTGCCGCAGACTCAAAAAGCAACATCAACCCGCAAACCGACAAAACCACGGTAATCAGCTTTCATTTATTCGTCTGGGGAATCAACATAAGAATTCAAATCGCGGCTCTCCCTCAATACATGATCGCCCACCGCCTCCGCCTCGCTGCCGTGCGCAGAGCGACGAGGTCCAATGTCTTCTTCAGCCAGAACATCCCGCGCATGGTTCTCGCCTCCGCCATGTCAACCTCACAGGCCCGGTAAGCCGCACCCGCCGCATCTATAAAGGATACAAAGCCGGAAGAAGAAATAAGCTGATATAGGTCTCTCTTCCACAGGCTCATATCGACCCAGCAGCTCTCCCAAGAAGAAGGCCAGCAGGTCCTCGTCAACCAGCGCCTCAATCGCCCCGTCTCCCCCAACCTAGGCATCTACAAGATAGAGTAGACCTGGTCCGGCGCCTCAGCCTGGACCCGCATCACCGGCTGTGCGCTCTCCGGCGCCGCCTACGTCTATTTCACCACATACCTCGCCTCGCCTCTCCTAGGCCTCCACGTCGAGAGCGCCGCGCTGGCTTCCGGCTTCGCTGCCCTGCCCTTCGTCATCAAGGGCGCCATCAAGTTCACTTTAGCTTTCCCCTTTACTTCCACTTTATCAGCGGCATCAAGCACCTGGTGTACGACTTGGGTATCGGGCTTGCCAAGGCCCAGATCAAGCAGGGAGAGATTGCTCTATGGGTATCAAGCTTCATCGGTGGTGGTTACCTGGCTTTTGGCTTATAGAGAGCATCAACGAAAGGCTTGGGGGAAACAAGACACGTCATCAACCTTCTTGCATGGGAAAACGACTTTGATGTCGTTCTGATATAACGACTTACCCTATAGTTATATATAATTTTAACTTCGTATTATTATTATGATTATTATTATTTTATATTAGACAATTCTATGGATTTATGTTCGGTTCTATAAATATATTCGTATTATTCAAACGTGCTTAGATACCTAGGTATGCTAAATACAGGTGCACGGTCTTGGATGCACATCAGCATCTTAGACAGTGACCATTACGTTATAAAACATGTTGTTTCATCTTACACGTGCAGATACAGCAATTGACACGAAAAACCGCTACGGGGTTTCCCAAATATCCGTCTAAACTGAACCTCTTACAGCTCACAATAGTATCTGATACCATACAGCTCCTTCAGCGAGCAGCCCATCAGCCTCAATGGCAGGGCCAACCTCCACGATAGCGCTCAAGCTCCCATCCAAATATTCATCAGCAACGTCTGACAGCGCAGCCCCTACCATCGACTGGCTCTCGCGATCATGGACCGTTACGCACTCAACCCTCTCCATGTGGCGCGCGGCGCGTAACGTCCGCATCACCTACAAGCCCCTCCCGCCCAAAGCCGACGGCCGCCTGCGCATCGACGACCTCGTCGAGTACGAGCCCAGCGACAAGGACACTGCGCTCAAGTCCGTCGCCGGTATCGACACCCAGAGCCCCGGCGGCTGGGACTGGCGCGGCAAGGGCTGGCTCTTCTTCGTGGGCAGCCATTGGGAGCTGCTTGGTTGGGGGGAGGAGGCGTTGGCGGACGGCAGGACGGAGAGGTGGGCGGTGACATGGTTTGCGCCGACGCTGTTTACCAAGGAGGGATTGGATATTTACAGCGACCAGAGGGAGGGGCTGAGTGAGGCTACGTATGGGAAGATTGATCAGGCGCTGAGAGGGTTGGATGCGAAGGCGTTAGTCGACATGGTTGCGCAGGATATGAGGCCGGTTGAGATCAAGCTTCCATGGGCGCAGAAATGATACCCGATGTTGTTTTAGACTTTGCTTTATTGATTCAACTAGCTAGAGGAATGCGCACGCTCGTCATAATTCATTAATTTCTGGGTATGCATTACTATATACAAAAGGTCCGGCAGCACGCCATCATTTCTCATTTCTCATTTCTCATCTCTCATCACGCCGGTGCCTGTGCCGCCTCCGGTCTGGGGAACGCGATCGCGAGTCACCACGCCGCCTTCGCCGCTCCTCGTCTTTCTGCCGTCTCCTATCACGATGATCATCGCGACGCTCACGCCTCTCTGAATCCCGATCTTTGTATCGTCCTCTGCTTGAATCGCGCCTACTGGAATCTAGAGTGTTTCTTCCTTCTCGCTCTTCTCTCTCCCTATGTCGATGCCTGTGTCTGTCGCGATGTTCTTCTTTGCGCAGTTGTCTGAGTTCATCATCTCTCTCTGCCTGTATTTTCATGCGCTCTCTCTTCAGCTCGCGAATTTGTGACGCGCCTTTCTTCATCATGGCCAATGGATCGTTGGAATTGATTCGGTGAGTGTCGCGAGCCTTGCGATCGGGGTCATTATTCCCCCAGACGTCTCTGGACGAAGCGTCTGGAGCAACCCCTTCACGCTGTGAATACCAAGGCCTGCTAAGGCCATCTTTCCCAGCCGCGTTGGAAAACCGCATAGTATATTGATCTTCATATTCCTTTTCCTTCTTTTTCTTTTCGGCTTCGGCTTCTTCGTTCTTCTCTGCATGTGCTCTTGCTCGTTCGTCGCCAAAGAGGTCAATGTGTCCAGCACCATCGATGATCGGAGCCGAGCTCGCTGGCTTGCGACTGGATTCAACAACTGCGTATTTTGCGCTGCTCCTCTCTTGCGCCAAACGTAGCTCGAACTCGGTATCGTCCTCCCCCGGCCGCTTCCTCTTGCGGCCTTGACCAGGGAATCTTGATCGCGCGCTGACGGAAGTGCTCTCAGCCTTTTCTGATTCAACATCTCGCTCGTCTTCTAAGGGGGGAGGCGATTCGCCGCGCAGGATCGCTAATCGCCTCTGAGCATCGATTTCTTGCATGCGCCGCTCCTCCTCTTCCTCCGCGGCCTTGGCGGCTGCCTCGTCTCTTCGGACGCGGGCGATGTTGTCGGCATTGTAGACATTCCACGACTTTTTCCCTAGTAAGTGACTGGAATTGAATCAACATCAGTGAGATGCGTTGGCTTTTGTGACTAGGATAGAAGACTTACAGCGGCATGGCGGAATCTGTAAATGGCCTGTTCGTCTCAATTGACGAAGCTTGTTGCTGAAGCTGTCTTGTGAAACTCACAGCAGTCTTTGATAAGGGATAAGGCTCCAATCTGCAGTATAGAGGTGGGGCAGCGCTGTTAGTACGGTATGTCACCTATTGCCTGGTACCTGCTAATACACCTGTTTAGTACCAATGGATGTTCAATAGCCATGCACAGCCCCGCTTATTAGAAGCCCGCCTTTATTGGAGGCTGAAGCTCATCCACAGAACGCGTGACCCCAGATTGCGACAAAGAGCCAACTTTGCATCGCGAGCATTTTCACCCATCACCGCAAGCAAAGGTCTCACACAGCCAACCAAGCCGCTCTCCTTCACAATCCTGGAAATAGCCAACAGCTCGGTCTTCAGGCTCCCTTCATCCCCCCCTTTTTCCACTCACTCAGGCCGCTTTCAATGGATACGCCGCTTGACGACGAGGCCATGGCCCAAGCCATGGGCTTCTCTTCCTTTGGCGCCCAGGACCGGTCCCAGAAGAAGCGCAAGTATAATCCCCACGCCGACGCCATCGTCGGGTCTGACTCTGCGACTGCTCAGCGCGCGGCCAGGCCATCCGCAACAGGGTCCAACTCGACGCCGCTCGGTCTCCCCAACAGGAAGCCTGACCATGCCGCCGCCAATGCTGACGAGATTGACCTGGATGAGGATGAGAACGAGGGTGACGATGACGGAGTTGTGTCAGATCCGACTGGGATGCCCGAAAGGCCAGGTGAATCACCAGCCCCGGCGTTAGTGCGCCCACCTGGATTGCCAGATCGCCCACCACCAGGGATCGGGATCGGCTTCGTGGGCTCATCCAGAGGCCGCCAGGGCAGCCATGGAGCCCAGGACGGCTCGCGACGCACCGTCGAGTGGGAGGGATACTATGACCCCTCGTCAAACGAGAATCCCTGGAGACGACTGGAGGAATCGAGAGGCTTGCAATCCTTGGGTACATGGATTCCTCGGGGCCATCAAGCAAGTGCTTCGAGTTGAAAGCTATTATTGGAAGGTTGATTCGCAGTTACCGTTTAATTTCGAACCGCGGGAGCATGAAAAATGCCTACAGCACACCGTTGGCTCAATCAAATCAATATTACAGCGCATCAAGCATACTGGGTGCTGTAATGTTATTTTTGAGCTGTTCCTGGATATTCACGCTGATGAATATATCACGTGATGCATTCAACCAAGCCAAAGAAACTTTCAACGCTCACCACTTCAATGGTGAGATGACGACAGGCCCTGTGGCCTGGGGGGGGGGTTCGTGATGGCTTCAACACCTCTGCCAAGGTGGCCTCAATACCAGCGGATATGGCACGGCGCTTACGGGAAATGGGGTCATTCACACCTTGGAAGCCAAGCTTAAGGAGCTATTCATCACGTCCAAGACTGGAAAAGGACACTTTTATTGCTACAGAGCTTACAAACATCCTCATCATCTTGCAATAGACTCTAGGGTGCCCACAGCAACGCCAACAACGCCAAATAGAGTAGTACTTCCTTGCCTTTGGTTCCCGCCGATACCCAATGCAGCAATATTTCATCCCCAATAGGAAAGGCGCCTTCACATCCCATCACATCTTTCTGCCTCTACGGAGTCCTCGCTCGCTCGCTCCAGCTCATCGCACACCCCTGGTGGGGAAGAGGGCCGTCTTGGGCGCTGAGGACCCTGCAACCCTCGTGGTTTGCACGAGATGGTCATTGCAGCCCCTGGTCTTCCTGCAGGTTCAGAAAGAGGAGTGTACGCTTCGGCCCTGCTCCCCGATTGCCATCATCTATCCAATCATAAGTCATTATTGTCGTAAGTTTCTCGTTTCTCACCCCCACACCGTCACAGCGCCAAAACGGGGCTTGTGGCGGGTAGAACCGCCCGGCCATAGGGCTGGTAAAGCAGCAAGAGATCTGGCATCCAACCCTGCAAGATTGCCGCGCGGTTCGCGCCAAATTCAACTTCAGTTCATGCTAGTGAATGGAACGCTTTCCTCCCAGTTGAAATCGCTCAGAGTGATGCAAATTGTGGCCGAAAAGGCACAACTTTTGGTCGTGAATATAGCCGTTGGCGCAAAGAATGATGAAATTCGCTTTTTGTGAAATCGCCGGAAAAAGCCGTATTGATGAAAAACACAAAAGAAAACAGAGTGTGAGAAACCGATTTTTTTCCCGTGCTTAGTTGTACTCTGGGGAGGGAAAGCGTTGGCGAGCCTTTGCGTGCTCCTTGGGGTGCTTTCGTGCAGCCTTTGCGTTGAGAGATCTGCATTTTGATGGCCTGAATTAGCAGCAATTCTTATATGTAAAAGAAACGCGGTTGTTTTTCAATTGCGCTTGCTCCGCCACTTCGATCGTGGAAAGTTTAAACTTTGTTGTAGGGGGGTGACACTTACGAAACTTTCTTCTGAGTCCACTCCAGGTCGTTGCGGACCTCCCGTGCATCCCGCATGCCCTCAGAGAATCGCTCACGCGTCCTGGCAAGGCGAGCTTGGGCCTGCTTTTGCAGCTCCATGAGTTCGCGGTGCTTGGCATTGAGTTTACCAGAACTAGAGTAGAGACGAATATTTTAGCCCAATTCTGATAAAGGGGATTTAAGAGAGCCGTTTCAGTGTGAAAAGCGTCTCCTCTCCCCTCGAGGCGCCTGGGCTTTCGACCACGTGGAGGAAGATTTACTCACGTTTGTGCTTGGACAGCCATGCTCCGATCGAGAGGGATGGGGTCGAACGAGTTAGAGAAACGCTCCTGCATGTACTCCTGGAAGTCGACGCCGCTAGCGGAGCCGGTGCTTTCGTAGTCGCCGCTAGAGCTACCAATGTAACCAGCAGAGGTGGCGGAATATCCAGAGGGAACACCAGAGGCGGAGCTCATAGTGTCATCGCATTCTGGTGGGGAGCTGGAGTATTGGCTGTAGGTGGGGTATTGGCTGCCTTTGGAGGGAACAGCCATGGGCATGGAGTAGGCAGCAGTTTGGAATGAGCCAGACATGATGAATAATGGCCAATTGGAGAGGTAAATGGGCTAGAGCGTCGTGTGTGTGTGTGTGTGTGCGTGTGTGTAGTATCAGACAAGTGACCAAAAGTTGCCACAGGTAGTAGATGAGTATAAGTCCTGGTGTTGTTGGAGTTGAAGAAGGTTGTTTTTGTTTTGGAACAAAGGGCCAAATGTAAACTTGGGGAGGTAGTTGAATCTTGCTGGAGAAAAGTGATACGAAAGGAAGAAGAAGAATTCGTCTCAACCCAAACACAATGGCTCCTTTTATACTTTTTCAGGACCCTCCCCGGTCGTCATTGACCTAGTCAAAGGGATGAGAGACCATGCCTTCATTCGCCGGGGCCGGCTATCCTCGACCCCGCCTGTGGTGAGTAGGCAGACAAACATGAAGTGATGGCGCTATCACCATAGAGCAGCATGGACGAGACATTCGTGGAGACTTGCATAGTGTGAGCCGAGAGAGTACTAGCAAGGGGAGGAGGCGTGGTTGTGGACGTTGTGGACCAGAATCCTCTGTAGAGACGGCCGAGCTTTCACCATCCAGGATACCATTGAGCACTGAACCAACCAGAACAAAGAATTGAGAAGCAAGGTGAAGGAATGGGTAGGGGTGGGAATAGGAACCAAACACCAGTTGGACGAGGTAGAGAAAACATGAAGTGCGGTGGTGCAATGAGAACCAACTTAGACTGGACAGAGAACCGCTGTGAATTCCTTCAAAAAACACACCAGAGAATGTCGACCCCTACCGACATATGCCGGGGGGAGGCCAAGTTGCAAAGACCCCGATCAGTGGAGCCAATTCCCATTGTTAGATTAGACGCGGTGTGTATAAGTGGGAAAAAGTACATATTCCCAGTTTAAGGATCGGTAAAGGTGCTAGAGAAAAAGGCAGGGATGGGCGTGGGATGGGGTATGACGGAGGCTCGGATCTGAGCAAGGCAATGAATTATTCACTGATGGGAACCAAGGCCGGATAAGTGTCCCAGCCAGGCAAGACGAGGAGGAAAAGGGTGGCTGCACTAGGCATTGGGACCAACAACAGAGAAGCGCCATGAACCGGATGGAGATGGACACACGGACTCTGACAAAGGCAGCATCAAGGCTTGCTTTGCCATGGGTACTTTGCTTTGGCTATGGGGGAGGCAAAAGGTGCTAGACTCGGCATGGCCAGGATGAGGCAGTGGAGAGGTTTGTGCAGGCTGAGGACACGCCATGCCGTGGACCACGGAGAACCGACGGGGGCGGAACAGAGAGAGAAGAGAGGCAACGAACGAAGAGGAGTAGGGGGGGGGGGGGGTGTTTGTCCAAGCCGGAGCCAGCAAGTATGACGAACGGCCGTCGATTCATCGGCTCTGGAGCTACATTAGCTGGTAAGTATCTAGCGGCTGGAGCAGGAACAGAGAGAGAGGAAAAGTCTTTTTGTTCAACAAGCGCAGCGACGCTAGTTGGACGCGAAATGGTGTGTGCCAAAAGCAGCACCAGATTTCCTCTTTTTTTTCTTGTCTGGATTTTCCCCTGCGTAGACCTAAAATCTCATGGTTGGCTGCTTTGACGACGCCACGAGGGAGGGACCCATCGGATGCAAGCAGCGGTGCATTGCTGGGCCTGGCGGATGCAGAAACACCGGCGGACCGTCTACGATAGAGCGAGTACTCGTAGCAGCGGGTCAGGCAGGAGTGCAGCAGAGAAGCCAGCGCGAGCGCGGTCTTTTTCCCTTCTGGCGCTTGGAGAGGTGAGGTGGTGGTGATGCGTTGTCAAGATATCCGCCAGAGCATGTTCCGAAAGGGCCAAGATTTGATGCGTGTACAAAGTGCTGGAGGACAGTTGATCCTTGGTTAGGGCGACAAGGCATGGAAGGCAGCAAGGGGGGTGTGGCTGCAGCGGGTTTGGCGGTGGATGGAGTAAAGCCGACATGATTCGTCTAAATTCAGCAATATCAAGACAGTAAGTACGGAGTAACTTTGTGTGTGTATGACAGGCAAACGACAACGGCGATCGATTGAATGATAGAGAAACGCCGTAGAATGAGAACAGATTGCATGCAATGAAATCATAGGCCTTTTGCGCTTCACCTTCCGCACTTTGCTGATGCTGCATCCAACGCTGCCGGCATTGGCAAATACGACATGCAGCTTACACTTAGGTTAGTATTACGAGCGCATACCTTGCCTTGCCTTGCCTTGCCTGGTGCCATGTACATGTGCGTGGAGGACCTATCTTAAACTATTCAGTAGTAGTATAGTAAGGTAATACGCCTACCAACTAATAGGTAATTAATCGCTTGCCATGACATGCTCGTAATTACATCCATCTGTAGTAGCTATAGATTAGTAGCCGCACACCGCCGAGTATCGTCCCTACATGTATATCGCTCGCCGCAACGCCTGACAGTGAGACACAACTTGGACACCTTTTTGTCTTTGCGCCTGCTCGGCTGACCGATGCCACCATGGCACAAATGGTGGCAGCTCTACGCGGCACCGCTTCATTTTCTTGTGTTGCACTCAGGCTCCGACTCCACCACCTGGCTCCAGCTTGTCGAGACCTTGTGTCGTTCTCATTGGAGGTTAATGGCCATCCGAGCACCGGTTGAGGCTAATTCGCCCAGGCCTTGGGGGGCTTCTGCAGCCTCAATTGGTTGAAAATCGGACGGGCCAGTGAAAAAAAAAAAAAATTGGAAGGCGAACAAGGGCGTTCGTTGGAATTCGGTGAAAAGGACCGCCTTCAAGAGACGGCCTCGCCCCTCCCCCGCCATGTTCATCGTATCAAGAGAGACGAGAAGCTCGAACACGTCAGCTGTACATGAAGACTCGCCACGGCCAACAGGCGAACAGCCAGTATCCTCACCACAGATTTGCATCGCCAGATGCCCTGGGCGTATGCATCAAGCGCCATGGATGTCTGGTGGAGACGGCATGAGTTCGTCTTTTCGGTGTGTGCAGGGCGTCTGCAAATCCGTAGGGCCGTGCTGCAGCTCCAACGCATCAGGCAAGCAAGCCTCCTAGTGCATCGTGGAGACCAGGAGCCCAATAGAAGCAGCCCAAGATACCCGAGATATCATCACTCACTCGGCTTGACGCAGCAGGCCCTGGATGTCCCCTGCAGCGCCGCTTGGGGCAGAAATCACGCTCTGCCATGCCGCGGTAGGTACACATGTTACACATGGACGGACCACTAATGCAGTAAGAGGCATAATACCGGGTTGGTGCCAGATGGCGGCAAGGTAGACTTGCACCATGGAAAGTACACGTCGAGTATCGATGGTACGAGTCTTGATGGCTTCGATACAAGAGGCCGGGCTTAGCCATCGGAGGTCCGACGATTTGAGCCAGTGATTGCTAATTTCGGCACTTTACGGAGCACACACGGCCACCAGAGGGCCTCGAATGTAGAACATGGTGTCTGGGTGAGACAAAGAGGCAGTTAGTTGTGCGTGACACCAACCGTGCTCGGGCATCCTGAAGACGACTGACATTTATGCCTTGCTGGTTGCACCAAACATCCAGCCTGGATTCAAGACCGCAGGTTGCCTTGACCGCTGTCTTGGTGGTGAATTGATGCCTGGTTGCTTCTCGCTCTGTGAACTTCTCAAGAATTAGCAGCTGTAAAAGCCCACCCCGCTAGCAATGTTGTGCATGAATGTGGCTTTTGGAACGATGCCATGACAGAAACTTTACGGCGGAGATGGCGTGTAGGTTTTTCTGTGGACTGAGATGCGGGCTTATACGGCTTCGTCGGCCGACTCGACCAAGCGGCGATAATAATAATAATAACCAACACAGAGCTCGCTGGGAATCAAACAGACCTGGACTCATTGCCATCAAAGCATTGGAACTCAATGTCAGAGGCGTATGAGCATGCCTCGAGATGTGTGTCTGAATACATCATAGCGATGGCCATGACGGTGCGAGCCCATGAGGATGAAATCGCTAAAAATCAAGACATGGGTTAAGAAACCAAGAACCAGCCGAAACGGGAAAATCGAGTTTCGTTTTGACGTCTACCCTCCCCTCCCACACGCCCCCTCCTCATGTCCAGAAGCCTCTCCCGAAAGGCTGGGAAGAAGGTATGTGTTGTCAATGGCAGGGGGATAGCGACATTGACCAGGGGTCGAACGACAAGATTAAACTACAAGCATTTGGTATCACGGAGAAGAGGAAGAGGGAAAACAGAGCAATAGAGAAACCCAGGATGAAGCAGTAATAAAAAAGGGGGGACAATACAATATTCAAGTAGTATTTTTTTAAGAAAAAAAATTATTGAAAGGATAGAAAAGAGAGACAAAAAGAGTAAAATAAAAAAAAGATCTTCAATGCCAGCGTTGCAATTGAGTTCATGGGCTCCTACGCGGCTACGCCCGCCACCCCCTCCAAGGCGCAAAAGACAACTCATCACTGTGCAAGCGATTCGCAGCCGAAGGCGCCACCCTGGACAAAGACCAGACTGACCAATCTACTTTTTTGTTCCATCAGTTAATCCTTTATTTTATTAATTGTATTGATAAAAACGAGCAAGAGGAAGACTGTGTGTATCTTGATATGCAAAGGAGTCGAAACGCAGACAGACACACACCACAAATCCGTCATGGAAACCAAAACTCAACGAGGCGCTGTTTGTGCACGCTGAGGTGGCAACCCCCACCTTCTCACATTTGATGTCCAGCCCACCACTCTTTTTTCTCCCCCAGGAGAGATGATGGGTGGACCTTTTCCCTCTCTTTCAAACCGGGAGCCATGATTGTTTCTGGTGTGGCAATTCGTTTTGTTCCCTTTTTTGCTGCTTCTTTTCATTAACACAGCTAAGATACCTAGGAGGCATTGGTAGGAGAGAGCGAATGGAACTCCCATCATGGCCTTGAAGAGATCGGTTCTGGGTAAGAATATGACACGCCCAACGTATTTCGTGCATCAGCAATCCTGCCTCTTGGGACGTGCTCGTGGCACCTCTTCATCAATGGGCATCAGTGCATCTGCTGTGGCATCTGCGCGACATCGCCACGGCATACGCTGCCGCAACACACCATGTGTCTCCTGGCGGTAGATTTTTCGGTCGTAGAGTCGGCCGGCTGCATAAATTACTAGGTAGTATGCAGAGGTGGCTTAACGAGCTCATTGGCGGTCAGAACACTGCCATCCAACCCGATTTCAGGAGGCACTTGCATATAAAATTATGCGGATGATGCATGCAGGCATCTGGAATAGGTATATCAAATTACATGTCTACCTTATCTACCTAGTACTTTATCTACCTACGAGCTATCTACCAGCACCTCCTGGGTGACTACCTCGCACGTATGTAACCGGTGATCCATCGTATAAGTGGCGGCTCGCCGATAGCCTCTACCATGTGGACCAGAAGAGCCAGATAACACAATCAAGAACCAAGAAATCCCAAATGTCGTGATATAGAAAGTACAAGTGAAGAGGGGGAGGAAGATAGAAAGAATGGCATTACAGAGTGAAGAAGATGTAAAAAAGTACACATGTACCATTATCAAAACAAACGCAGCCTCATATGCGGACTGTGTATGGCTAGCCAAACAGCTTAAGAAAGCCCCAGATGCCAATTCCACTAAGCACCGGGATCGTCAGGTTGTCGTCCCATCCGAAGAGGTCGGCCACTTCGCTGGCGGAGGCGACAAAACCGGACCAAACACTCATGATACCGAGGGCTACGGAGCCGGAGACGGATGCCATGTTGTCCGGGATGCCGACGGCCTCGGTCAATGCTTGCGGCAGCGACAGAGTGCCCGTGAACATGAAGTTTTCGTCGCCGGGCATGGGTCCAATCGTTGGGACAAGCCACCCGTACCAGAGGTAGGAGGTGGCCACGCCGACGAGAAAGGCGGCCAGAGATCCGGCCAGAGACTTGCCGCGGCGCAGTCTCGGGGTATATCGTCCCCAGAGGCGGCCAAAGGTGCTGGCAGCAGTATCGCACCAGCTGAGAAGAAGGACGCTAATGACACCGACGTCCTTCGGGAAGAAGTAGAGGGTGATCCAGGCGCCCAGGAGATAGAAGATGACGCCATTCCAGCCCGCGTACTCGCTCTCTCTCATGAGGGCGCCGAGCACTTTGACGTAGAGCCGGTTAAACGAGGCGTATCGATGCCGCAGCCAGTCGACGGTTGTGATGGGCACGAGAGCGGCCATCAGATACGGCGGCACGGCGCTGGTCTGGGTTCCTGAGCTGTAGAGCCAGACGACAAAGAAGCCGATGGAGACGTGCAGTGCCTTGCGCGGGACCTCGTGCTTGTGCACAAACGTCCGCCAGTGTCTGTGGATGGGGATGAGCCCGAGAGGACTGGGGCTGCGGCTGAAGTCGCGCCAGCTCCATCCCGTGATCGCGGGCTGGGGAGGAGCCAGATGGCCGTTTGTCGTGGCCAACCGAGTGGCCGTTGCCGTTGCCGTGGCCATGATGCCGTCCTGGTCTGTCTTGGATGATGCTGTCGGCGTCTTGGTCATGCGAGGCACGCGCGATTCGAGGGGGGAGCGGCTTCTTGTCCGGGATCTCCGGGGCCCGGAGCTGGAACTGTTATCATCGCTCTGTTCCTCCTCCACCGCCTGCTGCGTCGGGGCCTTCCTTCGACTCCGGGTCATGGGGCCCACGTAATCCTGCACGTCTCGTTCTGAGGGCGTCGGGCTCGGCGAGATGATGCGAGGCGTTTGCGGCACGCGAGCCGACTGGCGACGCAGCGACATGGTGAAGCTTGCGGGCGGGAGCGCAGGGCAGTTGACAGCGCCCACGACGAGCCGTCGCAGTGATTCAAAGCCCGAGGGCCACAGAGACTGTCGATGGTCCCAGCGCGAGAGGCGCGGAACGTCAATGCTGCTGCTGCTGCTACTGCTGCTGCTGGTGTCGCTGCTACTTCTGCTTCGGCCGCTGATGCTGTGAGGGCTGAAGAGCTCGAGCTCGAACAGGCTGTGCGATGACGAGGGGCTGACAGGGGACAGATTGACGGGGCGAGTTGGGTCCTCCAGGATGAACGATGGTTTAGCAGCGATGCGGTAGAGGCTAGACCCTCTGCCACATTACCAGCGCCGGTGCAGGTACGGATGATGCGCCCAAAAGAAGAGAGAAGTGGGAAAGAGGATCAAGAGGACAGATGGTGTCGACGGTATGTATTTATTGGCTGTCGCTGTCCACGGAGCAAGGCTGGGTCATCCGTCGTTTTGCGAAGCGGCTAGGATGTCAATTTCATACGAGTACACCGAAGGCTAGACATGCGCAGTCCATGGCGAAGTTTTTTTTCCTTCTGCCGGACAGCCTCAACCGCCCCCAAGCCACGCCAAAAAGTCACCTAGGCAGTGTCGTGTGCGTCTTGGCCGTGGCGCCCTAACAGGTACTAGGCAAAGCTGCTTGTCACTTGTCAAAGGGGCACATGTGACCCGCCAATCTGATCATTTCTACGGACCAGTGCAACCGAACTGAGAAATTGTCCGCCCGGACATATCAGAACGTCATCGGGGCCTTTGTTGGGGCCGCGATTTTTCTTGTTGGACTTTCACGTGCCGATTTTGTTTCTGTTTGTGCGGCCGGAAGCGCGGCTGTTCGGAGCCTCCAGGCCCGTCTTTGCTTTGATGAAATTTCCTCTGCATGAGATGAACGGCTTGCCGGTTGCGGTTAGTCGGAATCAAAAGTTATTTTCCACGCTCCGATCTTGTACCGGCCGCCCATTTCTTCCAGAAGATGCTCAAGTGTTTAATTGCCTAGATTAGGTACCTTAATAGGCGGTAGTTTTCCTGAATACTCCGCGCCTAGTGGGCTTAGTCAAGAGGTACCTAGCCAAGACCAATCAATCGCGGGGCGTTGCGTATCTCGAGGAAATCAAGGTGGGTCTTCTCACGTGGAGATAAGATAAGATGCCAAAATAATTTCTGAGATAGCCTCCATGATATCGACGATAGGCCTTGCGCCGTAGTGCTGGATATCAATTTTCAGCAGACTCAAAATACAATGGCTCCTGGAAAGGTTCCCGTGAAGAGAGATCCCAGAGCGTGGGATGCTCTGACCCCCCCATTGGCGGAATGGATCCTCGAAGCCGTATCCAGCATGGGGTTTAAGCAGATGACACCGGTGCAGGCTGCGACTATGCCGCAGTTCCTGGGGAATAAGGATGTAGTTGTTGAGGTGAGTTTTCTAACAATTTTCTGTATCTATCCATAGCTGTTCTTTGTTCTAACTCAATTGGTTTTATCATAGGCCGTTACTGGTAGCGGAAAGACACTCGCGTTCTTGATTCCCATAGTTCAGAGGCTATTGCGCTTGGAGGAGCCCACCAAGAAACATCACATTGGCGCAATCGTCATTTCACCCACACGAGAACTCGCCGCTCAGATCCATACGGTTCTTATGTCCCTCCTCGAATTCCATGCGCCGTCCGCAGAGATACTGCCACACCTGAAAGGCGAAGAAAAGCGACCCAGCAGCGCCGTGCCCGCTATCGTCCCTCAGTTGCTGGTTGGAGGAACTACCACACCAGCACAAGATCTGAGCTACTTTGTCCGACACAACCCGAATCTTTTAATATCCTCACCAGGTCGTCTTGTGGAGCTGCTGGCGTCGCCACACGTACATATTGATCAGTCTTTTGAAGCACTCGTGCTCGACGAGGCCGATCGGCTGCTCGATCTTGGCTTCAAGCAAGACCTCCAAACCATCCTCTCGCATCTTCCCAAGCAGCGACGAACGGGCTTGTTCAGTGCTAGTGTCAGCGAGGCTGTTGGCGAGATCATCAGGGTCGGATTGCGCAATCCGGTCAAAATTGAGGTCAAGGTCAAGATGAAGGACGGCGGAGTTGTCGAGGATAGGAGGATTCCTGCAAGTCTTCAGATGTCCTACCTCGTTACTCCAGCTAGCCACAAGTTACCAGCCCTGGCGCAGCTCTTGGAGCGCCTTCCTGTACGGCCTCAGAAGAGCATTGTCTTTCTGTCTACCTGTGCCGCTGTGGACTACTTTCAACACACTCTTCCGCAAATATTACCTCAAGGGTTTTCGTTGTTGCCCTTGCACGGCAAGCACCCGGCTAAAGTGCGCGAGAAGAATTTTAACCGTTTCCTAACCTCTGTCTCTCCTACGGTTCTGTTAACGACAGACTTGGCGGCCCGTGGTTTGGATATTCCGCAAGTCGACTTGGTTGTACAGATCGACGCCCCGTCAGACCCCAAGGTATTCATACATAGAAGTGGACGAGCTGGTCGCGCCGGCAGAAAGGGTCTGGCCGTAGTGATGCTTCATCCTGGCCACGAGGAAGACTACGCAAAGTTTCTGGAGATTCGTCAAACCCCCATCACGCCCCTATTGAAGCCTTCAATCTCCGTGACAGAAGATGATGCCCGCAGTGCGACATCAAAATTCCGAGCATTACTCCAGTCGGATCGTGCGATTCACGACAAAGCCCAAAAGGCTTTCGTCAGCTGGGTTCGCAGTTACGGCGCACATCAGGCGACTTCCATATTCAGAGTTGGCGACTTGGACTGGACGGATCTTGGGCACGCATGGGGACTTCTCCGCCTACCTAGGATGCCTGAATTGAGAACATGGACTGGAGATAAGATGTTGGGAGTTGAGATGGATTGGGATACCTTTGCGTATAAAGATGCGGCACGGGAGAAGGCGAGACAAGAAGCTATGGAAGCTGATAAATCAGGAGAGACTGAAAAGAAGGCAGCCGAGGCTAAACGGAAGAGGAAGAATAATGAGGCCTGGAGCGGAAAGCAAGAGCAGGAAGAACTCCGGACTGAGAGAAGAGAGAAGCGACATAAGAAGAGGGAGGCCGAGATGACGGCCAAGATGACTGACGAGGAGAAGATTAAGCAGGCTGAGTTGAAGGAGCTGATCCGGCAGGTCAGAGAACAGAACTTGGCAAAGGCAGCAGCTCAAGAAGAGGAGTTTGAAGGCTTTGACTAGAACATGGAAAATAGCGATATCTATTATTAATGCAATATACCCCCCTGGCGGGATCCGTCGGGTTGGAATCCATCATTGAACACTGTCTTAATATCTAGTATCCTAGTATCTATTACTATGCATGCCCAGGTAGATACCTGGGTACATAGATTCATGATTCCTTAGATATCTGCCACTCTCGCCACTCTCGCCAATTTCTGCTACTATTGCTTCTATTTTTATAGATATTCATTTAATATCTAGCTACTATTATCACTACGTACCCGCGTTGTAGGTAAGTGGCTTTGAATTCAGGACACATATTGATGGACAGCCAACTTAGAGTGCTGAATACCTGGCATTCTCACAACTTGACTGATTGGAAAAACATGTTGTAATTCCACGTCGATACCTCTCTTACAAATGAGGAGAGCCGACGGAATATCTTCGAGATCTACACGGTAAAGGTGAGAGCCAGTCTCATCTTGGGTTACTTATGGGCCATTAGCCATATTATAAGGGGTTGAAGGCAATGGTGGGCTGCAACTCTACGCCCGGAGTTAGAGGACCCAACGATGTGATAAAACTACATCAAATCTTCTGGTAAACAAGATGAGCAGGATACGGTGGACGGGCAAAAGGGGCGGAAACAAGAATAGCGAATAAGAGTTGTTTGGGAGAATTGAACGGCTACTAATTCAGCACACCAAAAACTCTCCTATTAACCTATTTGATACTAGAAACGTACGCATAATAGATGGTGGTAGCAATAAGATTAGAGAGAGTAAAAATGGCAGAGAAAAATGGAAGATATTAGGAATGTTAGATAGACCATCTAAAGGTGTTTCCTCTACCTCTAGTTATAGCAATTTAGTATCTGTAGCCGCCGAGGAACTGGATAGCCAAGCTGAGATCCTGGAAAGCCACTGCACTGTTGGATATGATAATTTACGAGCAATCTCGGAGTCTAGAATCACCCGGAATAACTACATGATCAAGGCAGTTGTTCGTGAATATGGTCCCCTTGATTGCTATACGATCGGTGGAATTGATTGATCCGACTCGGTATGTATGCGTATTATGCATGCGAGGGCACGCTTTCGCAGGAGCAGCCAAGCAGCCAAGCAGGCGCGCTTGTACTTGTATGGCTCTCTGCCTTCGGGGCTAATTTGCAGTCTATTGTGTCTGAAAAGGGCAAAACCACCTGTCAGTTTTGGAAACGAGACGAGAAGACAAGGCCCTGAAACATGGCTCTGTCTGAATCATTTGATCTGTGCCGGTGGGAGCAACGAGGCACGGGAGGCCCAAGCCGAAGCGTCTGGAAACGTGGTGGCGCGGCCATGGGGAGCTGGTTGGGATCGTTTGAAGACCCGTGCAATTGGTAACGGGGGGCATTTGGTCATGGCCATGGTTTGCCGATATGAGGGTGGGCACGGAATCTGATTACCGGGAGATGGGCTTCCCGCTAGTTCTCTGGGAAGCGTGGGCGGCAATGCTAGCTCGTGGGATGGCGTGAGAGAGAGGCACGTCTCTTGGTTTCCTTTCTTTTTGCCGCGTTGGAGGGGGCATGAGCGGTGTTAGTGATGATGAGCCGCACGAGGGGTTGCATACGACCATGTGACGATGGTGGTGAGACATTCGACGCTGGAGGAGCATTGCTACCGGAATACGGAGGGCTGGACAAGGATAGTTATTGCGGTAAATTAGACCCCGAGTGTCTGGGTCTCTACACATCAAGTCCGGGTCACGGGAGGGGGAGTCGCCGGCTGGTGTTGTTTTGTTGGCGTCGTTGGTTATGTGACTTGTCATAAACTCTGAACTCCGCTACGGAGAGCACTCCGTCGTGGTGATGCTAGCATTTGTACGTTGAGCCGTACTCAAGCACCGCGTATCTTGGCTTTGCTTTGGCCCGTCGGAGAAAAGAAGACTGCTAGCTTTCTCCATCACTGCGCTTGTGACTAGATTTGCCTTTTGCTATGACTACAAGTACGCAGTTGGGGCAGCTGGTTTAGTCTGAATCGTCTTGTCCGGCATTCGATTTCTTGACCAGTTCAGAGGCTAAAAGCGAAAATCCATTGACTCGAGAAGTCGGGCTCTAAGGATTCGGCGCCCCCTCCCACAAAGAAGAAGCGAATTTCCCACCGTTTCGGATTCCGCATGGCTGCCTTGCCGGGGGGGTTGCAACCCGGTATCCCGTTTCTCGGTGCAAGGGACCTTTCTTTTTTCTCTATCTCTACTTGCTGCTGAAGAGACCAAACAAGCAAGAAAAGCGCCTCTTTATTTCGGTTGATACGAGCTGGTGATCGGCTGTCGGTAGTTTGGCGACAGGGTTGTGAGGTTGCAGCAGAGCGACTGATGCTGGTCGGATTGGCATCTTGGCCTGCTCATTGGCTGGACGGGTTCCAGAGAGAGAGAATTTGAGATGAGCTGGGCGGGGCCGGAACGGTGGCCGGGGATCCACCAAGGTTTTGTTGCTTCAAGTTGGTGGCACACACAAATGGACACATACAGTACAGTAGTGGTGCTTTTGGTGAGAAGAATGACAGGTAACAATCAAGATTGATGCTATATCACAATGGGCTCAAGGTTGGGTTTGGAGGTGACATCCGGAGACATGGAGGAGGGGTTAAGCAAGGCTTGTTCAGGTTGGTGGAAATTATGTACATGGAGGCCAGATAATAGCACTGTAGATGTACTGAAGATTACCGTAGAGGACATATTACAGGCCTCACAGGGGCACGGATGCGCAGATGTCCTGTTCTCTCTGGCCCCATCTTCGGTATTGCTGGAGCAGCCCGTCGCATAGCCCTAACTGCAGAAGCCAGCCTGAGCTTCGAAAGACATTGTTCGAAGCTGCTGATCGTCATGCTGTAGTGTAAAGTCTAATACCAGAGTTTGCTTACGTCTTGCAGCCTTGGAAAAGCAATGGATCTCTACACCCTCTCGTTCCCATCCGTCTCCCCCTCCTTTAAGGGAAAGCCCCCTCGGTATCTGGTTTGTTGCTCTCGTCATAGACCTGATTACTACACACTCTGCAAGCATCGCCATTTTGGTCGGATTGGGCGCTTCGTAACTCCTGTCGCACGTTTTGCTGCCAAGATTGCGAGTTAGCGCCACGCCTCTCACCATTTAATCTTAGCAGGGGCTAGGAGAAGCCGCGGAAGACGGACCGCGCATCAACCAGGGCGAGCCAACCAGCTGGATTCGAGGCTCGCGAGGTAGAGAAACTTGAGTCTGCTAAGAGACCCCTGCGGAATACAAAGTACTGATTTGTACCAGCGTGTGGATGCTGGCGCTATCAGTTGCCAATGGTGCTGCCACTTTTGCGGTGTTAGCCGATGGTGTTTTGGCTGTATTGGGCGCTAATGAAAGAGGCTCAAAGTCGGGTGCCCGTTACAGTACATTACATGCTGGTACGTTGTCGACCTCAGGCATATGACGCTTCATGGGAAACAGTGATGAACTCTAACGACTTGATCAAACAGCGTTTGAAGAATATTTCGTATTCATTGACGATGACGTATATATGTATACACACACACATACGGGCTTCACATGTCAGAAGATCCATGCTGCAAACAGTTGCTGTCGTGCGGAGAGACACAAGGCTCCTATCCGCTGCCATGTCGGAAACAGCCCTTGGCAGCGCCGATCTTGGAGACTCAAAACCTCTTGGTTGACGTGCATTGACGTCGAGTGAGCACATACGCAGGTGCACACAGTGGGAGCGCATTACACGTACTCGTACTACCTATACACGTATTATTGAAGAATCAAATATGATCAATATCAAAGTCCCGGGTTCCTGGGCCCGTATTGCCTCCCCCCCCTTTGTCGGGATGCCATCCTTTTCGCCTCTGCATCAGCAGCTGCGTCGCAATAAAGCTTGTATTGATGCCATCCATTCGGCACACTACGGTACAGTAATCAGTACACGCAAAAGTAATGCATGGATCACCAGGCACGCTCGTACATACGACCTGTAACATGTAGGTACACCTGCAACTGCTGCGGCGGCATCTCATCCTCGCATCGCTTCACATCTAGGGGTGCATGGCTGGCCCCCGCTCTTTTCTTCGCGCCGCCAGGGGCTTCGACCGCTGGAATGCCAGCGCCAGCCACTAAATGCCCTATCGGCCAGGGTCGGCTACTCCCCTGAGGGGGCGCGTCCTTACATAGTACAGGCCCATATACCCACTAAGATTTGATGGCGCGCTGCCAGCTTCCGGCCGTCGATGATCCATTTGATTTGACTCCCTCGGCCGCCCGTCAAATTCTCTCCCCAGAAGCCGGCCCTCACGAGGCACGGCCAGCCCCAGGGCAAACCATCTGTCTGTGCCATCCCAGGTCGAGAAGCAAAAAGCACCGAGTCCAGACACAGACAGGCGCCGGCTTGATCGCATTGCCCCCCTGCTAGTTCTTTCTCTGCTCTGCCTCTGCCGCTGCCGCTGCCATGCCTGTCCGCGACTGTCTTGCGTTGTGCCGTGGCTTCGCAAAGTTTTGACACTTCTCACCTCAACTTGCCCATCGAATTGCCGCGCGAGACGCCTCGATATCACCGCTGCCTCACTTACAATACAACACGATACAATACAGCACAACACAACACAACACGATACAATACAATACGATACGACACGACACGACACGACACGCCCCTCGATCCGACCCGGCCCGACACGATACCATACAGTACATGCGATTCTCTCGATCCGATACAGTCACCGAACGCAGAGTGGTACGGGCTCGACGACTGTCCACTCCTTGAACCATTCTCTGTCCTGTGCCTGCATGGCGTTAGTTGGTAAGCATATCATGTCTCGCTTGCTCGTTCAGTCTACCAGCATCTGCCTTTGCTTGTCTCGACCTCCTTGCCTCAACCTTGCCGCGCATCTATTTTCATCACAAACCGCAGACTTACTCCTATTCCACCAACCCGTGCCGTGGCAGAGGGCCGTCGTTGTTGCGCCGTCTGCCGTCGCGACACCTTGGCTTTCGGCTGTCCACCCCGAGATCTCTCCTTTCTGGAATCCAGTTGCTGATGCTCTTCTTTTCAATGGCCTTCCAGAAGCGATAGCCTTGAGCAACACGAGCTCCGTCCCGTCATAACATTGGATGGGCCATGGAAGAGCCTCCTCTTGTGGCGGCGCGGCCATCCCACGCATTGAGATCAAAGCCGTCGACGAAACGGCGCAAAGCACCACCACTCAGGACAATACAAACCACATCCCAGGCCGCTGGAGCAGCCAAAGATGATAACACTGGGCGGATACAACCCTCCGGGGACTTGGCGGATGCAAAGGAAGCATCACCACCGAGGCCGTTGGCCAAGGTGATACGCAAAGTGTCGGCTACAAGCCGACCAATTGTGCCCTTGACCGAACAGAAATCTATCAACAGAACACTCTCAATAGGAAAGCGAGATGAAGAACATGACCGGCGGGATGTAGCACCGGACGGCGCTTCGGCTGGCCGCGAGGGGCGCCAATTTACAGTTGCCAATGTCGGGAACAATGGCAAACTATTTCTAAGGTACGCATGTGAACCCGTTTCAACACGATAAAACCCCCCATTGCTAATATTCTCTCCAGGCCTTCTGTCCGACGTGGAAACAAGAGATATCCCCAACCCAACTTCACGTTTCCTATCACGCCCCCTGGGACTGCCGGCTTAGAGGGTGCATATCCAGACAATAGTGACGAGCCCTCCAACTTGACGGCGGACCATCATGAGAACCAATTCACCCCTACGCCGAGAACATCCATTATCCCTCCAGCTTACGCTCCCGATCCCAGTGGCCTTACGTCGCAGCACCGCAGAGCTGTGTCGGATGGCACGATTCGCGATTTCAACTCGCAGACTGGTACCGATACAGACGGGTATAGAATTGTCATCACAAAACCAACCCATGGCGACGATCATCGGCCCAAGACGGCTGAGCATATGGACGACCTAGACGTTGATGGTGTGCCGATGCTCAATATCAACATTCCCTCTTGGAAACTAGGGACACCACGGTTCTCTACCAGAGGCACCCCAATGATGAGAGGCTCTTCCTACGCTCCCACCGACGAATTCCGTTCCAACAGCCGCGCATCCATGTATCATTCATCAGAGAGAAGCCTTGGTGTACCATTAAGTGGCTTAAGATCCAGACGCCCTAGCCATCTTGTTATTCCAAAACTTCGCTTTCCTAGAACATCGCACGCATCATCACAAGCATCAACCCGCCCGCCGCGTGTCGTGCCCTCTACATATGCATCTACACACCTTGTCATTGAACCCGACATGTTCGACGAACTCACCTTTAAGCCCACTTGCGATGATAGATTGATAGTACGCTACTCGCCCAGCGGATCCGTAACTGCGGCGACGCCTTCCCGACTAGTTGCTGAGATCACTTCTCCAAGCTTCTTGGACTACGAGCTAATCTCGGATTTCTTCTTGACTTTCAGAGCCTTTCTTGAGCCGGACATCCTGCTTCGGATGCTCATGGCAAGGCTCCGGTGGGCTTTAGAACGAACCGATGAGGTTGGCATGATTGTCCGCGTTCGTACTTTTGTTGCTATGCGGCACTGGATACTCAACTACTTTGTTGATGACTTTGTCCTGGACTATGATCTTCGCGTCATTTTCTGCATCTTGCTCAACGATTTCGTTGACGAATTGACCCTGGATGCGAGGGAGCGTAGAGTTCAGCTCAAGATATTAACAGAGCTCAAGAAATGCTGGCGACGGATCTGTGCCCATTATTGGGATGGCCCCGATTTCGACGATTCTCTGGGACCTGAAGCCCCGGTTGCACCTGGGGGCATCGCTGGATATCGAGATCCCAATCTAGACCCTACCTTTTGGGAAAGGGAAGGAGTAGATCCACCGCAGTGGCATGCCGTATCTGGCATACCCAATGATCTAAGTGAAGAGCCGAACCCAAGCGCTGATGTCGTCCCTCCCACGACCCCCCATCTCGGGGGTTTCACCGTATCGGAAGATCGCCCAGGAACTCCTGAACATCAAATAATCACCACTACCGTGCTAGATAACGGACCCGCTTCGCCCCTCAGCATCGCAAGCATGGACATTGTATCTTGTTCATTTCCCACCAAGAACGTGAGATCACTGAATCCCAACTCTAGCCAGGCACTTGCAGCTCATCCTGTCTACTCGACATCTCCCATCTTGCCACCGGGAGCAATAGCAACAACTCCCAAGGCGCTTGCTGGCAAACGTGTTCGCCCGGCTCAGAGCCATGGGCGCAGCAACAGCGTCACCGACTCTATAAGAGCCCCCAGCTCAGATCATTCCTCATCGCAAGACATTGATTTGCAGATGATACTGCAGTGCGCCGGAAATCTTGTTCGGGGCAACATTCTCCCACCAGGTCAGCCGTTTGTTGATATCGAGGCTGATACCCCCACTGGCGACAACAGGCAGACCACCATCTTCCAGCCCGTATCCCGCAATGCTACCAAAGACCGGATCTTTGGAGTGGCCATGTCTGGATCCGGAATGAGGAAATTCTTGGGCGGCGTTCGACGCGCCTTGAACACTCGAGGGCAGTGGTCGTCCGGATCACATTCAAGTTTGCCTGCCGTCGCCTCATTGAGTGCTCATACTGTCAGCATCGACCAACTACCTGGATCAGCCGTTGTCACGCAAGGCGGCTACGCCCAGACCAGTAATCGTCCCCAAGTGAGGATTGACGTACTCGGAGCCGAGGTGGCTGAAGACTTCAAGAGAGCCATCCGTGAAGAAGAAGAGGCTGCCGAAGCAGAACGCTTAGGTATCCCGAGACCTGCTGCAACCCCTGCTTCAACTAGGCGCCGGCGGCCCATGGAGTATTCGGTTGCACATATGGAATCAAGCACGGGCGATTACTTGCGTCAGAATCGAAGGTCACGACCTATGAGCGACATGGGCCTCACTACTGGGAGTCAATCCATCGTCATTGTTGACGATACAGTTCCTTTTGATATGACAGGCATACATGACAGACTTCCCGCCACCACTTTCAACCCCTCCACTGGTGGATTATCGGTGGGCTCATTTCTAACAGCTGGCGGCGATCCAACCCCCCCTACAACGCCCCCCGCGCAGCTCATGGCAGGGACACCACGGAGATCGTCGTATCTTCTCGACCAACTCGTCGCCTCTCCTTCGGCTTCCCAGGAGGAGCCTTTGCCCCCGTTCGTCCCGGAGATGGCGACCCTGGGTGGTACCTATAGCCAAGGGCCATCGGATGATGTGAGCCGGGTCTCTTTCTCAACAATGCGTCGCAGTAGTCAGCGCCACCCTCCTCCAAGCCGAGGAACGCTGCGAGTACATAGGAGAAATCAGTCCACGAATACACAGCAGTCAATCTACTCTTTTAGGCGCCATGCTTCGTTTAGCAGTCGTCTCGAGCGACAGTCTACAGCCCGGAGCTTTGATGCTACGACAGACTCCTCCATGTTGGATAGAGAATACGAACCCCCTGCTGTTGAGCCGCCTCGTATACTTCGAAGGCGCCCTGGCGGCTATTTAAGGGCCGCGGTCAATGTGGGCGGCTTGAACAACCAGCCCACAGTTCGAAAATCACAATCCGTTGGCTCTTTGACAACTTACACCGAATCGGTCCGGAGCTCGTATCTCCTTGGCACTCATGTCGAGCAGGACGATGACGACGGCAGTTATGCTGGTGTGGAAGACCATCCTCGTGAGAGACAGGAGATATTTTCCGTTGGTCAGCTGACCGAGAAGCCTCCCAAACGACACTTGTCTTTGTTTAGTACACATTCATCCAAGCCCATTATGCGTCCATCGTTTGAAATAGAGGCCCGGAAGTTAGCACAGATACCCGATGAGGACGACGGCGGAATTGAGTCAGCCTTGCTAAAGCTGGAGGGCAAATATCGGCCAAAACCGAAATCCTTTGAGCAGCTCAAACAAGCAGCTATGATAGACGCAGACGAATTTGGTCGAAGAGCAGTCATGTCTGATTCCTATGCCAATGCTGATCAAAGCCAAGAGAGTGAAGCAAGTGGAATGGATGACGAATATCGCCTTCAGGACAAGGGAAAACAGCCACTGGATACTGCATATGACCGGGATACCTTGATCGCCCCCAGCAGGATAGCCACGGTTGAAACGGGCTCATTCTTGACAGCTGACTCTGACGAGTCATATTGTTCCATACCTTTGCTTGAAAGGGGTCTGACGGATGATGGTCAAAGTAACCGAGGAACATCTCAGTGGACTAATCGATCGGTTCTTCGCGGTTCATCTGATGAGGACGATGCTACTACTTCAGATCTTGCTATGGGAAGCCATCATGCCTCCCACCAAGCCTCCAACTCTCATCTCTCTTATGATTTTGTCCAAAAGACGGATAGTATTGAGAGAACCAAGGCTCGGAAGACGGCTTCTCTCCCTGTGGCGGAAGATCACACTTTCCTGGAAGATGCTAGTGTCGGTGGCTCCGATCTCTCCTCTGAGCTTTCCCCCTCTGAGGATGAGGGCTCGAACAAATCTCGCGAGAGGGCGGGTGTGTTTTCCATAGCATCACAGCCACACCCATTCGGAGATCCCCTTGCGTCGCCTCGGTCAAATTCTTCCTCGGCCCCTATGACACTCGCCCAAGCACTAGCGATGAGTCCAGTGATGATGAGCCCAGTGATGACGAATACAGAGAGAACCCTGGATCCAGATCAAATATGGTCCCGCACACCTCTCCCCCTCTCACCTGAAATATTACACAACGCTCCATACACAGCCGAACATGTGCCTCCACGCACCTCTGAAGGCCTCCACTCAGTGCTCCAACCGGAAGCTCCCAATACGCTCAAGTATTCGATTCACTTGCCATTCATTCTGGCATTCGAATCTGATATCTTAGCTCAGCAATTCACCCTCATAGAGAAGGATGCCCTCAACGACATTGACTGGAGAGAGCTCATTGAGATGAACTGGAGAAATGCCACCAGCAACGATTCCCGCTCATGGGTTGACTTTTTGAGAAACACCAATGCCCACGGAGTTGAAGTTGTTGTTGCACGATTCAATATCATGGTTAAGTGGGCCATTTCTGAGATTGTCCTAACTCAACACATTGAAGAGCGAGCTCGATGCATCATCAAACTCATTCATATTGCTGCGCATTGTCGGCGGTATCGCAATTTCGCCACCTTGGCGCAACTTACCATTGCATTATCCAGCGCTGAAATCGCCCGTCTGTCGAAAACATGGGATTTAGTTCCAGCTCGCGATCTGAATACCCTCGGCGAACTCGAGGCCCTTGTTACACCCTCGCGCAACTTCTATAACCTTCGAGCTGAAATGGAGGTTGGTTCAGACGGGGGCTGCATTCCATTCGTCGGCATTTACACGCATGACCTTCTCTTTAACGCGCAGCGAGCCTCGGAGATTGCCAGCTCGCCAACCACTCCGCCACTGATCAATTTTGAACGGTGTCGTATTGGGGCGGCCGTAGTCAAGACGCTGTTGAGACTGTTGGAGGCTAGCACGCGGTACACGTTCCAACCAGTCGAAGGCATAACGGAACGATGTCTCTGGATGGGTGCATTGAACGACGATGAGATTCGACGACATTCAGAGGCTTTAGAGTAGCCCTCTTTTCCCTCCCGCTCAACACTTACCTCCTCTCTTCTCTTTTCATATTTGATACCACGAGATTTCATCACATCGCAAGCAGACCACACCCAACTGCGACTCGATCCCTCTCCATACACACTTTACTTTTCCACGCTTCTCACGCGCGCGTCCCTTTTGTCTTCTTTTTTTTCTCGCTTGTATTGATATATACAAGTCATACGGCCTCAAATTTCATTGGGATTTTGCAAATCCCTAGTCCTCATTATTTGTCTCGGCTGCAGCGGCTTATGAATGAATAATGGCGCGACTTACGACAAAATTTTATAATAGCGTGGCATGTTTCTCTTCGCTGTCTTTTATCTATCCGTCTGTCCTTGTTTTTTTTCTCTTAAGGGGCATTTGCAAAGACGATACCATATAACGAACTTGAAAATCAGGAACCGAGAAGAGAAAACAAAGAACAACAACAATAGCTGGCTACTGCCGACACCACGACGACTACTACCGCTTCTATTTACATACTATTACTGCACTCCTAGGCGAGATTCCTTTCCTCTGTTGACCAGGCTTCCATTTCCTTTGCCCTGGGGGTTTCCCCTCTCTTCATTTGTTTCGGATGGTTTTCTTTTTTTCATTTTTGGGCGTGGGAGTATAAAGAAGGATATAACAAATAGGGGGCTTAGATACCAATACTGGGGGCATTGTGGATAAATTTGGGTGATAGCGTATAGGACACACACATATATACAGCCTTTGAAAGACGATGTATATAATTGGCACCGAGATCGGATGCCCATGGAATACAAAGAAAGTTCTTAAGCACTTGTAGCCGACTTTACTTCCCTTATGTCATTATCATGTACAATGGACATACCTGCTCACTGCTGTTTAGAACAGGCTACAATATATGAATAGTACGAACGTGGAAGCTTTTTAAAGGGGATATCTTTAAATTCTCTTTTTTTTTTATCTTTCACCATGGTCGGCTGTATGAAAACCTTTTTATGCACCGCAAGTAAATCAAGGACCTTGGGCGAGGCAACGATTAAGTACGCCCCCAGCAGCCACACAGGGCTTTCCCTCTTCCCTCCCTGAACGAAAGGGGAGAGTATCTTTCCCTCATCAGTGCAGCCAGCTCAAGACCCAAGAAAATCCGAGACCCCCCGCCGTTGCAAAGCCGGAAAAAACGCCTCCCCTAGATCAGGTCGCCCAGATTTACCACACTCCGTGGAATAAAAGCTTCCCCATCGCCCCTTTTGCCCAGACGCAGCTTCGTTTACCACTGGCTATCCTTAGGAGCCTCAGCAGCCCACTCCTGGCCACCGGAGGCAGCGGCCCACTCCTGGCCGGCACCAGCACCGGCACCGTCCCAACCAGCGGCGGTAGCACCAGCGAAGCCGGGGGCGGGAGCATCCCAGTCACCACCGGCGGCGGGGAAGCCAGACTCGACGGCAGCGGGAGCCTCCTCCTCAGCAGCGGTGATGAGCTTCTCCTCCTCGACCTTCTCCTCAGCCTCGGCCTCAGGGTCGCGGTCTGTGTCGTGTGGTTAGTTTGAGGTTCAATGTTATCAGAGTGAGGATTTTCAACATACAGAAGTACAGATCGACCATGACGTCCCAGGGGGTCTCGCGGTTGAAGATGGTTCCACGGAGACGGAGGACCTCACGGGCAAGGAGCCACCAGACGGTACCAATGGCGTGGCGACCCTTGTTGTTGGTGGGGATGGCAACGTCGACGTACTCGGTGGGGGAGTCGGTGTCGCAGAGGGCAATGACGGGGATGTTGACGTAGCTGGCCTCCTTGATAGCCTGGGCGTCGGTGCGAGGGTCGGTAACGACAATCAGGCGGGGCTCCTTGAAGGAACGGGTGATGTAGTTGGTGAAGCTACCGGGGGTGAAGCGACCAGCAATGGGGGAGGCACCGGTGTGGGCGGCGAACTTGAGGACGGCACGCTGACCGTAGGGACGGGCAGAGATGACGCAAATGTCGGCCGGGTTCTCAATGGCGGCGATGATACGGGCAGCCAGGACAATCTTCTCCCTGTAAATCGAAGCGAGTTAGCATCCCTATGCGCCGCAGAAATTCCCCTTCCAGAAGCTCATGTTTTTCCCTCTCAGACTCCTCTTGCTTCTTCTCCTCCTCCTTCAGCCAGATAGAAAAAAAAAACGCACCAGGTCTTGCCAATGTTGATCACGTTGACACCATCGACACGGGTCTTCCACAGGTAAGACTCCATGTGCACCTGGAGGTTCTTGGAACCGAGGTGGCACTGGGCCGCCAGGAGCATCTCGATGTCCTGGGACGTGGCATTGAAAATGGACGGCAGGTTAGCGGGAGCCATCTTGACTGATTTTCCTTCGTGGTGGGAAAGTTGGTCGTTGAAGGAGGCAAGAAGGCGGCGATGCTTGACGGTTCGAGCAAAGTTTCGCAAAAGTTCGCGAGGGCTACTGAGAATTTCCGAAAAATGTGTGTGGCCGCAGCCCTGAAGGCGCTAGCACCAGAATGGACTAGCCGGCTCTCGCTCGTTTCGAGGTTCGTGACAAGGTCTTGAGCTGCACGTGAATGGATGACTAAGGGATTTTCTCTTTTCCCACAACAGTGGAGCTGTTGAGTAGTCAGCAAGTCTGCGAAAGCGTGGGTTGATTCATGTACTATCGGCGAAATTTTGAGGACCCGGTTGCGAGAGGTGGGATAGATAGATAGCACTTCATCTCCAAGATCAACCATGGCGCCTAGAATAGATCTGCTGCAGCGGCTGGGCACAATCAATTGTATGATATTCTTCTTCTTTTTTTGCTGAGAATCACTGGCTTTGAGGCTGTTGATAGGACATTGTCGCTAATCGAGCTTATTAGTGTGCCTGCGGCCTGCGACGACACCAACGACACAGGCCTTCCTCCCTCTCGTCCAGAAGGCCAATCTCTCTATGCGAGAGAAGAAGAAGAAGGCAAAGCAGGATCCGTACAAATGGGCACAGGCCCAGCAGCGCAAAGCTGCCAACCTCAAGCGACAGGACGAGCTCCAGAAGCAGCGGGATGAGGCATGGGGAGATCCCGTGCGAGGCAGGACGACACCGTTTCTCGAGTCCCTCGACTCGGCTGGCCAGAGTGCGCTGAGCGCAGTGCCTAGAGACGCAAGCGGGAATGCCCTCGAGGAGCCGAGAGAGCTGCCCACGACCCCCGGGCTGCGCAACCACTTCCTTACCGATGCCGAGCTGGAAGATGCCGTCAAGCATGCCTATGCCCTGACGAAGCCCATGGTCGGCGTAGTGGAATCGCAAATGGACCCCAGCACAGAAGAGGAGAGGAAGCAAGCGCATAACCAGAAGCACCAGAAAGCCGTCGAGGCTCTGCGGAGGATCACAGCCCTGAGCAACGGCAGCGCACGGGATCGATTCCACGCCAACGTCAGGCGCATCGTTGATGAGTTTGGGCGCCACAACACCGACCAATTCCTGAAGCCCAAGCCGCAGTCCATTTCACCAAACACCACGCCAATGCCTGGCCGTGCAGGACCAGACACTGGCAGCTCGGAAGTCCAGATTGCAATCCTGACTGCCAAGATCAGGTCAGTGTCTGAAGGACTGGCAATCAACCGAGGCTACAAGGACAAGCACAACAAGAGAAACCTGAGATTGCTTGTACACCGACGCCAGAAGCTACTGCAATACATGGAGCGGAAGGAGAGGGGCAGTGAGAGGTGGACAAACATGCTTGAGAAGCTGGGTCTCACTCCTGCCACGTGGAAGGGACAAATCGATCTGTAAAGGGGAGGGGAGTTGAGGATAAAAAACAAAAAGCGTTGTAGGAATAGTTAAGCATCTGTATATGTACAATAGAGCCCATCAGAGGATGCGTGATTGCCCATGTCAATCATTCGCCTCTTCCATATGCGCCTAGTCTGAAAGAACCCTTCCCGTGCAATTACTCGAAACGAAACGACAATATTATAACTACGCCCAAACACTGTCCCCGAGACAATACATCATCAGTCTATGTGCCGCTCAGAAGACGCTGATAAAGTTTCCAATACGGTCCTTCTGGTTCTGAGCTATACACTCAGCAATCCATGTGATGTTGCGAATTTCCTGTATTACGTTAGCGCCGCGCCTTTTTCACTTCTCACCAGACAACGACGAGATCACACATACCTGCTCTCTAAGCTTGACCCATGCATAAATAATGGCATAGGTAAATTGTCGTGTGAATGCATCTTTGGAAATCTCCATTTCTTTTTGGTAGAACATGTCCTCTAAGCTCTTGCCGTCGGCAGAACCGCCACCCATGTTGCCAGGGCCAGACGAGCCACCCATAGACACGGCCTCAAAGAAAGTCTTGTAGTCATGAACGCCATCGACGGCAAGACGCACACCCTCAACATCATCAGCTCGCGAGAGCATCAAGGTGCCCTCAGGATACAGCTTTCCAAAGGTAGGATACAGCTTGTTGCGGTCTGCCTTGGTCAACTCAGTGCCAAAGGAGTTCAGAGTGATGTTGATGGCTCGTCGGTCAGCCTCAAATTCAAGAATGTTGGACATGACCTCAGCAGTGGGTGTGCCGGCCATATCGGAGTGAGTGTTGACGAAGTTGTGGAAATCTTCGAGATAGTTCTTGTAGAGCGTGTTTCGGACGATTTCAATGTTGAGCTCGTCCAAGTCCTGGTGGCTGAGACTGCCCTTGAAGTATGGAGCAAGTGGTGTCTCGATCAACACGCTGTTGTAAAGCTCCTCCACGTTGGTCGCGACGCAAAGCACGGGCATGGTCTCAAACCAACCCAGGGGATGGCATCGCTCCAGAAGCTCTCGCGTGTCTCGTTCGTGAAGGGTGCCGGTAATGAGAAGGGCAACATTATCAATCATGTAGCCGTACGTCACGTAGTCCATGAACTTGGCCAAGGAACCCGTGGCATTAGCGCGCACATATCGGAATTCCGAGATGAGCTTGTCTGTCGTCTTGGAGGCGAGCGCAGATGTTGATGGGTTCGGGGGAAGGGACGCAAGGAAGTCGCCGTAGGCAGGGCCAAGCTGTAGCTTCAGGTCTGGCGAGTGTTAAGAACAAGTACCGGTCCTGCTGGTGGCCTATACATACCATCGATGGTCTCGCATTGAGTCAAGTTGCTGTAGGCTGGTGTCGTCAGAAGGCTGTTGCGATAACCGCGGACAATGCCCTCGACATAGCTGCGCCCCCGTCAGTAAGGCTCAACACAAGAACGCATTCGAGCTGCTCACCCATTGTTCACGTTGAATAAGAGGCCTTCCATCTTTTCTAAGTTCGGATATCCCCGGGGCGATGATGGACGGGCAAAATTGAGGGCAAAACGAGCGGTGTCCCGGGATACTGTGGTGCTATCAGAGCTGGGCTTTGTTTTATGGATTCTCGGAACTACTTCTGCATGGCCGGCGAGCGAGGCGTAATTGCAGTGACACAGCTTCCACGTGAGTGGCCCAAAAGAGTTCCGGATTTTCTGTAGCGCCGACGCCCGGCGGCCCATCCCACTCACCAGCATTAGCACCAATGCAAGGCCAAAAATTTTGAGTGGAGACTTAAGCTTCGACTGAAAAATTTCCAAAAACCAAAATTTTGGTCGGCTTCTTCCCTGAATCCTCACGCACAACAACACCTTCAATTGGGACCCGGGAAGAAGAAGGATCCAATCGACAAGCGCAAGAGTCCTAGAGAGCGTCCCAACCCATTCACCATGTCTCTCTTTGTTCTTGCCGAGACGCCTGCAGGGTCAGTTTTCGAAGCCTTGAGCGATTCCTCCCAGCATCGCTTGATCGCGTGTATTTGGTTGAGCCCCGACTGACAGAATTGCAGCTATGGCCTGTTGAAGGCGACCGACAAGAAGATGCTCAAGAATGCCGATCTCGCGGCTGAGCTGGGAAAGCCTGAGCGCCTTGTTGAGATGTAAGATTTCCCTGCCAATTGTCTCTTCTTTGCCTGCTAGTTTTTTTTTTTTTTTTTTGAAACTTTTTTTTTCCTTCTTCACCTTTTCACTTCTTCTGAACTAACGGATTGTCGCGTACAGGCTCAAGCTCAAGAAATTTGTCAAGTTCGACAGCGCCGCCATGGCCCTGGAAGAGGCCGCCGCCGTTAGCCAAGGCCAGATTCCTCCTCTTCTGAGCTCTCTGCTGGAGGACCTCCAGGCTGAGAAGAAGGCTTCCCTCGCTGTTGCGGACCTGAAGCTGGGCACTGCCATCTCCAACCTGCCTAGCCTCAACGTCACTCCGGTCGCTGGCTCCAACACAATGGACCTTTTCCGAGCCGTTCGAGAACATGTTTCGTCTCTTATCCCCGGTCTCGACCAGGACGTGATTGACCGCATGACCCTTGGTCTTTCGCACTCAATGTCTCGACACAAGCTCAAGTTCTCACCTGATAAGGTTGATTCGATGATCATCCAGGCCATCAAGATGCTCGATGATATTGACAAGGAACTCAATGTCTACGCCATGAGAACAAAGGAGTGGTACGGATGGCACTTCCCCGAGATGGCCAAGACCCTCAATGACAACCTTGCCTACGCCCGTGTCGTTCGTGCTGTTGGCATGCGAGACAACTTCAAGGATGCCGACCTTTCTGAGATCCTCCCCGAAGATGTCGAGACTGCTTTGAAGGCATCTGCCGAGCTCAGCATGGGTGTCGAGATTACTCAGGAGGATCTGCAAAACGCTGTTGACCTCGCGGACCAGGTTATTAAGTTTACCGAGTACCGAGCTCAGCTCACGTCTTACCTTGAAAGCCGAATGCGCGCCATTGCCCCCAACCTGACCGCCCTGGTCGGCTACTTGGTTGGTGCCAGACTCATTGCCCACGCCGGTTCCGTCCTCAGCCTGGCCAAGGCCCCTGGTTCCACCATCCAGATTCTCGGTGCCGAGAAGGCTCTCTTCCGAGCTCTCAAGACGAAGAAGGACACCCCCAAGTACGGTATCATGTACCACTCTTCTCTCGTTGGCCAGGCCACTGGCAAGAACAAGGGCAAGATTGCTCGTATGCTGTCTGCCAAGGTCGCTCTCGGTCTCCGTGTCGATGCTCTCGGCGACGAGGATGAGGAGGATGAGGAACAGCGAGCTGTCCTTGGCCTCACCAGCCGAATCAAGCTTGAGAACCACCTTCGCCGTCTTGAAGGCAAGGCTCCTCTGCCCAAGGGCACCAACGTGACTCCTTCTGGAGAAATTGTCGCTGCTGGACAGTTCACTCTCAAGGACACCAGCAGATATGGTGCCGATGCCGACGGTGTTGTCGATCATGAGATGGGTGACGCAGATGAAGAGCCCGCCCCCAAGAGCAAGAAGTCAAAGAGCAAGAAGCCAACCATTGAGGTTGTCGAGGAGGATGACGTCGATATGGAAGACGCCCCCGAAGACTCCGATGATGATGACGAGACCCCCGCCAAGTCAGTCAAGAAGCTCTCGAGCGCCGAGTATGAGCGCCTGGCTGAGCTCTCTGGCCTCTCCGTCAAGAAGTTCAAGCGAAAGTACGAGCGCGGCGACGTCCAGCTCAACGACGACGGTACCCCCAAGGTCTTCAGCAAGAAGGAGCTGAAGAAGCTCCGCAAGGCTGAAGAGGCCGCCCCCGCTGAGGCCTCACCCGAGAAGAAGAAGAAGAGAAAGGCCGACGAGGGCGAGGCCGAGCCCAAGAAGGAGAAGAAACAGAAGAAGAAGCGTGAATCTCTCGCCGCCTAGAACCCTTCGAAGAAGCGCCGAATCTACTAAGATGTTCACATGCATAATATATGTGTGTATAAAACACCGACTGGAGAATCGATCGCAATCTTACGAAAAGAACAAAAAAAAATCTAAAAGCAATATCTTCTCGGCTATTTACGAAGCAGGTTAAAACCCCGCATCGGCTTAGATGGCCTTATGAATTACCGATGAGGTGGTTATGTGTAGATATGCGATACCTGAGATTCTTTAAGAGGCTTCCGGGCTAATCTGTCACTGTTAATATGGCTGGCGTTGGGGGAGGGAAATCAAATCTTTTCTGGTACAGGCGTGGCTTGGTCTTTGTTTACTACAAACTGTTCATTTTTTCTTCTTTTTTTTTTTAAAGCAAAGCTGTCGCCAGAGATGGGTGGCAGGGGGGAAAGCTATGGAGACATGGAAGTGAGGTTTCAAGGAATTTGTTACCGAGGTCCTCAATTAACACCGTTCTTGATCAACGATGATAACGTTTTACCCATACATGTGAATGCGTCCCATAACATGCACAGAAGTAAAAGGGGATTTGCAGTGATATACAAGAATTAGATTAAACAATTTCAAGAGTAAATCTGTTATTAAACTAAAGGTCTGCTTATTTGCCTTTATTCTCCTGGGTATCTTGGGTATCATACCTGTCAAGCAATATTCTTTCTCCCTCTCCCCCAAGATCCACTTCCTCCTTTGTTTGGTATCAACATACATTACAAAACACATCATAACGAGCGTGAACGAGACGTAGCAAGCGTGTAGCAATCGACGGGGTGCAATGACAAAGTCAAAACGGAAGGGCTAAGTCGCAATGTCGTAGGCGCAAGGCAGAGCATCTATCTTGAAGAGACTCGGATGGGAAAAAGTCGTAGACGTCATTGAGAACGATGGAACGCATGGGAATTGTCGCCTCTCGAAATCAAGTAGACCACGCTAAACCCCCAAAGCCACTCAAAGAGTCAGCAGCAGGCCCTCACGCGAGGTACGGCACTAGAAGTTTTCCACGACGCGAGCGTTCATGGCTTGTTGGAAAGCGTCCTGACCTCCAAAATCGCGGGTGTTTCCGGCAGCGGCGCCACTGCCCTCACCAGACTGGACAAAGTCGCCCAGAGCAGCATTCATTGCAGCTCCACCGAGAGGCTGGCTGCTGCCAGGCAGGAAAATGACCTTGCTGTTGGCGGACTTGGCCATAGCTTGCATAGCCTCGAGGTATCGGATTTGCATAGCAGGAGCAGAGCTCAAGATATCGGCGGCTTGACGCATCAATTTGGCCGATTCGACCTAGATAGGAGCAGTAGTGTTAGCCAACCCTTTCTTTCTTTCTTTCTTTTTGTATCACTGTGAAAAGCTCTTCTTTAGAGCAGGCAAAGTGGCTGCCAGCTAATTCTCAATCTTACCTCAGCCTTTGCGGCGATAATCTTGCTTTCACCAATCCGCTTGCTCTGGGCAGCCATTGAGAGCGAATCTTGCAAATCTTGGCTAAAGAGGATATCCTTGATAAGCATGCTCTCGACCTGGACTCCCCAACCAGCGGCAACATCCTCAATGATCTCTCCAATAGACTGAGCAATCTCCTCGCGACGCTCAATCACGTCCTGGAGCACACGAGCACCTACAACGTGACGGAGGGTAGTCTGGGTACGCTCCACAAGAGCCTGGCGGACGTTGGAGATGCCAAAAGCAGCCTTATGAGGAGACACAATATGATAGTAGATGACGGAGGTTAGGCGCAGCGTGACATTGTCCTTGGTCATACACGTTTGTTCCGGGACTTCAGCTATCTGGATCTTGACATCCACCTGAATAAGTCTCTCGCTGAGGGGGTTGACTTTAATCAGACCGGGGTCGACAGCCTTGTAGAAACGACCGAACTTGGTGATGAGACCAACATGGCCTTGGTTGACGTGCTTATAAGGGTTGGGGCAGATGACGCAGCAGGGAATTGCGCCCATAGTTCCAATACACGCGCCAAGGTTGTTGACTATTCGAAATCAGAGTCAGAAAAAGAGCAACTGGGATTGGGATTGGGATTGTGGATAATCAAGGGACGACAATGACGTACTCATGCTGCCATACCAGCCCTTGGGGTTGGCCTCGCCTCCAACTTCAGCGGCATAGCTGCGCTGGAGGTCCTCTGGCTTAGGCGGGTGGACCGTCATCTTGTTCTGGGGCTGGAAGCCGGTGGCTACGCCGCTGTCATGATCGGTAGCCTTGGAGGAGCTGCTAAGGCCAGCGCCGTTGACAGCAGACATGTTTGCGGTATTGGCGTTTGGGGTGGCGACGCAAGGGGAATAAGACAGAGACAATCAGGTTGGTTGCGTAGCTACCACGGTAACACAGCTTGTTGCTTGTTGCTGGGCCTATGAAAAAAAGATAGGAAAGTAAACAAATGCTATGGAAGCGCTGTCCAGAAGAGAGGAGAGAGCACTGGGAAGAGGAGGAGCTTTGGGGGGGCTGTTGAGCACATCTTATATAATGACAGACAGCTGTGTGGTGTGGTCGCAGTCCTGGTTCGTCGGTCGTAGCTGCACGAGTAGCGCGACGACGTAACCGCGAGCGAGAAAGGGTGTGCGGGAGTGTGGAAGTGAGGAAGGCACTTGCAATGGGAATAAACGGCAAGAGCAGAGCACACACACACAGACATTGCTTAACCTTGGTTAGGTACTAGGCAGTACCAAGCTATACTCGTAGCAGTACTCTATACCTCTTAATACTACATATAGGTACGCGGAGCAACTTCTGACGACAATGACCTTCGTAGCGGAACCGTGCCCAACCTTAGCCCCGGTACTTGGCCTAAAAAGAGCTGCTGCTGCACAGCCTCGTCATCACATCACCTGCTCACCGGTTTAGCAGAAGCCTTGCTGTCTTCCTGGCCGTACTCGGTACCTGTACGTGTCTGCATCTACCAAGGCCCAGCCTTCTCCGTCACGGAACCTGGTACCTCTGCCCTTGCACGAGAAGCAAGAGTGGAAGAGGCAACAGCCGATTTGAACCCTTGCCAAATCGTCCGTCGATGCAAGTGGGTGGAGAATCCACTCTCGGCACCGCATCGCCGTGCGGGGAGGCGAAAAGCGGGTGCTTTTCTGTACGTGTAAGTTGCATTGACACCCTCTTTTTTTTTTTTTTTTTTTATTCTCTCTCGCTTCTAGTTGTTTAAAACTCTCATATCACAAGTACCTTTCCGGGGTATAGCACCTTGGTTTGTAGAGGCTAGAACCGCGGGCCCCAATGGTGTGACGTGATTGATCGTTCCGGTCGGTTTCAACGGCACGGAGAGGCACAAATCTCAAAAGAGTGCGACACGCTTTGTTTCGAAACCACCATCAGGCGACAGAGCTGTTTCTCTCGGCTAAAGACCACTGAGGAGTATCTAGCACCTCGGTTTATTTTTCGTAAAGACTTGTTGCTATAATACTTAAGCAAGCGGAATTGGACCGTCGCCTGATAAAGCACTGTGCTGTCGTTTTGGTCAGCTTATGATGACTTCAGCCTCGGTCCCTGGTATAGTGCTATGTTATACCAGGTAGGTATCAACACGCCAGTGTCAGAGCTACACTAATACTTGATCGCCAATTCCTGCCATCCATGTTTCCGTCTCCCGCGGAGTCAATCGAAGCCATGCTGCTTTCGACACAGCCCATTGTCGCACCGTGCCCAATACGCCCTCATGGCTGCATTGCGCTATCCAGCCGAATTACCCTAGACCAGGGCCTGGACGGAGTGATCTGTCACGAAAGCCTCACTTTTGGGAATCCTTTTCGTTGACCGAAATGACGATTGAGGCTTCTTTTCGACGGGCGATAGCGAGAGCCTACCTAGTAGTAAAGTAGCTGTTGGCTAGCAGTGCCTTTGTACAGAGTACTTTGATGTTGACAGAAGACCTACAGCACTATACAAACAAAGCCACATTGGTGGATTTGGTGGAGTTGGGCACCATCATCAAAAGAGACAATCACAACAAGCTTCCAGATCCTGCACACTGGCTAACCCAAAGAACGAGCCCGTATTCTCCGTATCGATCTTTTACTGGCTAGATCGCCATGGCCCTTTCCACAAACAATCATGCATTGGCCTTTACCGACTCTAGCACTGCCACATTACCTGGATTACCTGGAGCTTGGCAAAACTCCGTAGCAGCGCTGCAAGATGCCGTCTCTGGTTAACCATAAACAACAGAGAACAGCTTGACGAAAAAACACTCACCGCTGTGGCTCTGCACGTGGTACATTTTTCCAACAAAAAAACCCTCCCAATTCATCTCAAATCAGATCAAGCCAAAAGGCAGCTGGTACTGTATTTCTCATCAAACCACCCCCTCCAACGAAATAGCCTCTACTAGCATGCTCTTAGCCCGTTCGGAACGACGAAATGCCACCAGCAAGCGCTGATTTGCCTGCTGATCATCAGACCCGGGTCAACACATTTCACAAACCCCCGACCCCGACCCAAGCCATGCTGCGCGATTTGCTCCGGCCGCCGCTCTTCCAGAAACCTTCTAGTTTTGTCCAAGAGCACACAGAAGCAACCCTTCGGCTCATTTCCAATCTTGGAACAACATCGCCTTTTTTCTTTTCATGGAGAAACGCTGCGCCTAGCTTTGAGCGGTTTTTTACCTGATTGCTTTTTGCTTTGGGGCTGTTATGCTGCTCTTCTCGCCATCCCGATCCTTCGCTCGACAAAGCCACAGTGTATCCATCTTGTAGGCTGTAGAATTGCCCCCTTGTTGTCCATCGTCCAACGAGAATCCCTGGTTTTGTGTCTGCCTTGGATGCCGTAGTTGGGATCGACTTGGATACCCGTAAATCCGTACCTGACAGCGTCTAAAGCAACACGATAATTCCATGCGTATGTACATCCCCGATTGGCCTCATACATCATTTGACATCGGCCAGACCCACCAGCGATGCTTCCTTCGCCTGCGATGTGCATTATCGCCGCTTGGCAGCTCCGGTGACAGGCTGACAAGACATTGGACTGGGCGCCAAGCTTGGCGAAGCTAGCATGTTGACCCTCATTGTTGATCTTCGTGGCGGTGGCTTAAAGCGGAAAGCATCGAGAAAAGCCTTGCCATGGCTTACATTGCCATTGACATTATTACATCTGTCCAACAACAATTGGAGCAAAAAAAGGGGGCGTAGCTTGAATTTCTCAAAGCTTGCTTGAGGCCTAACCTATCAAGTATTATGAAGAAGCAGAATAGCGAACCAGCACATGACATAATCTAGTGACAAGAAAGGACATGACTGATAGCTACATGTCCTCATTTTGAACTCCATATCCGTTTCTAATTCTCCCAGGCGACGTCATCTTCGACCAGCCTTGAAACGTCCCGTTACTCGTAACACCTTGTTCATAGTTTTTGTGTGCATTACCAAGTCCAAAGCAAACCAAACATCATTATCGTATCTTCCTTATCCCATCAAGTATTAGCACCCTTATCGAATCTCTGCATCCCGCATGAAATCTGGGAGGGTAAACCCCGAATCACCACCCTCGAGCCTCGCCGCAGCTAGCGTCTGTGCAATCTCATCCAGTCTAGGTTTGCTAACAGCCGCACGGCTTCCCGCAGCTTCAACTGTATCCAGGGTGTCATCCATACGAGTGTTCTCAGACTCGCTAGGTTGAACGGCGTCTGCATCAAAGGCGTAAATCTTTATGCCACGTAGATGCGTGTCCTTGCCATTTTGATGGTTTTCCAGGATCTGCATCTGCAACACCCAAGACACAAGCGTGTTGCCATCAGGCTCTCCTCCAACACCTGCAAGAGGCACTTGCTGCCAGCCCACAGGGCTTGCGAGATTCATGGCAGCAAACTGGATAAGGTTGTTCTCACTCGTACCCGACTTGAATATGATTTTGGTGGGAGTGTAGGACTCATCCTCGTTGTAGTTGACGTAAAAGCGAATGTCTCGGATACCTACTCTCTTGACAAAATAGATGGTGAGCTTGTGCGGCTGCGGGCCATCTGATCTAAACAAAAGGCATCAGAAACTGTATTATTGGGAGATAGGAAGTGAAAGAAGTGTAGGTATACTCACTGCCAATATGAGGTCAAGTCATCACTTCGAAGCTGCTCAACACCATTGCCCGGCTTATGGCTGCTCACGGTAAACTTTCCCAAGTTGGAAATTTCCTTGAGGCCAAAGACAACGGGGTCCATCATTGCCAGGGGCTCCTGTTCCCCTTCAACTTGGTCATCAACATTGTCGTCGTCGTTTTCATCGACATTCTCGTCCAGATTCTCGTCAAGGCTCGCTTCCTCAGCATCGTATTGGCCCTGAGACATGGCATCGTCGTCATACGTCATCTGGTTGGCCTGCTGTTCCAGAACGGCTGTCATACCTCGCCTTGTCATCCCCAAATGGCTGAGATCTGGCTCCGATTCGGTGCCAGAGCCATCGCCCGAGCCATCACTGTCGAATTGCAGGCTAAGACGATTGTTGGTATTTCTCCGCGTGGCTGGAATCATGTTAGCGGTGATGGCCTGGCGAACCCTGCTGCGTCCTCGGCGTCGTCTTTGGCGTCGCCTCTGTTGCTGAAACGAATACGCGCGCGAATGCAAGAGAGAGAGCCGTTTAATCTCTCTAGTTTGGTGCGCCACTCGGTGCGAAATGGCCTGGACAGTAGCATCTCTATTCTCCTTGTCCGGAGAGGGAAACGGCCGGAGAACTGACTCTCTGCGCTCAAGGATATTGCCGTGAGAAGAAATGGTGAGCGGCTGGAGGGGACGGCGATTGCTTCCAGTTGGTCTGTTGTAAGGGGGAGAAACTTGGGAGGAGGGCAAGTTCTCTTGAGGTACTTCTTCCCGAGGATGGAGGATGCGCTGTCCAAGAGGCATGTTGGAAAGGAATGTGAAAAAGCGGCTTCGCCTGTGGTGAATGCAAATGAATGGCTATTGTAGTTGCAGGGCGGCTGCCTGTGATTGGGCAATGCAGTGGAGGAATGGAAGGGCAATTGAACAAAGAAGGAATGGATGAATGAATGAAGAAACGAATGAATACTTGCAATAGGCAAGCGGAAGAATGAATGACTGAGTTGGAAACTACTGGAAGGAGAATGGTGGGCGGTTTGATGTGAGGATGAAGAAAGAAGGATGAAGAGGCAAAAAAGCAGGCACTGCCCCAGATGAAAAAGACCCAGGGAAAAAAAAAAAAGCAGAGATGGAGAGAAAAAGTGATTCAAAAGTGACTCCAAGCTGAAGGCTATTAAAAACGGGGGGGTCCTCATTCAGTCTCTCCATATACAAGCATATATGAACGATATGACAACCAGCAACAACTGCTGCTTTGCATTGCATTGCACCCTTAATTACAACAACATGAAGAAAACCATAAACAACTCACATCGATGCAGTCTGAACGGGTTCGGCGGCGGTTCCATCTCGCGCCTCCTGTGGCCAAATCCCGACGTCTGGTGAACGCCAGCTGCCACGGCGATGGAGGCATCAGGCGTCACCTGGACCTGCAGTGCCTGCCGGCGGGTGCGGCGATGCTGCGTCGCGGCCTCGAGCTCGAGCTGGGCCTGGGCCTGCAATTGGGCCTCTTGGCTGGAGGCGACCGAGGCTGCATGGCGCGCTCGTCTGGAGCCGCGAGGGACGTCCATGGTAGAGCCTCTCGCGGGAAAAGGTGGTGATGGCATTGCACGTTTACAAGGCGATATGTCGTTGCGCGTGATCACGTGACGCTGCTGGTTAACAACATCGAGTCCTTTTACTGCGTCAAGCACTCACCAAGTGGCATCAATTCTGAGATATAATTACTAAACATTGGGGGTGACTGGTTCCAAGTTGATTGACTTTGAGATGTTTAAAAGCCACGAGAGCTGCTGGTGGAAATATTGCAGCTGTAGGTACCTAACCATCTCGCTTACGTGCTGTCCAACATTTTCACAGCATAGAGGCACAAGAGCTGGGTACCTACCTATGATTTTTTATTAAATCAGGTACCACAGCGTATTGGCAAAGTCACACTGCGTACCTACCTAGGTAGGTATCCAATATGAAATCAAATTTCCACAATGAGAGGAAAACTCTGCTCCATGTCAGAGGCCTGGTGGAGCAAGAACGCTCAATGTCATGGCAAGCGCTGTTCCCGTCGTCTCAGGCAACAGATACCTAAACATCAGGTACATCACATGTACTCTCATGGGGAAAGATAACAAGACCTTCACCTCTTTAACTCCAGCATCTTCATCACTTTGTTCCATTAACAATCTTGGTGGTATCCACTCTTTGACAACACATCATTCAGCATTACGCAAGAGCCGCCTCTTTATTTTATCCCTTCGCTTCGTTCTCTCCAACATATCCTACAGAATATTAATTGCGGCCATGGTCTGTGGCGGAAGAATAAGAACAGCCAAGCGGCTACTCATAGCCCTCTGCATCTTGGGCGGCATCCTTTATCTCACATATGCGACTCGGAAGGCTTATGGCAACATGTACGGCTCTCTGATACCTCAAAAATGGAGGTTCTTCGCCGCCTCTCCTAATGGAAGTCACACAATGATTGCTGTTCCCGCAGCGGCACCGATCTTTTTACGTTCTCTCAATTTCGAAGATGGGGCGTTGAGAAAGAGGTTCATAGGTATAATGTGCCTTGTAGGTGTTGTGGCCGCCATATTCCTTTGGCTCACAATACCCGGCTGTATCGACTCTGTGAAAATAAGATTGATACGGCGGAGGCAGAGATTGAGGGTAGGATCGGATATGGAGCCGTTGCGACCACGACCGCGCCCGAGGACTCCGTCGCCGGTATTCGTCAATTTGGGAGACATAGTCAACGAGATTAAGAATCGACTACCGCCACTGAGGCATGTGAACTCAATATATAACGAAGGGCAAGAGCCTGTAAATGACGAAACACCAAGACAAGGAGAAGACGCGGACAAACCGGATCCGCGTTTATTTATGATTCGAGAACTGAAGATGCCAACCTTACCTGGCGCCAACAACCCAGGGGAATCGTCTTCAGCTGCCGTGAACGATCCAGCAGAGTCGCTTTCTACTACCTTGGTCAATACAACAGAGATTGATTCAATTAACAGCTTTACGCTGTAGACGATTCAACAGACTCGCCTCCAGTTTCCATAAACAGTTCAACAGAGCCGATGGTGCCTCCTGCGGAAAGAAGAGATATGAAAGACAGCCCGGAATGACACTGAAGCTACATATACCGTCAGATCGCAGATGCCATCGACTCACCGCATGATGCCAACAGACCGGTCTGTATACACTCGAGAGCGGGAGGACAAAATTTTGGGAATGCCATGCCAGGGATTGGCTTAATTGTTGGAGATGAAGTTGCTCAAGCGATGGGTTTTACAACTCTATATAATTGGAAGCGTTCGTGTGGTTTTGAGGTCATGAATGGTTCTTCGTATATGAATCGTTATATCGGTAGATGGTTCTAATTCAAAGCGTTTTCATTATCTATATAACATGCAAAAGCCTGTCCATTGAAAGGCTTCATCCACCCCCCCCCCCTCTGCATTCCCCTTCCGTCCAGCCTCAATCCCCGCGAACATCCGCAGGCAGCGGCATCTGCCTCGTCCAGATATTCATGCCAATCTTTTCTCCGCTCACCACGGGTAATCCAGCATGCAGCGTCCTCTGGTCTCCCCTCCCATCCGCTAGCAAGTTCTCCCAATACACGACATTCCCCTCGATGGGCCTAAAGGTCACTCCAGACTCATACTCTTCATCACAGTCTATGAACCTGCACCAGCGCTCATCCCGCGGCGCGTCCAGAATCGGAAAGTTTGTCCCTCCGCCCGTCACATTGTCAGCCTTGACGTATCCGAAGAAGGAGCTGATGCGGTTCCCGCCCAGAGACACCGTCGCGTGAGAGGGATTGGTGAACCAGTCTGTGTGGAAGTGGTAGCGCTCCGTGACGGCGTACTTGACGAGCTGGATGGGCTCAAGGTGCGATTCCGGGACGTCGAAGCCCTGGAAATCGAGGGCGCGGGCCTCGATGCATCGCACCACGGCGTCTCTGTCGACGGTTGTAGATTGTGATGTGCGGACGGAGTGAATTGCTGAGTTTCCGCCCTTGAGGACTGCTGAGTGCTTGAAATGGCCTTCGCTGTGAGGGTTTGTTAGGATTGGCATATTTTGTTGTTATTTGCATGATAAGGCAACATACGCAATGTGTTGTAAGTGTAGTCGTTCCTCATCGGTGATGAAGTTCTCAATGTAAATGACTAAGGGCGATTTGCTCAACAGGTGCATTTTATATGGAGGATGTGAGCATTCGTAGTCACTCAGCTTCTTCTGCGACGCATCACTTGCGCCTGAAGCAATGCCCATGCCGACCGCCATGACGGCCAGCCAGCGGACTAGACTTTGTGAATACATCATGTTCAACTAGGTGGGAATGTGGATGAACCAAAGAATTCACAGATGAAAATGAGAGAAAGAGAGAGGGTTATTCGATGAAGAACATGAACATGCACACATTCATATCATCTCCAGGATATCTCGGCACGGCCTGGAAGCGCTTCGATCCCCCCCCGGAATCTCAAACAAAACGTTGAAACACGAGACGTAGCGTCGATGCCCAAGACTGACGATGGCGTTTTGCCCCCGTCGTTTCAAGTCCAGCCAACCCCTGCAATCTGACCAGGCGCACGTCTTACATACATGTATGGAGGGGAAGCCTCATCTTCATGTCATGGTCCGAGCAATTGAAGAAGAAGAGAAAATCGAAAGTCTACTTTTACTCTATCCATCAGAAGAAACAAAACTCATTACATTGTTTCTGCAGATATACGAAATCGTGATGCCGAGCTTGTCGAGCGTCTTGATCAACTGCGGGCTACTGGCTTGCGCACAGTTAGCTTGCGCTTCACAGTTTAGCGGGCCGACGGAAGTGAAGAAGTATCTCGCGGAGAATGAGTACACTCTTTTAGCCTGTAAGTCAAAGTTGAGACGATTTTTTTTTTGTTTCTTTTGCTAATTAATGCCTTTTCCATGACTTAGATGTTGCGGTGAGATGAATCAATGACATCGTTTGTGTGAGAAAAGCTGACTGACTGTTGCTGTCATTGCGTCTCATGTAGCCCAACCTGTGAGTAACACCACGGATCGAAATCATCAATTACTCTCACCAACACAACGAACAACTAACCACAAAAACAGGCAAACTAGTAAAAGCCTTTTGAAAGAATGGCAAACAGTCCAGAAAAGCGTCGCTTCCACCGCCGCCGTCGACTGTCTAGCCGCCCCTAAGCTCTGCCAAGAGATGGATGTTGCCTCATTTCCCGCCATCCGCCTCTATCAAAAGAACGGACCAACAACACGATATCGAGGGCCTCGTCGGGCCGCAGCGTGAGTCTTAGCGCTAGATTGTAGCTCTAAATTCTCCCTTTACACGGAAAACTGACGTATCGACTTCAGCATCGAGGCTTTTGTGAAGCGGGCTCTTCGCCCGTCCGTGCAGGATGTTGATGGCCGGAAACTTGATGAATTCATCACTAGCGATGACGTTGTGTTTCTCCTTCGGCTGCAAGGCGAGGATAAAGATCTTGAAGCTCGATTCCGCGACTTTGCGGACGAGTATTCTGATCGGTACTCGTTTGGCATAACTACTGCCAAATCGGATTTCCCTGATGGCATATGGTGCAGAAACGGTATCGATCAACGGGAGAACCAGGTACAAGACCTGGACGATCCTAATTCTCTCAAGAATTTCCTCAAAATTTGCACCGCGGAACTCATCCCACAACTTACACGACGCAACGAAATGACCCATCTTTCTGTATGTCCCCGCCACCTTCCTATGCTCTGTGCGTCCAACTTATCTGCTAACGTTATCCTAGTCTGGGCGCTCCTTGGTCTACTACCTCTCCAACAGCGAAGAGGACCGCGAGAAATACACCAAGGCCTTGAAGCGAGTAGCTGATCGATACGCCGAATTCCTCCAGTTTGTAACCGTCGATTCCAACGAGTATCCCGACATGGCGCGTAATCTCGGCGTTCGCTCCCGCGGAGGTCTTGCGGTGCAGAATATTCACAACGGGCAGGTTTTCCCATTCAGGGGAGATGCTTCTTCGCCAGACGACATTGACCTGTTCATCGTGGCTATTTCTGAAGGGAGGGCCCAGCCTTGGGACGGGACGTTTGATGAAGAGCTAGACGGCGAGGGGGGCCATGATGAGCTTTGAACGGTGAAAGAAACGTTCAAGGGACACGAAACTCTCTGTACATAGATTAACACTATCAATATGAACTGCTTACGACATTAGCAGGTAGCTTGTTCGTCATTGTGAGCAAGCTTCACCCCATATTCTCACGGCAATGTATTTACGGAACTCAAAACCCAAAAATTGTATGTTGGCTGTAGAAGCAAGTGGGCCAACGAATTTCAATTCCTGTCATTTTGGAGAATAGCTTTGCAACTTTAGCCTCTGGTTGGTCTGTTCCCGTTCTGGGAATTACCCAACGGGTCAGGCGTCTAATAGGGGATGTCCTTCTCAGTCTACTCCGGGGTATTGTAGCATTTCTAAATCCATATAGGTACCAAAGGAAGGTTCCTGTTCTAAATAAAAGGATACTCCAAATTAGAGCGTATAGATGATATGATTTACAAATATTGTATTAGGCAAAGGAGGCGTTTATTTATTGGCTCCAAGGAAGCAAGGTTATAAGACATATATACTACCCACCTGAATGATGAAAGTGTTAATTGATCTGCGTCGATATTGCTAGACCTGTCTCAGATCAGACCGTGATCAATTCTCTGGCCTCTCACGGCTAAAGCAGTAACAAAAAGGATGGCCACGGGATACCATCACCTCATTGTACAGAGTTTAAAGGCGTATTACTCTGGACAATGATTGTGCCACGCCATTTCTTGTTTTAGAAACATTTGGCTTTGGCTGCTAAAAAGGGGGGCGACCATCGGCAGAAGCGACAAGATATCCGTCACTTAATAGCTCTGCACAGGCCAGCAAGACTGTTGGGCACACAGCCTACCTAAAAATTTAGCTGTAATACGTTTGAGGCTATGCATACGTATTAGCTTGCTCTCACTATCTTATTGATCCGTGAGAACTCGAGAGCGCTTCGCTGGCGCGTCAGCTTGGAAGAGAGGCAAGACGAGGAGAATAAAGGGGGGTCAGCTCCTGTTGCCACGACTCCGTCTTCTCAATAACTCGCTTTCAAATTTCATCACTATTTTTGGGTTGCATTCAGAGTATTAATTCGAATGATTTTCTCTTTAACTCTGGGGGATGTCGTTGCTGAACCCTAACATTTTTGTGTTTGCAGCCGTGGAGGCCCAAGCACAAGCCGCAGGATTCTCAAATGCGACAGACAAAGCCAGCAATACTGTCTAGGCGAGCCGCGGCTCTGCTAGTCATCTTGGGTGTCTTCCTGGGCGCATTGGTGATTGCCTCGAAACGATTGGAAGTTCTATGCCTCGACAGAGTCTATTATCGAAGAGTAAAACAAGCAAAAGAAAAACTCAATGTGTACGAACCTGCGGATGGTACTCAAGGGGGCGACAAAAGGCTGGCGTCTGCGTCAGTGGAAACATCCGATAGACCAAACAGCATCTCTCAGCCCGGTTGCGCGCAGTTTCCAGACACCTCAAATAACCTCCTCGTCATGAAAACAGGGGCTTCGGAAGCCTTTTCCAGAATTCCAATCCAAGTCTTGACAAATCTCAAGTGCCTGTCTGATTTCCTCATCTTCAGCGACATGGAGCAAGAGATTGCTGGATACAAGATTCACGATAGCCTCGACAAGGTTTTGGATTCAGCAAAGATGGGAAATGCAGATTTTAGCATTTACTATCGTCAGCGTCAGTGTGCGGTTGACCAAGACAACTGTAACAAGCATGTGGATATCGCACAGGAGGGATGGGATTTGGACAAGTACAAAAACATCCACATTGCTGAAAAGGCATTCAGGATGCGACCCAGCTATGACTGGTACCTCTTTGTCGATGCCGACACTTATGTAGTGTGGCCAACGATGGTACACTGGCTGAACAAACTAGATCACACTGAGGAAATGTACTTTGGCAGTCTTGCAATGTTAGCTGATTTCCCTTTCGCCCATGGCGGCAGTGGTTATGTCGTCTCCAGCGCAGCTATGCATGGCTTCTTTGAGGGTAAAGATAATGTGGCCAACCTCTGGGATGAGGCCACAATAGGTGAGTGTTGTGGCGACGTTATGTTTGCAAAGGCATTGAAGGAGGCCACGGGTATCGAAGTGAACGATACGGTAAGTTGATATATCGGGGATCCAGCGAGACGTCCTCTCGACGTTTCTGTTCCGACCACACATGAGTTTGTGCTGATTTTGCAAAATATGGTGTTAGTGGCCAACCATTAATGGAGAGAAGCACTTCATCATTCCATATTCCGAGGAAGAATGGTGCCAACCGATCACAACCATGCACCATGTTGGCAGCGAAGAGTTATCTGATATATACGCCTTTGAACGAGAACGAAATTTTGCCTTCCCTATGCGCATCAGGGATCTCTACCATCAGTTCGTGGCACCGCAGCTAGAGCCTCTTCGGCCAGACTGGGATAATACGAGCAGCGACGTCCTTTATCTGAATACATCATCAGCTATATACGACGACGAGCAGCTCAGCAAGGCAAAAACGCAACACTTGTCCCATCTTGAGGAGATGGCCCACGAAAGCTTTGAAAGCTGTCGTGCAGCGTGCCAAGCCGACAAGGATTGTCTGCAGTATAGATTTCACCAAGGCATATGTGGGTTCGGCATGAGGATAACACATGGACACCCAAAACCCAGAGAAGACGATGCACTCAACCGGTGGATGAGTGGATGGGACATTGACAAGATCCAAGCATGGGTGCAAAAGCACGACATCTGCGACGATAAGATTGACTGGCCCCTGGTCCAGACGACGCCGACTTGAGATTGAGAGTGATGAAGCAATCACAGTTTTGAGACGCGTGACGTAGGAACATGAACCAGGCACCAGCCCACCTTTGATATACTATCATGAGCACCAGAAGATGGAAACTGAGCATGTGAGGCATGCTTCTAGCGCTAGCTGCGAACCACAGGCAGTCCCTGTCGCCTCTCGAGTCAGGAGGGCAGAAAACGTGGGGGATATGAAGACGAAAAGCCAACGGCGACCAGGGTTGCAAGCGTCTTCCTACAATTAGAGCTAGTCGACCGGTTGCGAAGTACAGCATTTGGCTCGGAATCGTTCGTGGAGCGACAATGGCTATTCCGCTAGAAGAGATAGAGAGCCGGTTTTCTCTCGTGAGCAGCGCAACCCTCGTAAATCGTTATTGGGAGACGAGACGAAACGCTGGCTTGACCGTCGTATCGGCTGAATCGAGCAGCACAAGGAAATGCGCAAGGAAGAAAAAAAAACCTTGTTTCGGGGATACGAGTATGGTTTTGGAAATGCTAATGTAGAGGGACAAGGGGGGGCCTGAGGATGAGATCAAACAAGGAAGGAGCCGTGGAAGCACATTCTGCCACTATCGCGACGATACGAAGCCGAAACGCTCACGGGTATGGGGTACGAGGCGTTACAGGTATTATTGAACGGGGCACGGAGTAGAGGATACATGCTGCTAATAAAAGTCGACGGATATTACTGGAGTCATGCCGTTGAAATGCGGCTCAGCTGTTGGCGACACAAGCACTCATTATGATCTACAGCTATTACAGTGTTACCCTCTTGTCATGCTAAGATGGCCAGAGGTAATACAAGACGAGGCAGCCAAGAGGCTCGTGGTGGAGCAATCAATAAACTTGTTTGTCTGGACGAAAGCGCCATTAGTCGTCCATCACAATTTGACCAGCACGAGCTCCAGCCAATCCCGCATCTATGCGCCTTCATTAGAGTTCCAAGACCATCAAGAGCTACTGAAGCTACACCCGGAGACGCTGGAACTGGAATGAAGTAGCAACAAACTTCTGCGCAGCTGGAGCTTAGCACCATGTCAAACTGATGTCAAGCTCGTCCGTTCTGGCGTTTTCGTGATAGCTGATGGAAGATGAGCCTTACTCCTCCTAGGCAGCAGTCCAGTGGCTTGCTGGATGAATGCAGTCATGTCTGGGTTGCTGAATCATTTCATTGCAGCGCTGCTCTCAGCTCTCATGCAAGTGCTCACCCCCTGTATTCAAGCTTGGCGGCGGCATATCAAATGGATGTTTTACATCCCATCAGTGTTACATCAATTCATTGATTGATTGATGCCTTCAATCCATGCTGCTGTACGGCTCCAGCAAAATGTGCCTGCATTGGGCGGGCCAAGGCCACTGTATTAGCACTAGACATAGCAGTAATTAGTAGCTGGCCCCTCCCAATTGCTCCCAAATGGGGCGCTATTTGAGGGGCCCCAAAAATTACCACTGATGTCATTCCAGGGTCAAGGGAAAACCGCTCCCAGACCCCTAATTCCACCACGGCCCCTAAATGTAATAATATGTAGGTATTCAGTCCTACGAGCATTATCTAGCGTTCCTTTTTTTTCTTTTTTTTCTTGCTTCCTTCTCTTTTCATCTTTCCCTTCCCTTCCCTACTTCTCCTCGCCTCTGCTGCGTATTGGTACGTGCTCTCGTATGCCACCGCATGAGAGCGAGATGGACGCCACGACAAGCGAGGTGATGGCCGCCGGATGCGATATTCCAGCCTCCTTCTACGGCTGGGTTGGCGGGTTGATTTTGATGGCGCGCTCATGCATCAAATGACCCGCCCCAAGTAGCAGAGCTAGTGCCTGTAGTGCATAGATGGAATGCCTGACTGGGGGGGTGCATTTGACTTTTTGGGAGTTCCATGGTGTTGGGCGGAATCCCGTGCCTTTTGCTCCCAATCTCTAGACAAGAGTCGAGTCGCAACTGATACATGCAGTCAGCCATGCGTCCATCACCAGACCCTGGCATGTGATATCCGGGGCTGGATTCGAGGCAGAGAGAGCGTGAGGCGAGAAAAAGGATTAATATCCATTTCAGCCTTCTTTTTCCTCGGGCTGCTTGCGTGGTATACATTATATTACGCGGGTACTGTACTGTATTAGATACTAGTGCTGGCTACTTACTTTGTACATATCATTAGTATTAACCAGTTGCCTCTTGGATCTATTTTAGCTGCGTTCCATCCCATTTCCCCCTTTATTTCAATCTTCATCACCACTCAGGTAACGGCACTCGTATTAGAGTTAACCTTTCTGTCAACCTCCACTTTCGCTTCCTCTTGTGCCGCGCAGCGAATGAAAGAGAATCACGACAGCATCGCTATTAATATTTCTCACGGCCAATAAACCATCTGGATCTCTTGGGTCCTTTTCCCCTCTGCACAGCACAGCGCCCCCAAAACCCACCACCACCTCCCAGGCCTGCGAACTGACTAGCACCGTTGGAGCCACAGCAAATCAGCGGCCCCCCTTGCCCACTCGAATTTGGAGCTCCCTGCTTGCTTTTGGCTTGCAACTCTTGGCCCCCCTGTCGATTCGAGTTCCCCTGCTTTGTCTCTGTTCCTGGCTCCGCCGTCTAACCAGGTTAAAGGGGAGAATAGCTGGACGAAACATTCATCAATTTGCAGAGCCCAATCTTTTCTTTCCCTCCGATATCACTTGCGTCGTATCTGCCATCCCAGCGACGACATCTGCCAAGTATAACCCCATCAAGCAATCAATCGATACCCAACCCAACGAATCCTCAACAACACTCACCTCTTTTTTGTTTCTTCTTTCCTTCTCCCTTTCTTCTTCTTCTTCTTCTCTCTTCCAATCTCTGCGTCATCTTTTATCCTTTTCCCCCGGGCCAGCCCCTCATTGCATCTGCCGCCACCATGTCTTTCACAGATGAGGAGCTTGACCGCAACTGGCAGCCCAACGGCCGACGCCCTCAGTCGTATGTCAACCCTCCTCCCCTTGACGGCATCGCAATGCGACCGACAAAAAAAGCGCATTGGCATCTCATCTTGCATGCGATGCACATAAGTGGCTGACTTGTGCAATGTTTCAATTGCGTGCAGAACGATTGCCAGAAACTTCCAATTGGAGCTGGAGGACATCTTCAATCTCGACGAAACCAAGGCTGAGCTCCAGCAGTCGTACGACACGAGGTTCGTCATTCATCGCCCATCTCGGCGTCATCCTTGAGATTCCTCCAATCTAACATGTGCTTCTCGCTGTCCAGAAAATACAACATCAACAAAAACACCGAAGAGCTCACCTCACTAGAGGCCCGCCTCCGCGAAATGGAACAGCGCCTCAACGCCGCTCTCCCGGCCGACCAGAAGGGATCCGCAGCCTCGACCCCCAAGCAAGAAGCCTCGTCTCTCTCTGCAGCTCCCACAGACGACAGTAAGTCCAGGTCGCGGCCAGGAACCGCTCGGCCGACCCAGCAAGCCCCCAGCTCTGGTGACATGCCTCCAACCCCCGGGGCCAGTGAAGGTGAATATTACGTTGTCACTCGAGCCGATTTAATGGACGACGGCCCCCGCTGACTTTTGGTTTCTCTCTTTGTTTCCGACTGAAGATGGTGATCGCGAGTAAAATATAAAATCAACAAGGGAAAAAAAAAATCAGTCTGCATTCTTTTCCTCTGATGCGCCGTTCTTACGACAATGATCCCCTCCTAGTTGGGCCTTTTCCAACGCCAAACCTCACATAGGTCTCTCCCAGGTTCTCAACATCACGGAAACGACCCCAGGAGCCTGGACTTGCTACGACAAAAATCACACTCGCCATCAGCCGCAAACCGCTTTTCTTGTCTTTATTCTTCCCCCAACGCTCTCGTTCAGCTCAGGTATAAACAAAAAACCAAAACAAAACAATACAAACCCCCCAAACTCACGCAACTGAACAACCTGAATCGGGACCTCCGAGAAACTTTCCTCCGGCATGCACTCGTTTCAACGACCACGTTTTCCTCCGGCGTTTACAGGTTCACCGCAAACCACTGTTCTTCCAGAATGGAAGCTGCATCTTTGTCTTTTCCGTTGTTTTGCCCTTTTTGCTTTCACCCCCCACTATTTCCTTATAATACAAAAAGAGGTGTATTCGACATACGCCTTGGCCGAGTCCGTGTCCGCACGCGCTCAACTATACATACCACATACATTATACCACATTAATGCACACACGCAAAGCATGTTTCTTTTCGAAACGAAATGGGCTACTAGGAGGCAATTGGATGGGATGGCTAGATGGATGGGGTGGGTGGATGACATGTTGGGGGTCCGCGGCATAGCAGGAAACCATCCATTGGCCTCTCCCAATAATGACGGGCTGGGGAGTGCATTTGTATATACCACCTCTAGGATGAATGCAATACAGAAAGCTATAAACACTCTACAAGGAATGTTCTGCATATAGTGGGCTTCCATGCCATGGGCAAGGGTCATAGTGTGCTAGTGATGGATATGCAAGTCATTGAACTTGATACATTTTCGCCGCAGGATGCAAGGGTCCATATTTTCTTAAATCCTATTTATTTGTTATACATCCAGCATTTACGAGGGCATAAAAATCTAGAGTATCAAAGAAATTTGCGTTTCTTCCAAGTTAACATAATACTGAGACTCGGCTCATCCCAACTTACAAGATGCTTTGTGAGCAGCCGCGACATTGAGCTCGCTATCAGATGTCATGCAGAACTTTGTTGGCAAAGCCAACTCGTCCTTTATCAAGGTCAAATGCCAGGTATAGCGCCTTGAGCATAATGTCACCTAGAACTATCACCGACAAATCCTCGGCACTTTGCATGCCTCCCCAGCAATAAGATTGATCAAACGAGGTGGGGCCATAGTTGAGATACGGGCCTGGAATAGTCAGAATACGGCTGCTGCCAGGTATTCTCAGCATGAGATTAGGCAAATCTTTGGCGACTTCGCAGGGAAATGTGAAGGCATTCGATAGCCTTTCATCAACTTTCATGCCGGGGATCGCGAACCAGTACGCACTGGCCAAATTGTCGGGCAGGAACATCAAAGTGGTACCGGTGTCTATTGTTCCTGTGAAGTTCTGCGAGTACCACGGCGTGGTTGTCTCTCCCCAGGTGGTGAGATTGAACTCGATGTCCCAATAGGGGCTATCAGGGTCAGTGTCAACCCATGTGATTTCCCCCAAGGCCCGGCTTTCATTGATGTAGCCAAAAGTAAAGACTCCAGAGGCGTTTCTGTTCAAGTCAACACCAAAGACCTGATGTTGAAGCTGCTGTCGTAGTAAACTGAGAAAGGATGGAGCCGGCGGTTCAATATTGTTAGACAGTCTCTTGGCTAGGCCGAGGATGCCACTCATTCTAATGTCCTCTTCGAGTTGGCCAGAGATCATTTTTGCAGACTGAACAGCGGCATTCTCAACCCAGAAATTACCCAGCCGAACTGTGTCGTGATAAACAATGCCATCAGCTGTGGTACCGTCCACTGTGGATAAGGTTAGTAAGGGATTCTGGCACCACCAATGGGATCTTTTTCTCGAACGCACTATATATAACCGACCATTTGGCGCCTTGGATGAGATGGGCTGTTGTAGAGTCGTTGGGATGATATCGAAGAGGCCATGGACCTCCTGTATTAACATTATATGTGGTATCGGTTGATTGGATCCATCTTGAACATGTAGATCAGCATTTGGGAGCGGGTTAGCTGCAGCAGGAGACCTCTACTTACAAGTCTGAAGATCCAGTATCTAGGAGCAGTTCCAACGTTTGTGGGGGACTCCCAATCTGTACATCAGCCACATAGAATTCATCTCTTCCCCTAGGTTCAACATCAACAAGGCCGGCTACACAACATTAGCCCTCTCTCATGTCTCAAAGATAAAGATAGGCTCACGGCTGCCACTCAGAGAAAGCGCAGATGCAATATCTCTGGGCACTCCCTTGCCCCATTTGCGGCGGGCAGCAGTCCAATCGCGCACAAAGTTTCGAGAGGCATCTGGCTTGGGGTTCACTGCGAGTGAAAACCCAGTATTTGAAGAGGGAGTAGCCGTAACCAAGGTCCACAGACGAGCGAACAAGAGGAAGAAGACGCAATGCCACATGTTTTCCCTTTGCTGGACTTGAATCGTTTGCTCTGTCAAAGTAAGGGAACCTAGAAGGATGAATCTGGATCTGATATGCGATGTGATGACTTGATGATGATGCTCGTTGCCGAATTTGGATCAAAATCGAGAGAGTAAAAGGGGCAGAGGAAAGAGAAAGGGGAACTCCCACGATATTGCACCGCCGAATTTGGACCAGAATGGCGAGGGTTAGAAGGGCAGAGAAAAGAGAACAGAGAGAAAAGAGTACTTCCACGATGTTGTACAGCTGGCGCGTGATGAAACTCACAAAGAGTACCCGCGACGGGGGAAGGTCCTGTGATTCACTGCCGCCTGCAGTTGCCCGGTTGGCAGATCAGGCGAGCACCTGCACCGCTGCTATCTTATCATTGATATGGAAGTATTGACCTCTTTATTGAGCATTAATTAGTAGATGGATGTGATAGCTTCAGTTATGTACCTGTATCCAATAGTTTTCATACAATGGCTATACCTTTTAGCATCACTGATACCTACTATATGCTTGGTGATATTTGCTGAGGTACGCTACTTGGGATGGTGGTCTTTTCTCCTTGAGTAACATGAAAAATTGCATATACACAATCTTCAAATTATGTCTAACGGGCCGGTACACGGGTTTGTAGCCACAAACAACGGAATGGGAGGTGCACGGTTCCATATTGTCACACTATAGCTTGTATCAGCACCTACAGAATATGCATCGGAATCTTCTACGACCTATAGGAAGCTAATCGTCACATGTGCCTGATGAAACATCCTTGTCATGCATTTATATCATTCAAAAATCCAGAATACCGCATCTATCTAGGTACTTGACTTTTTTTGTATCATATGGCCCAAGTATTTACTTCAAACCCAGTGTATCAAAACGCCTTCCGCCTAGAGCTCGTCGTGCTCCGGCTTCGCTGTGTCTTCCGCATTTTTGCGGGAATCTTCCTCCTCCTTCATATACTGCTTAACCAACTCTTCCAGCTCCTCGTTAGAGAGAGGCACACTTCCCTCAGGAAACTCAAAGGTGGGCGTGGCCTTTTCACCACTCTTCGTCTTGTCCTGCTTCTTCGCCTTCTTGCTCTTGGTGGGCTTCTTGGGCTTGTTCTTCTGGTATTGGTTGAAGCTCTTCAATGCGAGGTCCAGGCTAGCCTTGTCAAGCGCATCGCGTTTAGCAACCAGTTCGCTGACCTTAAGGACAGGCTCCTTAGTAAGAGGGACGTCCGCCTGCTCAACTTCAAGCTTATTAAGCCAATCTAGTGTCTCCTTGTAGAGAACCTCCAGCCCGTCCATTTCCTCAGAGTTGTGCAGCGGAGGTACAACCTCTTCTTTGGCTGGCTTCTCTTCCGCGTCATCGTCCTCCAGTCCTTCAAAGTCACCGCTTGTTGTTTCAGCAGCAGCACTAGAGGTGGCAGATTCTGCCTCCTTGGTAGAGGCCGTGGCTTTCCATTCGTCATATGCAGAGATTTGCGCACGTACAGTGTTGATAAATACATCGGTAGTGTTGAGAATATTTCTCAAGTCTGTAATCAAACCAGGTCGCCGTTCGGCCTCATCTAGACGGTTCTGAATGGGTCCCACAAGGTCTTGGAGAGCCTTAAGCTTGGCAACGAAGTCGGCTTTCGTGGCCGCATCTCCCTCCTCATAGAGCCAGTCGCTAGCTTCGCTAGCCTTTTCAGACAGAGCCTGTCGCTCCTCCTCAGTAGATGCCGAGATGAAGGCTTCGTTGTCGACAAGATCGCGGACTTTGTACGTAAAAGCTTCGAGCTGGTTCAAGGCCTCTTCGCGTTGCACTCTAGCCTTGTCAGAGGCTGCGAATGCCTTCAATCGATCCTTAGCCTTAGTCCACTCAGCCTTGGTCAGCTGGGGAGTTCCGGCCTTCTCCAGTGAAACCTCAACGGGGATAGAAACAATCTGCTTCTTCTTGACTTCCTCCTTTGCGGCATCTGTGGATTGAGCTGCCTCTCCAGATTTGGTGCTGGTGGTGGAAGACGACTTGGCATCAGAGTTGGCCTCTTCCGTCTTAGCTTCAGCATCCGATGATGCATCAGCGTCCTTTTCTCCTTCGCCAAGAGGCTTCTGGTCCTTCTTCCCGAATCCAAAAAGATTCTTAACGCCGTCAACGAACCCTTCCTTTTCGGCCACTTCAGCCTCACATTCAACCACGGCCTTGACGATCTCAACTTCGCCATTCTCAGTACGGAGCTTGACTGCAACCTTGAACTGAATACCGGTATCGGCGCACGTGGGGTACTTCTCCTTGAGAGCCGCGACTGTCGCAGTCAGGTTGTTGGTCGAGAATGACTTGACAATTTTGTCCTCGGTATCGACCTGCTGATAGAATGAACCAGTAAAGTCCTCTTGCTCAGTGAAGCTGATCTCCTTGGCTGGGCCATTGAGAGGCGACGAGGCAGTCCAGAGTCGTTGGCGCTGTACTTTGCCATTCGAGGCTTTCCAGGTAATGCCAGCAGGGAACATAGCACCCTCTGAGATCCTGATTTCTTTGACGCGGAAGCTGGGGCTAAGCTCAGCAGCCCGGAAAGCAGCACCAAACACGGCGGCCTCGTCGGAATTTACGTTTGTTCGAATTTTGTCTCCAGAGCCAAGTGCCTTCTCAAGTGCCTTTTGTACAAATGGAGTACGGGTTGCACCACCGTGGAGGATGACGGAGGTGAGATCACCAATCTCGAGGTTGGCTGCTTTCAAAGCCTCTCGAATGGCAACGCCAACTCGGTCCACATGAACCTCTGCCATAGCCTCGAAGTCGGCTCGAGCAATCTTGTATTTGAAATCGACATCCTCGTATAGCCCCTCAAAGCTTGCCTGGGTGTTCTGGTTGGCGCTCAGGACATGACGAAGGCGTTCAGCTTCCTTGCTGAGCTTGGCAACGGTACGACCATGAGATTGAACTTGCTCAGCGGTTGCCGAGATTTTTTGAGCCCCCTTGGATTCCACAAACTGAGAAATCATGTCATCGACGATCAATGAGTTGAGAGAGTCTCCGCCGAGGGTTCTATCCCAGCCACTGCCAAGAACCTGGATCTCTTGGACCGTCTTGTTGTACTTGCCAACGTCCTTGACGGTGCGGCTCTGAAACCTCATAACGGTGGCAGTAGTCGATCCTGCTCCCATATCAAAGACCATGTGATATTCCGGCTTGGCGCCTTCGTTGATATTAGGGAATTGGCGACTGGTGGCGTAGTTGAGGCCTACAGCTAGACCTTCGCTAACCAGGCTGAGAACCTTGAAGCCGGCGAGCTCCGCTGCCATTTGCAGGGCTCGCTTCTCTTCAGTGGTATAGAACGGCGGCACGGTGAGCACGATTGAGCGGATCGAAGAGTCGCCGCCAGCGGTAACCTCGGCGTTCTTCTGGATGCTCTGAAGCTCCATGGCCAGCAACTCCTCCACCATCCAGGCCTCCTCCTCAGCAGCCAAAGTCTCCGTCTTGAACGCAGCAGTTCCCCGTGTAGCGTGTGCCTGTAGTTTCAAAGCAGGGTGCCTGGCCGCATATTCTTGGACAATCGCATCTCCCACTGGGAGTCCGAGGAGGGGCTTCAGATTCGGGTATACTTCGCCGGGGAATCGTGCGGCAATGGCCATTGCGTCGGCGCCATAGTTGCGCTCGGGATACTGACCCTCAGCTACGGCTCCTTTTGAAGGCTTAAACGCAACGGCGGAGGTTTCTTTTCGTCGCGAGTCTTTTGTAAGTACAATCTCAAGCGGGATGCCAGGCTTCACCAGTGCAGCCTTGATGTATTCGGTTCCCAGATCAACTCCGAGAACGGCTGAAGCAGCCAGGACATTGCTGGAAAAAAAGAAGATGGCTCCTAAGAGCATCAGTAACGGTGAACGGCGTGGTGATGTCATGTTTGTGGTTGTGTAAGTGTAATTCGCCGGCCCTTGAAGAAGACGCTGTCTAGACAGCGAAACCCGGATAGCGAAGAAGCCGTCCAGGCCCAGCAGAGATACAAGCCCTCAAGACTGCAGGAGAGTCAAGGAGCGGAAATCCTGTCGACTTTATAACAAGAGCTTTCCGGACGAGAAAAGAATGCGCCGGACGGCTGATGTGGCCTCAAGTGACACCCTAGCGGGTTTCAAGACTTGGCCGTGAGAAGAGGACAAGTTTCAATGACGGACGCTGAGAGGTTGCTGCTCAATTAGGCCGGTCAAGCATCTGCGAGGCTGATAGCGGATAAGGCCAGGTGGCGTACAATAACTAAGGTACTGCCTGTTTGGGACTAACGCGCCCGATGACGGTAAGTGTCGGCACTCAAAATGGAGGGGTCCTGTCAAAAACCACGTTCAATTGGGTAATAGTTACCCAGTACTTTAGGTACTAGTAAATCAGAAAAGCTGGGGAAGCATTGAAGGTCGTAGAGTAGAGTAGTAGCAATGAATGTTCGTGGGCAAACTTTTTGTTATATAGTTTCCTACTACCTATGAATACCAGTAGCCTGCTTCAAAGATGCTGCACTTCCTAAGAGCTATGAGGGATTTACAAAGGTGCTTATTGAAAGAAGCCGTCCCAACCATCCCCCTTCCGCCAGAAAGAACCCGAGACCTGCCGTTTTGACAAGTTCCAATGCAATGCCTAAAGTCGCCTTAACTCAGCTCCGCCAACACGGCCGGAGAAACCAGGTAACGCCATCATGTCGTAATGTACAAATCACCTCCAACGGGTGTGCAGAGAAGCAAGAGATCAGAACTTACCCACGAACCGCGAGCGGGAGCTCTACGACTCGTTGCGGCGAGGTCCTCGGAAAGGGACTCCGCCACGATCACCTCGGTCACCGCGTCCTCGGCCACGTCCACGGCCATCTCCTCGATAGCCGCCTCGGCCGCGCCAGTCGCCACGACCGCGTCCACGTCCTCCGCTCCCCTCGCGATCCTGTCGTCCCCGATTGCGCTGGACTTGGTGGAATCCATCGTTGGCATCGGCTGGTGCAGCTGGGGCCTGGAGTGGAGTGTGTCAGCTAGATTCGCTCAAACAGGCAAGAGAAGTCAGGATGATGCAAAACACATACCTCAGTGACGGGGTCAGGGTGGTCGTCAGCCCAAGACTGCTTGTTAGCATCAGGAGTGGCAGCCTCGGCGCTGACCTCAGGCTCAGCTGGCTCGGCGGGAATAGCTACATCAACCCACTCCTGGGAAATGGAGATGTCCTGGTTGCTAGTATCCCAGTGGCTCTCAGCAACGGCATTAGCTGCCTCGTCCGCAACGTCGGCATTGGCAAGACCATTGGAAGCAGGCTCGGGTTCCACAAGCTCATGTCCGTTGGTCAGAATGCCATCTCCAGCTGCAATTTCAGTTGCGGCTTCATTGGCGATGGTCGGGTCGGACACAATCTCGGCTGCTGGCTGTGCTTCAGCTGCAGCCTCGGTATAGCCTGGCGCGTTGTAGCTTTGTGCCAGTGATTTGACGGAGGCATCTGTTGTAGTTAGTAGCGGTTTCCGGTAAAGGCCTACTTTTGTCGGTCATTCTACATACAAGTTGTCTGGAGCTGTTCTCCAGGGACACTGAAGATTTGATCGTCAGAGCCCTCAATCAGTTTCTCCATGGCAGAGACGGCATTATCATCTCCAGAGTAAATGGCAAGCAGCACACCCTCGATAGCTTGGCTCTCGTCAGACTCCGGCTCCTGAGATTCCTCGCGGCGGTAGGCTGCCAAACGCAAGAATTGCGACAGAACAAGAAGCTTGGACTTCAGAGAGCCCTCAAACTCAGCCTTGACTTCACTGAGAGCCTCCTCCTTGGTCTTCTCGAGGGCCTTGGCCCATTCTGCTTTGTCGGCCGCCGCCCGTGTCTGATACTGCTCGTGGACTTTCTGGTATTGAGCAAGCTGCTCCTCGTACTGGGCCAAGGCAGCCTGAAGAGCAGGCTTCTTCAGAATTTGGGTCTTTTGGTCGGTATTGAGGATCCGTTCTGCAACGAGTTCATCGAGGGACTTGCCGGCGTGCTGGCTGAGCAGCGTGTCAGTCTTGGAAGCGTTGGTCTAAGCAAGAGTAGATGTCAGTTCCAGGATGCTCAGCTGGTGCCAGGGGTATGACGCATGTGGGGACCTACCAGCTTCTTGGCCGTGTTGCGAATGTTCCTGTGCCATCTTGTCAGCAGCTGCATCGGTAGCATGGGGGCAAGCTCGCGAGTAGTCTGTAGTGTCTTACTTCTGCAGCTCCTTGATGTAAGGGCTTTCGAAGGCATCGTCTTGAGCCTCAGCTACCTTCTCGGTGGGGGCTGACTCGGTGCTGGGAGCCGGGGATTCGGTACGACCCTGGGCTTTGGCAGCCTTCTTCTTGGCCGACTTGGAGGTAGCGGCTTGGGGAGCTGGAGCAGCCATGTTGAAAGGAGAGTGCAGAGACGATGACAGAAAGTTGCTCACGCTCTCAATGCGATAATCGTGGGTTTGGTGTCGTGAGCGGTTGTCCAACAAACGTCGGTGCGCGCAAGGCTGGTGGATGGTGGCAATACGATGCGAACGCGGGGTTCAAAGCGCAGCGTTCGAGTCTTAGGAGATGGAATTGGGAGACAGGGAAACGATGTCAAGGAAATGTGCAGAGGTTGGAGATGGAGGATTCTTGAGGGGAAGTGTTTAGGTGTGGAGGAGGGTTTGTTTGTGTCGGGTTGTCTTTTTTTTAGCACTGGACTTTTAAGGTACCAAGGCGTGGCAGGCTGAAGGCGTAGTGAAGCAATTAGAGGCACCCCCCTGTGCAGCCGGCAGCTGTCACTGTGTCTGTCCCCCCGAATTGGCAGTGCGGGACGTTGCTCTTCTAGAAGCAAACAGAAGGGCTCAGGCTGCAATTCAAGCCTCGCTCGATACAAACGGGCGTGTCAACCACTGGCATTGCTGAATACTGCCAATGCCCAGCTGGCAGGGCTCAATTGCCCTTTGTTACACAGGAAAAGCCAGCAAACGGAGCCTGTTTGTGGACTTTCTCTCGCTCAACGCAGCCTCACGTGCCCTCTAATTGTCGGGTCAACCAAGTAAACATGGCGGCATATGAGGCACCAATTCCGCACGCCATCTGTACAATAGCCTGATTGCAGTTGGGCATGACTTCATCCTGAATTATCAGCCTTGGGGTGCTCCCTATCTGTTCTATTATTGTAGACGACCTATCTCTGCCACTCTCGGCCTCTGTTGTAGGTATTCACAATGTTTTACTGGTAGTCCTCCATCACAATCCCCCGACAAATCTTATTCTTTGCGCATCAACTGGAGCCTCGCACCGGGGTATCTCAACAGCCAGAATCCTCAGCATAAAGAGGATGTCATTCATTACGGATCCGACTTATGGCAAAAGGGTTTGTTTCCATCAGGGTTGCCATAGCGGTCATATTTCCCTCCCCCCGCCCAGGCTAGCCTAAGCCCTCATTAAGCATCAATAGGGAGACCGGAGTAACATGCACCGTGAGTAGAACCAAGCCTCAACAGCAAGGCAGCTCCAGTGCAAAGCCGTGTCTTTGTTTCTTCTCAAAGGGGTCCACGGTCAGCCTTTGAATTTGGCCAGAGCATCCTGTTTACTCGTATTAGCCCATGTAATGTAGCGCTCAATCATGGAATCCAGGAAGCATACTCGAGTTGCCTTTCTCACGCTCCTAGCGGTTAATCCACGTTCTCCCGACTGCTTTGCATGAATGGCGGCCTCCTTGACTAATCTGCGAGATAATGTTAATATTTGCACCTCAAGCAAGCGATCTACAGCAGCCCGTTTGACCCAAAAACACACCTATTCATAAACAAAACGTAATTGAGATAGATCTTGTACCGTTGTTAGCACTGCAATCGGCGGCATTGACTGATGGGGAACGCGTAACCCAGGGCCATACCGTGATGTCGGTGTTTTTCCTAATGCTCATACCCGAATGCGCCTTGACAATCTTCTTCAGGGTAGCCTTAGGGTAAGGCTTTTTGCCCGCCACCATGATGGCCGTCTGCTTTCGCTTTTGATGCCTTGCTATGGAGATGCAGCTGTCATGCTTGTTGTCTCAACAGCGCGTCTCCCAAATCCGTTAGTGACTGGTGCTTCGGCACTTAATTTCCAGCTGGACATACGGTGCAGATGTGGTATAGGCACTGTAAAACACACACAGTAACCCCACCATAGTTTCATACCCCACCATTTCCTCGGGGGCCAGTTTCGTACCAAATAATCGTTGCTCTGCTCTGTATAAGGCATTGTACCAGAAAGAGTTGAGCTGCGTCTCGACATCGTTGCGATCATGGCTTCAATAATGCAGCGCCGTATGGTATGTCTAATGTACCCTGTATGCAACGTGCCCCGGCTCACGGCTCTTTAGCTCTCGAAAGAAGACGAAGCCGCGGACGAGGTCGAGGTTCGACGAGAAGACCAAGACAAGATTAACAGGTTCAGCCGGCTGCACCAGCGAGAGCTTGCATTGAAGGAGGAGCTGCAGCAGAAGAGTGTACAGGACCTGCCATGCCGTACATGTGGATATGGCTGACATTTGCGCTACAGAAAGAAAAAGAAGAGCTGGATGACATCTCCACTGAACTCGAGCTTGCGGACGAGGATGAAAAGATACAGTGTGCTTTGGCTATGCGGCTATGAATGCGGAGCTTGACTGACCCGTGTTTTTTTATAGATATAAAATCGGCGACGCTTTCTTCCACCTTCCCCTTGAACAGGCACAAGAGATGCTCAGCACCGCAACGACGAGAATAGACGAAGATACAGTCAAACTGGAAGAAAAGCTTGGCTCCATCGAGGAAGAGATGACACAGCTTAAGGTCGAGCTTTACGCAAGATTCGGCAAGCAAATCAACTTGGAGACGTGAAGAGCCATACGACGTCGACCCAACAACTCCCATCATCTCGGGGTTGCCCTCTACTGAGCTCGACACACCCGCGGCTACTGTTATTGTTTCTACGCAGGCCTGCAATCCGAAATAGAAGACGACACAATCATATTATGCCAAAAATAATACGAACCAAAGTTATACTAGAAATTTCAACGGAGCAATGCAAGGATAATCTTAAATTCATCCATGATAGGTGACAAGTGCCCTGCGCTTAGAGGTCTCCTATAAACAAATGTTATCACATGGCGAATATATCGTGGCCACCTCTCCGAGCAGTGCATGGCTGCGCAATCATCTACGTGCCTATCCAGAACTTCATCAGCATTTATTAGTTTCTAATGACCTCTCGCCCACAGCCACTGATCCAACATGCCTCTCGATCATCGGGGGTGCGAAACAGGAAGAATATCGCTGATGAACGGCAAGACTACTAAGACTCTTGGTGTTCTATCCGGGAATCTGTGAGAAGGACTAACTATCGCAAAGTACTCTATTGTAGTAAAGTGCGATATACAACGGTTTATGATATGTTCTCGATAGTTTACCAAGGCTAGCTATTGATATTATACAAGTGGTCTTTAAAATATCCTCTGCCTCATTTTTCTTCGAATTCCATCCACTACATAAGGATCAACAAGAGTCCCATACCAATCAAAGCGATAACATATATCCATCTCTTCATAGTATTCTCGCTAACATACTTAAAACCAAGGTAACGGAAGCCGTGATAGCGCTCTGAACTCGATTTCCCCAGTAAAATTTCCGCCTGTGCTGTCCACTCTCTGTTAGTCTCTCAAATTTCCCAAGCTAAGAGATTGGGCCATGGATCTGCCAGTCCAGGTTAGAGACAGCTTCCTGCTCGCCGGCACATCCAATGCTGATTTCCAACGGCGAAGAGCTTGTATCTCACCGGTGGCCGATGTTAAACCAGTGTCTTGGGAGTTTCTATCTTTTTCGTCCTCGAATGTCAGCCTCCTCCATGGTTGTATAGAAATATCACTCATCAAGTCATCTTCCGCGGGATGGCTTTGGCTTGGCCCATCGACCAGCTTCTGTATCTCTAATCCCATGGAAATCCTGGTATTCTTCTTCGAACACCCAAGATCAATAGTATTGCCAAGTTTTGACGCAGATTGCTGGTGACGAGAGGCCAATTTAGCAGATAAATGCTGATTCGAGGACGTGATGCCATATTCAACTGCCTCCCTTTGTGCAAGGCTTCGGTGCTCACTCGCAATGGTCAACGTATCCGTTCGTACTATTTTGGATCCTAAACACTTTTCATTTTCATCATGCCCTGGCCTGTTTTCTGAAATTTGAAAGAACTGGGTTTGCCTCTCATTGTCATGTGATGGCATAAGTTTCTTCAGCCCAGATCTTACAGCCTTTCCCAACCTGCCAGGTCTAAAACGTGATATTGATTCCGAAGGGAGAGCATCCACAACCAACCTCCTATCTTCATCCATCTGTGACTGATGAAGATCGATGCTTGTAATTCTCTCTTCACATGATTGGATGATTTGTGGCTGTAGGGAAGGGATCTTGGTCAGTCGTTTCGCGGGTTTAGATGGTTGGCCGGGCTTTGGGATGGAGTTGGCTGAAAAAGTCCCTTGTAGATTAGTCGACCATTGTTGAAGAATCCGACGAGAAGGACTTTGAACCTCGTCCAATAAGAGCTCTGAGTGGGGGGTCAATCTGGAGGTGTCAAAAACCCCTGACTGCCGTGATATGAATGAGTTCTGGTAGTCATGTACACGCGCAAGCGTGGTTGGACTCACATCAGCCGGTGAAAAGCTGCCCACTTGGGTTTTAAAGGGAGAAGATCCACCAGTAGGCGTCTCCAGTCGCCTGCCATCTGAGTCTTCACGTCTCAGAGCCAATGAGCTTCTTTCAATCACGTAGTGCCTACTTTGCGCCGTACCAAAGCTGTTGGAGCTGTATTTAGATCTCCTTGGGACAGAAAGGTTCATTTTTGCCATAAAGGATCGGCGGCCAGACCCAGCAGAAGTTATATGGAAGTCTTCTTTGAAGCGGCTACCGAAGTTCAAAGATGGCTTCTTACGTGACAGGGCATCACCAAGCCTTGTCCCAATTGTTTGCATCTTAGCCTCTCGTGGATGAAAACCCGCAGCACCAGAACAGGCCAGTGATGTTGCATCGGCAGAGGCTTTAGCCGTAGGGCAATTGATCCGAGCACTGCTAGCATTATTGTCGGAATAAAATATATTTTCTTCCGCTGTAGCGTATGAGCTCATTCCCTCGGAAGCCTGGATGCTTCGAATGACAGAGAAGTTGCCTCTCCCTGCAACCCCCTTCATTAATACGGTACAGCGCACGGTGGAGAAATGAATCAAAGGGGGAGATGTACTCACAGCTAAAGGGCGAAAGCTCAAGGCTTTCTAGGTCCTCTGCACTAAGATGATGGAAATTGGATTGAGATCGATCTGGGCTGGGCTGGAAGCTTGGAAGAACGGAAGGATAGTCGGAAGAGCTAGGGTCAACGGGTCTTGTTGTGGCTATATCCAAGGTATCAGACTCCAAGAGTAGATTCCGACCAAGCAAGGTGGCATCAGCGTCGCTTTGCATACGGTCATTGGGTAAGCTGGATACAAACGATGCGCTCTCAAAGGAGTTGTTTCGGTCGTGGAGCTCCTCCGTAATACTGCCTTGACAGCGAGTCGGTAACAGAACGTCTGCGGTACTATCGATCCCGCCAAAATCCTCCTGGGGTGAGGAAACTTGATTCCCTAGATTCTTATCATTTGTCTCGCTGCCTCCAGGGCGGATGGAGCTGCTTCGTGATTGCAAGCCCTGGGCAGCGAGCCAGATGCCAAGAGCAGACTGTTCCTCCCAAGCATGTGCTCCGTGGCGAATATCAAACTCGCTGTCAGCGCCCAAAATACGATCTAGGCGAGGTACTTTGTATGAGCATCCTGCCAATTTTTGAGACGTAGAGCTGTGCGTACTTGGTGGCCGTAAAGGGTGGACTTGATCCCAGCTCTCAGCGCCAGACACTGCTGATGTAATAGCAGGCTTTAACACCGCGCCTTGTTCTTGTGAGGAGGTGCATGCCTCTACGTGTTGAGCCTCGGTACGTTGCGACTCTTGTGTCGGGCGTGGTTGCGCTGTGTTCAGATGTGCGTCTTCAACTGTGAATTCTATGGCATCCCTTGGTCCAACCCTCGGCTGCCCGGCGTCAATGAGGGGGGAAAGATATCGGGTGCTGCGGTGAGATGTGCTGCTCGACTCGGCGTTGCTTTCTTCATTCTTGAGCTCTTCTTGGATCCTCTGATGCCGAAATCGCCTGAGCTCGGCTCTTCGAGCAACCTCTTCCTGGCTGTGGCCCGCAGATGCGCGAGACCGGCGGTTTGGCTCATTCTCATGCGAAATGCGGCGTATTAACTTGGTACGAACGACGTTTAGAGCACTGCTTGTCTTTGTCAAAGGATTGTCCTCTTCCCCGTCGCCATCGGAATCGTCCACCACCAGCTGTCCCAGCTCCGTTAAATCTTCAGAGGGCAGCTCAGCCGGCAGCATCGACACATCTCGAGATCGAATCGGCATCTCCAGGGACTCCCGCGATTGATCAAAGCAATGTTGGATATCAGGAAGGCCCCGCCGCAAATGGTGCTCCTCCGGTGAATCAGCCAAGTCAGCGTCGCTGGCAGGCTGTCTGCCTCGACGACGGAAGCCGCAGCAAGATAGGATTGACATTCCGTGCAAAGGATAGGCTGCCGAAGAGAGTAAATGGCCGCCCCTCTAGGCCGTTAAATAAGTGTTGACTAAGAGCCTGAAAATGAGAAATCAAAAGGAATTGCGGTTGCTCGTATCAAGGTAGAGAGATAATAACAATCGGATTCCAGCTCGTCTTTGGTCGTGAGTAAATGAGGGTGTTGCCGAGGGCTGTGACTTGCTGATGCTCAAAACAAACAAAGGCCGTGGCGACTGCCGTTTTGAAGTGCTTTGACCAATGCTTTCAAGGACAGGGCAAGAGGCAATCAACCGTGGAAGAAACAAAGATTTGCAGACAACTCTCCTCTTGAGAGGTTTCCTTTCCTTTAAAACAAAAAGGGGAGGGGGTTAAGGGCAGGCACGGAATAAGTGAATCATGCCTTAGTATCTACCTGCTAAATTGACATCAGAAAGTGCAAACTACCTAATTTAACAAACGCCTGCCTCTATTACACCCATTATATCGCAATCCCCCAAGTACCTACTAGGTAGTACAATATTGACCGTAAAGATGCTACAAAGAATTAAAGTAAGTCGTCCACAAACCCGAGCTTTTCCCTGTTTTCATCGCAGATGCGAGCCCACTCAAGCAATAGCCGCCAAACATACAACGCCATATCCTCTCGTCTTAGAACCTTCTCTGCCCAAGCCTGGCCGGTCTCCGCAATGAAGCGAGCGGCCTCGTCGCCTTTGCCCGCTGGACCGTCAGCGAAAAAGTTGAGGACCGAATACAGATCCTGAAAAGTGTTATCGAAAGGCGCAAAGTGCATCCAGGGAACAAGGCGGTCATCATGCCACTCGGCATATATTGTCGCCTTGAGTGGCATGCTTGTTGACCGCAGAAAGCCGCGGTATCGAGCGCTGAATGAATTGCCGTCAACGTCAGGCAGAAACTTGTAGCCGTATTGTTCTTTCATTGGAACGCGATCGACTTCGTGGTAGTACGGCTCCAGGAAACCGCATGCGTCGGGAGGGCAAAGTTTGACGAAGCCAGCATTCGCATTTTCGCTGAGCCAGGCTCCAACTTGGCCATGAGAGAGATGCTCGCTGTTATAGAGCCGTCGTGACGGCATTTCGAATGTGGGAGATCGTTTGTTGTTTTGCTCCATCGCGCTGACAGTTGTGCCGTTGAGCATCTGAATCAGCCTATGACGGTGGAAGTGCTGCCACATATCTTCGCCAGCACGGCCGCCAGAAGCCTCTCCTCGCCAGACGATGCCGTCTTTTTTGTGTCTCCAAGAGACACCATGATCTTCTCCTCCAGCGTAGAATTCGTCGTTAACCAGATACATTGCCCCCGGAATGAGAATCTCGTTATTCGCCGAAAGCTTGGAGCCGCCAAACAGCGGAATCAGCTCTTCCGTCGAAGATAGACTGACAGGCTTGACAAAAGTACCGTGCAACTGGCGCAAGTGCGGCTGTATGCAAGGGTCCATGGCTGCTGTCCAGTTCCGAACAAAGCCTTTGTAGGAGTATGACGGATTCCATTCGCTGGGAATGTCTGCCGGGGCAGTAAAGTCTGAAAGACTCTTGACGCCGTATGCAGGTGTATCTGGGCCGCACGTCTTGACGAACAAATCCCAGTATGAAGAATCATCAAAGCTGTGCCATTTAGGATCGTACGGCTCCAGTTTGGCAGCGTCAATACGCCCCAAACCCTTAAATTGAGTCGTGACTTCTTGAGTGGGTGTCATCTTCCTTTTCTCCTGCTCTTTTCGTCGAAGCTTCGTGATTTCGTCGAAAGGGACGAGGATTCGAGATTCATCCATGTAGTTGATGGGCATGTCGACATCAGGCAAGTGTTCGGCAAAGTCACTGACGAGTTCTGTCCAGAGCTGCAGCCAAATCACCCTGCCTTCGACGTCCCCTACACCTTCTGCCGTTCCATTACGAACCTTGACAACATGGAACCAGGAACTAGCTCGTCGTGCAATTGTCTCTGTGTCAAGAGACCAAAAGGGGGCCAGGTCGGTGTAGATGCGATCGAAGTATTCTTCGACAATGATGGCGTTGCTTTCGATGGCGCCTGCAACCCATTTGTCAAAGCCCGGCGGCGGGTGTCTTCCTCTTCGCTCTCGGTATCTAGCAGCAGCGCTTGTAAGATTATCACTCCTCTTTGAAAGTAAATCCTCGTGATGAGCTTTGGCTTCGATCATAAGCTGCAAGATGGGGTGCTCCAGCCAAGTGGAAAACGACCCCTGACTCCCCTGGATGATCAAGTTGTGTCGAGGTTCTAAGTCGGCCCATAGTCTATAACTTGCAAACAAAAAAGCAGCAACAAACGAAAGAATTAAAATTTTTATAGCGGCTTTCGGGTATAAACCCAGCCGGCTTCGAAAGTCGAACATACAGAAAGTAGAGGAAAGGGGAACGACTCAAGACGTCACGGTTGGCGAGTAATAGCCAAGGAAAGAAAGACGGTAGAACGCAACCTACTAAGGAGAAAAGCTACACAGGTTTCACGACCTACGAGTACATGTCCAATTGAGTCAGGGGGTGTCTACTTTTTTTTTGTCATGGGCTTACGCGGCGATATGGACGGAGTGGTTGCAAGCGTGGCCATAGTTTTCCAAATACGAAGTATTGGAGGTGTTGTGGAGGCATAGACCTTGGGCGAAGCGGCAAAATGTTTCCGCCAGGGTGCGATAATGTTAAATTATACATCTACCTTAGCAATCGTCGGAGGAAATACGCCGGGATGTTGAGTCCAATAGCCAATCATCCATATCAAGTAATTTGTGCCCCATCCGGGTACGCTTCCCACCGTAAATATCGCCCGGATATAGCTACACGAATCAAACGCTTACTATTTTGTGAAGGGGAGAGTAGAAATGTCGGTCTCTGATCTAATATAAAAATAAACACGCGTACTCCTCCGTCTTCGATTAGAATGTTAAGCTTGGCGTTAGATGCGCTACCGCTCCCGAATCCGATTTCGACCCCAGTTTCCTACTACAATTACGAGGCAGAGAGGCTCTCTTCAATTGTTCAGAGAAGATTTAATTGCCCCTTTGTATGAATATGGAGTTGATTGAGGCCTATTTGGCTTCGAGAGAAGTGATGGTAGCCCAAGCTTCTAATCATGATTGTGTTGACAAGTCAATCCTTCGAATAGTTGACAAACACCACGTGGTAAAATAGCGTTTGTTAGCCCAAGTCTGGTTTCAGAGCATCACCCGAAACAGAGTAAGGTGGAATTAGACGTTTTGTCGCATTTACTTGCAGCAGTCACCAAAAATCCACAATATAAGCACAATCTTCTCGAGGAGTAACGTGTTGTTCTCGTAGCTGTTTCAACTTCACTGCGACTTCCCCAGTTGTCGATACAGCCACTCCCAAATTAGAAACCGTATCTTTCTGCTTACCAATGAAGCGACAAGCCCAAGACCAATGTTGATATCCTTGCGCAGCCTAGAACAGGTTAGCAGCCACTTCTTGTGCCGTTAAGGTGTGGTGGCAGTGCCAAGGACAAATTTTTAGTCCCTGGATCCATCCTGTCGTGATTATTACGGAACTTGGAAATATACCCGACCCGCCTCTGGAGCACACCAAACAAAGGGATATAAGTAGTAGGTGGTTCTCTAAACCGACCAGATCTCTATAGACAAGCTTGCTACAGAACACTGGGCACATTGATTCAGAGAAGCGCAGTATTTCGGGAAATTCGTGTTCATTCGGGAAATATTACGATCCCCAGAATCCCCAGCAAGTGACGTGACATCTGATAAGCTCGGTAAAATAAACAGGTTAGTTAATATGGGGAGGTGAGATATAAATCTGTGTGACTTCTAAGTTAACCATACCAGGGGATCTTGTTGTTTTCAAAGACCCCCTTGATATAAGAACTTCAACATACATTTATGGAGTACAGCAGGTGTTGTGGAATTCAACCCGAGTCATTGTGATAAATAGGGGTGCTGAATCTCCCTTGATCTATCAGCCGTCCAGAAACCGTGCCCTAGTCTCCCCATTGGACTAACCGGCCGCGTAATGGTAGTGAGGGCGCTGAGACAAGAATTATAAGACATCGATTGGTGCAAATACGATTGAGACAAGTTCTGTTGGAGACATGACATAATATTTTGACGATTATTAATGCATTTGCAATGGCGCTTAGCCCAGACCGACTTTGACATATTAATACAGGTGAGTAAGCTATACGACAACCAATCAAGCGAAACCCTTATGGCCGATTCCGCCGCGGATTTATCTCTCATGGCCAGCATACGATTCAGCCGCGGATATATCTCTTATGGCCAGCATACGAGTTATAAAATACAAACCCAGCGAGTCGACTTCAATGTTTGCATCTCAGTTGAGACGGCCGCGATTGAGCAAAACTGCTCTGATAGAGGAAGATAGTTTCCACCAATACAACTAGTTATGAGTTCCTGAGAAAGTTCCTGGAGTCAATCTTACCTGGGTACTAAACTCTATAGATGCCCTCAGATCCTTACATAATCCCAGCTTACATTGGCTACGAGTACGGATACGCGTTCCTCTGATCAGGTTCTTCGCTATCATCACGCCCAGCCTATTATCATGCCAATAGCCAGGCAATGTCGTGCCAAGATCCAGAATCTACGTTCTATTCTCGTGCCTGCTGCGGGGTTGAAACACTTGCATACCATGGAAAGCATGAAGACGCAAGGGAGACACAACACAAGAGGCTTTCAAGCATTGCTCAGAAGTGAGGCATGTTTGATGGACACTTGCTACTTTATCGTGTGAAGTGTTTCGGAATGCTGTTATGACATCTTTCAGCGTGTTGATTCACATTGATGCGGGCGACTCACTGTGTATGCAATGCGACATTTCACTATAAAGGGGTCAAGCGAATCCGACGTACTCGAGAATGTTTATACATCTTGTAATCTCATTGCATCGCGGCCTGCCATACTGACAGGGGAAGCAAGTCGTCATCTAAAAACATCTCAGAATCTTCTTAATCTTCCCATCTACTTCCCCGGACAGTGGTTTAGTCGTCCAGGTATCCTGGATCATACTCCGTACGTCTCACCAATGAAGGGGTTCCTCTCCGCTCTGCATATTGCAGTGCTTACTTTCATCTGCACCGTCACCGCTCTGGATGGAAGCGCCTGCTTTGTAATATGCTACCTTCCGGCTGTCGAGCAGCAGTGCCCCGGTGCAAGCTCCGAGTGTGTTTGCACGAATGAGGAGTTTATATTGCTTCTCAATATGTGCATCCAGCGGACGTGCCAAGAGTCGCTATGTAAGATGCGCCATTTCTACACTTAGAAAACACTTGCATAGCTTGTTTACTGATTCCAATATCTATGGTAGTTGAGGCTGAGGATATACATGCCAATATGTGTAGGTGAAGATCTCTACTACAACAAACGACCGGCCAGCGTGGTGAGGCATGGCGTTACCCGTAGTCATGATATTACATCTCGCGGCTGCTTGACAAAGTGTGCAGCATTAGCATCAATAAATTTTTACTTCCTATATGATTTTCTTGCAAGTATGAGTATAAACCTTAGCAATGCAGCCAGTCGTTGGTGCTCCATTTGAGAGATATCATAGGAAGAGTACCAGGAGAGTTCGAAGAGACTGGGTTAGGTTGGGGGTAATCTAACAATATATAAGTGCGATGACGAGACGCCTCTAAACTACTAGTAGTAAAGGCGCTATTAATATATATCCCGAAAGGGAGAAGCTTGCGGTAAAGGGCGTCGAATCCGCATATATGCCTTGTTTGTCCCGTTGATGCATGTCTACTATTGGGGTAGCTCTGGTGACTTGACGTGTGTCATACAAACCCGTATATATCCACGAGTTTTACGTGCTTACAGAAAGAACAAAGCCGTCCTTGTGTCCTTTTGGAGAATCTGGAATCTTGAAACCCCGGCGGTTGATCTCGACAAGATCCCAACAAACGAAGAAATGAAGAAAAGAAGAAAAGCTCCATTCCCGAAAAATATGCCCCTGGCCAAATGTGGCCGACGCCGATTATCATTACAGGCAGCTGCATTCTAATACCTGTCACCTTCCGCGCTAGGGTAAAAGCACAAGGGCCATAAGGTGCGTGCCCCTCAGGTACCTTGGAATAGTACAAAAGGGAGCATTCTACCTTGCAGATACCAGAACAGGGCCGTAGAGTACTTGTCCCGTGTCTTTCAAGCCTAGCGTAATCTTACCAATGCGCGACTGGAGAACATAAAAGCACAGTGAGATAAGATGTACCGGGCAAGTCGTAGCAACAGAGACATGGGTGCCGCCTTGTACCTTCTCGCATAATCGTCTTGATGCCTGAGGTTAGTAAATGGCAGACAGGGTTCCGACTCAATTGATTTCGTGATCAATGCAACGCGTCGCCATTGGGTCTGCGACATGTTTCGCCGGCCCTTTGACATGGAAAGAGACAAGCTTCATTAGAGGTCAATTAACCCATCGTCATAGGGCTTATGCCGAGGTCGCGAGCCGAACTATTTACGGGTCCCGCGAGTCAAGCTAACCAAGCTCCTGGAAAAATAGGAATCGCAAAATTGCTGACTACGAGAGCTAAAATGCTGGGAAAATAGGGAATAAAAGAGCTCTGCTGTGGGAAAAAAAGAAAAAAGGAGAAGTGGAGTGGCCAAATGCCACATTATTCCCGCCTCCGATACATCCGATTAGTATACCCTTTGTATGACGTCCAGGAAAAAATGAGAAGGAAAACCACCCACGTCTAATCATCGTGGCTGCCGGCCTGAATCTCGGTGGCTTGAATGGGAGCTCGCTCTAATAAGAAGAGAACAAGTTTCCATGTATCGCCGGCAAGTGACGGCGTACATTTCGCGCAGATTGGCCTCGTTGAATGCCTAATACCGCCCTTGTCGTACCAGGGCTTCCGCGCAACAATCCCCAAATACGACCGGTCGTGAGGAAGCAGGGCTTGAAGATGCTGCCATTGCGCAGATACTGCTTACCTCAGAGGATAGGATATCCCCGGGAACGCTGATCGACTGGAGGATAGACGCCTCAAACCCTCTGCGGCTTATTACATATCACAGGAGCAAGCACACAACAACCCACAGCGGACCCTGACGGCTTAGGACTCTGCAGATCGAGCGTTTCTGGACGTTCTGGGGAGGGTCCGTTGCAAAAAAAAGGTGGGAGCAAAGTGCCAAAAGTCTTCACCAAACCGGGCTAACGAGCCGGGTTTAAGGGCTTGCTTGGTGCCAATTAACAGCGAGTGCCGACTTCCCTGACGACGCTACGACTCCACGACTCCCCGAGAGCCAAAGGAAGCGGCCGCAATGCGGATTAATTTGGTAGCAGTAGTAGCAGCCTTGATTAGTCCCGGGTTTGAGGACCGCCATCCTTGCTCATATAGACTTCGTCAGTCGCCTTCATTAACCCATTTCGTCCGTGGCGCGCCACCTTCGTCGCACCGTGACGACGATACTCAGCCGCTTGAGATTTGGCTGCCAAGTCCGGAGTAGCATTCCCATTCATTCTTCTCCCGCCGTTCTCCGTGGCGTCTGTCTTGGCTCCACGGGCCTCGCGCGAGAGCCGAGGAACCCATCCACTGACCAGCCTCAGCCAGCCCCATCTGCAGCTTCTCTGCCCATTCGCCGACTAGCTGGGTCCTTCGGGGGAGACACGGGGAGGACTCGTCTTCAACTCCGGTCACGTCTCGGTTGTTTGTGGCCTCTTCATCTTCACATCCTTCGCCTATCTCATGCTACTCCTATCCCTCGGACGGGTACATGGATTCGCCTCAGCCGCACGACGCAGAAGGCTCTGTGCCGCCACCACACAGCTCTTCCGCATCGCTGTCACCTCCAAATAAGCGCCGGCGGACGACGACAACTAACGGTGACTGTTGTCGCACTTGCAGATTACGCAAGGTAGGAAAAGACTGTTGTGGTTTTCGCATAATCGTCGCATAGCACGGCGTGGTTGGCATATGTCCGCGCTGGGCTCTGAATCATGTTCATTCATTCCGTTTGCACGTTTATTTTGCGCTGTATCTTGCACAGCTGGACATTTTACTGCACAAATGCTCACTCTACCTACTGTCTTTCTGTTGTGGCTCTTCTCTTTCTTCTGTTAAGTTGCTAGAACTAACGAAGAGGTTTCCCTCCTTACCAGGTCAAATGTACCGGAAACCCTGGAAACGGACCATGCAGCAACTGTTCTAGACTGGAGCTCACCTGCAGCTTCGCTGCATCTGCTGGCGCTTCCGAAGAAGGTAGGCTTTCAAAGCTTGGCGAAAATGTCACACTTTAGGGGGTTTCTGACAACTGGGTCCAGAAAGAGTCTCTAGAACAACACCTTCGCACAGCCATACTGAAGCAGGTACGCTAAGGAAGAGAGCACAGAGGGCTTGCAGTCAGTGTCATACGCACAAAACGAAGTGCTCTGGAGACCTGCCCAAATGTAAAAGATGCGAGGCTGCGAACCTAGTCTGCGAATATACTCCTACCAGGAGGCGGTTCACCAATGTTCGTTTCAACAGTCCAAAGGCCGAGGACCAAGCTCCTTCTACTTTACAACCCCTCAAGTTGGAAGAAAACGCAGCCATCAGCCCCACGAGCAGCACTAGCACTGGTATTCCATCCTACATCCTCGAAACATCGAATCTTCAGGCCGAGTACGCGTTTGCCCCCTTATTGGCAAAGAGAGTTTGTATCGGGCTAATAGTAAATGATTCAGAGACATGCTACTCAGAAAAGACATCATTCTTACCCACTTGGATGCTTATTTCGATTTTTTATACATGATGCCAAGTTTGGGGTTTTTACACCCCGAAGTCACATATCGAGATGTTCAGGTATGAGGATCATCGTGGCGCGTCAAGTTACCACCAGAACCAGCTAACATGGGCGTTCCTAGGAAAACAGATTCCCTCCTGCTCAAGCAGCGGCCGTGTGCTCCGTTACCAGTTTCTTCGTAAACCCTGGCCCAGCCGGACGGGAGTTTGCAAGAAAATGTAGCCAGCAAGTCGAAATACATATTTACCGCAACATCTACAAGTTTTCTGAGAGCGCCCTCTTCTTATTCGCCCTAAACATTCTTTTCAACATTCTCGATGGCTCGCATGCAAAAGTCTGGCAATGCTTTGGAGTAGCTTCGAGACTTATGATAGGCTTGCAGCTAAACTGGGACGTCACATCACACCACTCTACCTTTATTCAACAAGAATGCCTTCGGCGCATTGCCTGGCAGCTTTTTAGCCTCGACCGCCTACTAGCAGGTGGCTATGAAGAATACATATCTTGCCGAGCAGAGAATATGAAAATAAGACTGCCTTGCAATGAGGCTGCTTTTAGGGAGAATCGACCAGTTGTTGCAGAGAGGCTTCATGACAGGCCTTCCCGCTGCTCACCGGCTCTAGGCCTACACGGTATCCAAATCCTTCTTGTTGATCTTCGGCACCGCATACAAGTGTAAGATTGTATCCTCTCTCCTAAAAGGGTCACGTATAATAGTTTCACATCACTTACAAGATCATAGAGCTACAAAAAAGCTAGCAATGCCTTCTGGATCAACCATGGCAGCCCTGGAGCCATCAAAGGTTATGGAGGACATTGCTGCGTTACAGAGCGAGCTGACTAGGTTCCATGTTTCCATACATGACGAGCTACGACTGACCGATCAGAGTATGTCTCGGTATGCTGCCTCGGACCAGTGGAGAGGATACTGTTTCTTCCATACACACATGGCCGTGAGCCATATCGATCTCTATCGATTCTCATTACCGGGTCCCCGAAGTCAAGCCTCGATAGAGATTCTTCGAAAGCTTCCTCCCGATTTTATTGGTCGATGCCAAAAGCAGGCCGTCGCCCACGCCATGAGTTTAGCCCGATTTTTGGATGCCATTAAAATCGAGACGGATAGGATGCCAAACCCTGGTACTCCTAAACTGGTAGGCGATTACTCGGTTGCACACATGTCCACTCAATGCATTCGAGTATTGCTCATCGCTCTGCAATACAACTTGTACGAAAATTTGTGTGACACCACGGCGCCAGTGTGGAGAGGAGCCGAGACAAACGAGGCGCAGATCAAATCGTTGATCGATACCATTATGGAGATAACCGAGGCCTGGGCCGAAATATTCGACATGGCTAAGCAAGCTGTATGTTGCACATTGACTTTTATCTCAGCTACCCCTTCTTCCCCTTTCCCCTTATCTTTTGTCGATCTAACAAGTGACGGCTAGCACGACTGCAATAAGGCAATGGTGGAAGAGTTTTACAAGAACGGGAGGATACTCGATCGAGGTAACGCTGCCATGAATACCGGACAAGAGCCAGCCGAGGACAAATTTCTATTTGGATCGGATGTGTTTATTGAGCGAATGAGCATCCCTGACATGAAAGATGAACAGAGGAGCCGAGCCGCGAACATGCCCGTGTCCGACTGGTGGATGGGACCATCAACGACCCAGCAAGCATCGTCCAAGAGTTCGTCACCGCTAGTGATGTCGTATCCTACCCCAGAATCTGGCTATGATGGCGACCATGGACCGCCCGGCGTCCCCCTGTTCCTCGCTCAAGCGCGCAACGTATCCATGGGCGTCAACGACATCTATGATGCAGAGACGGCAGTCGGCATGCAGTCAGCCGATATGCTGGCCATGGTGTCCAACAACTACCAGATGATGCAGACCGATGTCCTAAACGGACACAGCGGCATGCCCATGCTGCGTATAGATGATGCTATTCCGAACCAGGCGATGTATCGACAGCAGGACGTTCCACCAGCGCAACCGCAACATTTCATCCCGTCTCAGCAAGGCATGATGATGAATGGATACATGCCACCGCCGTACCCTGGCAGCCATACTAGTACACCTCCGTATCCGCAGCAAAACCACTTTGGTTAAAGAAGGGAAGGGAAAAAGAAAGGAAAAAAATGGGGAAATTATTTCAAGAGTATTTTGGTGTTGGTCATATGATAAAGCGTCGGCGTTTAGGGCGTTTGGTTTTGTATAATGCCCCTTGGACGACGAAGACGGGCATTATGTGTATACCTAGGAATTTGGCCGCGACATATGTGCGTATATTGCACGTTAGATTTGACATTTGGCGCGGTGATGGATATCAATCAAGGTGGGCTTAGAATGTGCATAATTCTTTTGTATGTACAGATGAGGTGTGTAGTTAGGTATATCGTGAAGAGGTGAGGAGCTTGGGGAGCGGTTGCGAATCTCCGTCTTTGGGACAGTGTGAAAACGCTGTGGACGACATATATTGATGTTGGTCATGAGGGATTCTCAATCTGAGCAATGAACAAAAGAATCCTTCATATTCATGAATATATCTTCTGATGAAAACATCTTCCCTTGTGCAATACTAGACCAAAAACCTGAAATAACAGCCACTCAACGTGAAAAGCATTTCCACCCATGATGACAAAGACGCGAACCGGTTGCTTATAAAGGCATAATTCTTCAATTATACACTATGTAATATCTTATACAGCTATATCACAAAAGAGCCATATCTTCAGTTCTTTCATCAAGATGGCCGGTCTCGCTATGTACTAAGGTCTTGTGTCCGTTTCCCCCCCTTTTTATCCCCCGCTCCAGAACCCTTCTTCCCTTCTCACTAAAGCCGCCCTTTTTATGTATGAGACACCAGCCCAATAGAACAATACCAAGCCAATCCCAGCTTGGTGCCGCCTCCCTCCGCAAACAAACCCCTTTCATGAGCGCTAGCATGAGGGAAGAAACATTGCATTGACGCAGAGGAGAGGTTTTAAAAAATCCCCTCAAAGGGGGAGTTGACAGAATAGTAGACCCAATCATGCCAGCTGTGTATGATAAATAAAAAAAAAAACAGAGAACTTAAGAAACCGCTGCATAAACTTTAACCCCTCACATGTAGTAGCGCCATGTGTTTATCTATATGTCATAAGATCCGCTAGGGAGAGAAATGAAATAACCTTCCTCGGAGAAGAAGATACCGGGACTCGAGAATACCGAATTGAAGATTATGAAAAGAAAACGAGTAGAAAAAACATGGTATCGAGAGTTTTGAGTTTCCAAGACTTGGTATCCAAAGGAAGTCGTCACACAGAGGATCGTTAAGTCTAGGTGAGAGCGTAGTAGAGGTGAGTTTTTATGTCGTCGTGTTTTTTTTTCTTGCTTTTATAGGCATAGCCCAGGATATGGTAGGAGAGTCGGAGGACGAAGAAAAATTATCAATTAGCTACTTCAGTAGTGGTCGAAGTAGGAGTGGTCCTTCTCCTTGAGGCCACCGATCTTGTCCATATCGACGGAGTAGAACTGGCCCTTGGCCTCCTTTTCGTAAGCGGGCAGCTCTTCGTCGTGCATGGGCTCAAGGCCGACTGTAGCATTCTCGCCAACACGAACGACGACAACTCGGCCACTCTTCCGGCGACCTTGCTCGTCCTGCTCGTCAGGGAAAGTAATGTGGATCTCGGGAACATTGTCGGGAGAGTGAGGTGGTGAGCCGGGGGTGCGCAGCATGGGCTGGCCATCACGGCTGATGAAAAGAACGCTGTGGCGGCCATTGTGGGTGGTCTCAATGGTGAGGCCACGGTGATTGGGGTGGCCATTCTTGACATCGTTGTAGGAGGGTAGAATAGGCTCCTGGGTCTCCGGGTTCTGCTGCTGTCGCTTGCGGCGAACTCGGCGAAGCACGAGCAGAATAGATACCAGGATGAGAATGAAGAAGGCAATGCCGAGCACGATCAGCAAGGCGTTGATGACCGTGTCGGAGCCGTTGTCAGAGTCATCGCCTCGAGCGAAGACTTTCAGGGGGCCGATCTGTCCTGCAGGGGCGATCTTGTTGGCGAGTTGAGAAACCGAACGGGCTACATCGAAGTGAGTCTCGTCGACGGATCGACGCAACAAAGCGAGTGAAGGCATATTGGGCGAATGTCCAAGTATTTTGGTGCGTTCAGTAGTAAATGAATGGATGGTTAGCTAATGAGGCGTCATGGTCAGCATGTTGTTTCAAGAGGTGTTGTGTTGTAGTACAGAGCAAATCCAGGCAAATAATATGATATATAGATAGAGAGGCGGGAACACCGGATGGCCGCAAACATCTTTTTTTTTTCCCTCTCATCCTGTCTCTCATGACCATGGTTGTGCACGTCACTGCCATTTCGCAGCTGTGATGGGACGCACAGACAAACGTCGCGACGTTCCATGGAGGGGTTGGCGCAGCAGATCCCCCAGCCTCTCCCAAACGTCACACCATTCCCCGTCTCCATGCCATTGTGTGTCTCTGCGAAACAGGTGTAACTCACATAATTTTTCTCTTCCCCTTTGGCAGGTTGTCCGCAGGATCGCTGGCACAAGCTTGGAGCTGGCTGAGCTGCGAAACAGAAGAAAAAAAAGGAATGTATATCGTGGTCGTCGTCTGTTGGTAAAAAGGAGTGGTGAAGAACGCGTGATAGGCAATGAGAAAGGACCGGACGGATGCACAGCTAAAAGAATGAAGCCTGTGCAATCCAAAGGAGAGTCTTCGTAGGAAGAGAGAAAAAAGAAGGTAGCGGTAGCAGAGAGGGACAATGAACGTAGAGACGCCTCTCTCTCCCGGCAAGAGATGTAGTTTGTTTCTGGCCAGCGACGATGGTTGAAGCAGGACGAGAAAGATCAACTGGCAGCAAACGGGGGGAGGTTGAAGGTCAATCCTCGCTCTACCTGGCGCGGGTCCCGCTGTGGCAGCGAGCGGCACAGGGCACTCAGGCGCTACAGCATGCAGGACAGCGGCCTTGGAGTCCCCTAAGTGGTCCAGCCAAGCGGGGTTGCGTCTGTGGGAAATTACCTACAGCTCGAATTGGGCCGCAGACCCGTCGTGCCCCTGACGCTTAGAGGAGCGGCAGCCAATCAGGCGCCGCGCAGCCCTGCAGGCCATTTATAGCGCCGTTGGGTCCTTAACGAGCTCGAGCTAGGCGGGCCTCCCGAACGCCTCTAGCGGCAATCCATTGGACAACTGGGGTCCGTGTTTTGGTTAGCCAGCGGCGAGGGTGACCTCGAGGCCAATCTCCCCTGCTCCGTTAGACGACGTGCAGGCGGGAAGAGGGGAAAAAAAAAAAAAAAAAAAAAAAAAAAGATTTGATGAAGAAGAAAAAAAGAACCTGAAGAAAAAGGCACGCGTCAGGATGCCGACTCGGGAGAGAGAGGCCAGTCCTGATGAGGCAACGATGGCACTGCGCGTAGAAACACTACTATCACAACCTAGCCTTTTGTAGAGTCTTCATCCACCATCATCTCTCTCGTACGCAGCCTGACTAAGACGACAAGGCGCAGCTCGGCTAATGGGGAGACCAACACGCACACATAGCGCTCAACTTGGGCGCCAGTCGTACTCGTACGTCGCTGTTGCTGTTGCTGCGCCCATTGAAACAGGCGTTTCGAAATGGCACGCGACAAGCTGGTGCAGAGACTTCCCTTGCGGTAAGTCGCGCGCAAGGGCGGCGTCGTGTTTTGGTTGTGGCCTCCAGAGTGTCAAAGTGGCATGTCTCGGATGTCGCCAGAGCGGCGGATTGGCTTGTTCCAGGGAAGCCAAGAGGTTTTACCAGGACGTTTTTATCATGAATTATGTGCTTGATGTTTTATCGTACATCATTATCTGCATATTGATGTGTAGTACCTTATGGAGAGGTAGATACCTGTACTCGTATTGCTACAGTACCTAGTAGGTAGTACTGAGGTACTACCCATGTAACTAACAGGTTGCTATGAGGGAAGTGCCCAATATTAGGTAATGCTGGAGCCCATATCTTGGAGTCAAGACACGGCAGAGAGATGCGCACCTGAAGCTGTAATAACTCGACTCGCCCTCTGTCATGTTTTCCCACCCTAATCTTATAGCTTCAGCTAGTGTTTGCTTCTCCCCCGAAGCCCAGACCTCAAACATTACTGGACTCCAAGTGATCCAGATTAGTCACCCGTTGTTGCCGTTGATGCCCTCTCACCTGGCCCCAGTGGCCCGTATTGCTGCTAACCTACACGAAAGGAGCGGGAGGAAGAAATGACGCCGGTAATGAGGCTTAACATCAAAAGGGAAAATGATTCATTGGTTAAAAGCTTGTAAAAATTAAAGACCCCGTGTGAGATGGGCAATATATGACAAACTCCGTCGCAGTACCTCCTAATATTGCTTGCGTAGTTGCGCGATGCTATTCAATCAAGCATCAACCGTTTTTAACCCCCGTACCAACCAAGGGGGGGGGGGGAATTGTTTCAACGGATATGGCAGTAAGACACCCAACCCGGCCTCTATTATAAAGTTGTAACCCTAGTAAGCACTGCGTGTTAAAGTAGACAGTTCTCATTACAGCATCCACGGCTTGAATCATGTGAAGACTCTTCCTTATATCCACCACGTTGCTACGATGTAACCAACTTCAAGCCTCAGCCATGGCAAATACTACTCGACAAAGAGCATAACCTCGCCAGGAAAACAACCCGAACAATACCACCACAACCCTCTTCGCATCCTCCCCGAACTAAACTCGGCGAATTCGGTATCCTAGCCAGACATGGCATCATGTGCAACAACTCAGCTGTCCCGAGTGAACCATTACCAGCATCCTATTCCGTCCCTTGCCAGGCCATGCCATCGTACCCATGCCATCGCATGCTCATAGAAATCTTGCATCCTCACCGCGGACGCTTCTTGTCCCACTCCCCACAAGCCTTCTCCGACTTCTTGACATCCCTATTTCGGCTCAGCTCTGTGGGACCGCGCGACACTTGCATGGTTCGCATCAACGACCAGCCGGACGTCTATTCCGCAAGTTTGCTAGGCTTTAAATCCTTTAGGTTCTCAGGTTCCGACAGCCAGGTATGATACGCAAAAGGCTCATCGCACGACAGCCTGAGTTTGGCTCATGGAACATAGCCAATGTCTACGCTGCCAACTCTGACCTGCGAGCGTCGTACTTGTAGAGGTGCCTGGTATTTCATGACAGTCAAAAAACCCCCCTTCCAGCCTGTCGTGGTTTCGCCCTCCTCAGATGCAGCCGTTGGCTTCGTGTTTCCTTCCTCCTGCCGGCTTTGGACCGATTAGGCAGTCCTGCATTCAGGCCGGAGAAGGCCCTTCGCTTACACACGCTGGCCAACGGGTGCTCCCGATAGTATAACGAGAGCCTTGCTACCCAATATTTGTGGCGTGATGCCAGTAAGGTCTGCATCTGCGTGCATGAGGCGTACAGGCCAGTACATGCACGGAGGAGATGTGGCCGACGCGCGCCTCAAGACTTGATGCTTCCTTCATGCAACTGTAGCCATGTAATGTGGGACATGATACGTCTGTATCCCGGCATACCTTGGAGCCGCAAATCGCTGTGACAGGCAAACATTGAGGCATCAAGTGGTTGACGGCCCACTTTGGCGGCCTTAACAAAACGGACACGTACCGATGAATGTTTCCGTCCAGTTGAGACCTTGCTCAGACCGCAGCATGGCAGCCCAAGCACAGATGCCCTACAGAAAGCACAGGAAATTCAGTGCTGGATACACGTGGTGAACGGGTCGCAAGCACTTGGAGACTCTGTGAAATCGTCCCAATGGTTAAAAGATAGAAGACGGACAACGCGACACTTGAAGCGCCTCTCAGTCGGAGTACATGTAACATCTATGAATGAGGCGGAATTCTGGTCTTGTCCTAGGAGTCCATCAGGCTACCAATCACGCGGATGCCGTAGAGGATTTGGTACATGTAACCAAACCATGCAGCCAGCTTGGAACAGTACATACCGTACAGTACATGCACACGTATCCTCCGCATGTGCCCTGGTGTGGACTTTGCCATGCGAGAAGTCAGTTTTCAGCCTCGAGGGCACCTTCCTTCTCACACATCAAGTTGTATTCATGCATAACATCCCCTCCGCTGCGTTTGAATCAAACGAACCGCTCTCGTTTGTAAAGAGAGAGGGAGAAAAAGGCAGACGAGCATTGGCTGTGATTGAACACGGACCCGCTGGAGTCTCACACATCCATGGTCTACAGTGGCCGTGAGAGCCCCATACTGTAGCTGAGACTGCGTCTCACTCCCTCGCCGCTCTCATGGTCCAATATCTTTTCGTGATACCCACACTACAGTGCCGTCGCCCTGGGCTGCTGCAGATGGATATGGTTTTGATGTTAGCGGGGAGAGCTAGAATGATAAACAAGTCGTTAAATGATCATAAATAGGTCGTGGTTCTGTTGGGCTTGCAAGGGAAGAAATAACAGGCTCATTAGCCTCGCGGATATCGGAATCATACCCAGTAGTCTCTTTGGATATGCATTGCTTGGGAGGGCAAGGAATTCTGCTGTAGGTTCAATATGCTCCATATAAGTATGCTCTTCTCATCCCTTTCCCCACTTCTCCATCCTTCTCCTGTCACGTACAGCAGACTCGTGTCAAAGTGAGACACTTGCCCATGAGAGAACGGGGGGAAGCATCATGAGGAGACGGAATCAGGGGCAATAATATTCATTGCCACCAGGTTGCTTCTGAGTAGTATTCGATGAGCATGTAGTTGTCAAATTGATGAATTTGATCGCTCACATGTAACTTCGAATGAGGGAAAGAAGGAATTCATTCCAAGGTCGTATGCGAATGAACAGGAGTGACATCGTTTCCCCATCCTGAATGAAGCAGGCCCTCTTCGTGTACGAAAAAGTCGCCAGCGAATGATGGGGCAGTACTCGTAGCACAATACGCGGGACAAAGTGGGTAGACAACACCGTTGAGCGCCCCCTTCGTGTAAGTATAAAAACTGACTGTGTACGCTGGGCTCAGTACATGATTGTAACCGTATTGTATGGAATCCCGGAGGAGACATCGGCTCTCGATTAGTATGATTCAATTACTTGTAGGTTGGTGACAGCGCCCTAGGTCTTCGCCTCGCTCAGCAGTCGGATAGATC